GCTGAAACATAAACATATTTGCTTTACACCAGTGTGGGTTTTCCACAGCTGTCATATACAACTTTATACATGTGAACGTGTGCAGAGTGTGCACTGGAGCAAAAGGAATAAGTAGGAACAAAATGATGTGCATATATATTACTACACACAGTGCAGGGAAACATATTATTGTATTAAAAAATTTTTTTTTTCTTTATTGATAGTGGGGAAAGCTTCTAAAAAAAAACACAAAACGCACTACAACTCTGTTAAATACACACATGCACAGGTAGGTTTACTGCAGATACTCACTGGCTTCCCCAAATAAGGTTCTGGCTTTGGGCTTCCCTGTTCATTTGTATTTCCATGAAAGAACTTCCACAAATGCAGAGATTAGATGGCTTTATATCCTCACTGGGAATGAGCTGCATCATCAAGTGGAGGCATCCTGACGTCACAGCAGCATCCCTACACAGCAAACGCTTATAAGGCCACCCATGGACACATGAGAAGCACACACTGCAACCTCCCTAATCGCAGATCTTGCAGCAGTTTGGGCACTGCCATTAATTCAGTCTCTCTCACACACATGCAAAACACATAATGCTGTTCAGTGAAGGCAAAGGGGGAAAAAACAAAATCTCTAATCTCCTTTATCTAATCCAAACCCAGGAATAAATCTCTAGATGGCAATATATATCCAAAACAAGGAGCAGAGAGGGAGTGTGTGTCATTTAGTTTCTTTTTATTCTCCTTGCTTGCTTCATGTTTCCCCTGTGTGTAGAGCAGTGTGGCTGGCTGGAGGCGGGACACGGCTGTCCTGTGTGGGCACAGAGTGAGCTGAGCTCTGAGTTCCCTATGTATGTGTGTGTGTGTGTGCTGCTCCTGGGGCGGACTGACTGACTCAAAATAATTTCCTTCTCCTGTACAGGAAGTGCACATGGCGTTCTAAAGGTAAGCTAACAGCGCTCCCTGCAGTACTCACCAAGAACGGAGGTAGTAGTGTGATTAAAAAAAAAGGCAAATCTATCGTAAATATAGTTGTTGTTTTTTAAAGCTGTGTTATGTGTATAACACAACTGGAAACAATGTTGTTTCTCAGTCTGCAAAATATTCCATACGCCTATACGTTATTGGACTCATTTTAGACAGAAATACTTTATAGTACTCATTTTAGACAGAAATACTTTATAGTACTCATTTTAGACAGCAATACGTTATTGGACTCATTTTAGACAGCAATGCTTTATAGTACTCATTTTAGACAGCAATACGTTATTGGACTCCTTTTAGACAGAAATACTTTATAGGACCCATTTTAGACTTTTTTTTTTTTTTTTTTAACCATAGCTACACACAGGGTTCTTCACTAAAGTGATGCCCATTGCATCGAGACAACATATAGCTAATTTGATCAATAGTATAAAATAAAGACATGCACATTAACACCTTAAGGACAGAGGCAATTGTACAAAACCGATCCTGGATGAGTTATATGTGTATTAATTCATAATTTACTGCTTTCATATTCAGTCCACCCACTCTTATATATCATTTGTTCAGGAGAAACAGGGCTTTCATTTCACATCATACAGTAATATATGTGAACATAATTTAATATGAATAAAAAAAAAAAAAAATAATGTGTGAAAAATTAAGAAATTGTTATTTTCTTAGTTCTGTTTGGCATTTTAGCTGTGAATGTCATAATGCTGTTAGCTTTTACTGCAATAAAATACACATATTTGTGTACAGCGATGTTTCACAAGTACAACAGTAACCCCCATCCCCCGCTATGTATAAGTTTCACAGTGTTTTGGAAAGTTACAGGGTCAAATATAGTTTTTACACATTGAAATTAACCATATTGGTTTGCTGGCTTTTATTGCTTAACACCTTAAGGACGCAGCTTCAAAAACTGGACTTATCCTAAGGACACCAGTCATTTTTGCATCTTTTGCATCTCTGTCATTTATTGCACCAACACATATTATAATATTATATACTGTTTTTTAGGGCAAAAAGGGCTTTAATTTGATGTGACATATACATAGATCAATTCTCATTAATTATGAAACAAATGCCCCAAAAAGGGGGTTTGGGGAGGCCCACTTTTTTTTCACAGTTTTGGCAATAATAGTGTGTGCATAATATGTCCAGCTTAGAAAAAGTAATTCAAAATAAATGAATGTATGTGTCTTGATTTATAGAGTACATAATATGTATAGGATGCCAGCTTTTTTTGAAAGTTACAGGTCACAAAATAAAAGGACTAAAATACAATTTCAATGTGAAGCAATTTTGGAAGTTGGTATGTTTGTCATGTAAGTTTAGTAGCCATCACAAAAAACAAAATTGCCACTCAAAAGTATATATTTATATAAAGTAGATATCACAGGCTATTTACCTAAGGTTATTTTGACACTTTTTACGTAGCCATTTCATCGCCAATCTCTGCTAAATATCGGAGTAAAATTTAGTTTCTTCTCTATTTTGGCTTATACACTTATAACAAGGTTTTTGTAATGTATATTTTTCACCAATTTATGTCAATGTTTGTGGTGAGGGGAAAAAAAGTTGCATTTTTACATACATGTTGCACTTTTGCAGAGTATTTCTCACACTTGATATGTACCAATGTCATAAAATCCCAAAATTTTGCTCAATTACAGTGTAACTGTAACCTAGACACTAGACACTATTTTGAAGTTACAGTGCTGTAAAAGAGACGTGACAAGTTCAAGTTTTTAAGTGTGAATTTTCATGGAGGGTTTTGATGTGTCCATGCCCCACTTTGGAGCACTTGAGCAGGCTACGTATTCCAGCTACACCATAAAGACATACCATTTCTTAAAGAAGACATCCCAGTGTATTGCAAAAGACATATTTTGAACCTTAGCGTGGGATATTTTTTCCGCTAGCTTGTACCAAGTGTAGTGGTAATAAGCATTTTTCTGCCTTTTTGACACACAAAGCGAGTTTGCACAGTATATTTTGCAAACCTTATGTGTGCTACGAATGTATAATACTTCATATGTTGTTCAGCTATGTCATCTGAGTACAGCAATACCCCCGTATGTACCTTTGCCTGGTATATGTGGATATTGAAGGGGCACATTTGAGACACAGCCATTACAGTTTTTTTCAAACTTTGAATTTTGACTCTGTGTCCAGGTCCCATTTTGGAGTATTTTAGCATGCTATATATTCCAATTATCCCATAAAGGCATACCATTTCTTAAAGAAGACATATTTCAAAAGGCATATATTGAACCTTGGCGTGGGATTATTTTTCTGCTAGCTTGTACCAAGTGTAGTGGTAATAAGCATTTTTCTGCCTTTTTGACACACAAAGCGAATTTGCACAGTATATTTTGCAAACCTTATATGTGCTATGACTTCATATGTTGTTCAGCTATGTTGTCTGAGTACAGCAATACCCCCGTATGTACCGTTGATGTTGAAGGGGCACATTTGAGACGCAGTCATTCAGTTTTTTTTCTAACTTTAAAATTTTACGCTGTGTCCGTGTTTCATTTCGGAGTAGTTTAGCTGGTTGGTTACTCAAACTTCCCCACAAACACATACTATTTATTTAAAAAAAAACTGGAATAATTCAAAAGGCATATTTTGAACCTTAACGTGGGATCATTTTTTCGCTAGTTTGTTCTAGGTGTAGTGGTAATGGGAATTTTTAAATGTATTTTTTTGCTTTTTTAAACTTTTTTTACTTTTTAAAACTTTTTTAAAACTTTCTTGGAACTTTTTTACACTTTTAAAACTTTTTTTTTACTTTTAACCCTTAACTAGCAGTAAGCAACACTAACAGTAAATTCCCCAATTTCCAATAACTCCCACCCACCCCAGCTAGCAAAATATATAATTTTAAAATATTTAAATTAATTAATTAATTAACCCTCAGGAGTTAAAAAAATAAATCAGATCACTGTATGATATTGGCAGTGGTCAACGGGCAGGGAAGGGGTTAATTTTCTATTAGGACTATGTAAGGGGGTGGTTATTTAAAAACCTTTTAAAACGTTATTAAAACACTTTTTTGAGCTTTTTTTTAAAAGCTTTTTTTAACATTAACCCCTAGCTAGCCTAACACCAAATTCCCTAATCCCCCACTAACTTCCACCCACCCCAGCTAGATAAATATATCATTTTAAAATATTTAAATTAATTAATAAAATAAATGTAACCCCTAAAGGGTTAAAAAAAATAAAACAACCCTCAGGGGTTAAAAAAAACAAACAGATCACAGTAAAATGTAGTCCCCGCCAATTGATCACTGTAGTCAGTGGTCAATTGGCAGGGAAGGGGTTAATTTTATTGGAAAGTGGGGTGGGATTTAAATTGTACTTATTTTTTTTTACGCAGGGAGAAGAACAGCAGCACTGATCCGTCTCCCTGCACTTCACACTGACTGCGAAAGCACAGGGAGGCGGATCAAGAATCCCTGCAGCACATGTGGTCGCTCTGACAGCCTGTCAGAGCGATGACAGCTGCACGGACAGGGCGATCTGGTGCTCCCGGTCTGCCTCGAATACCGGAGTGTTAACTCCGCGATCGTGGCGATCTGGGGTTAATTTTAGCGCATGACGGACTGGGTCTTTCATCCGGCGTTAGATGCTCCCCCAGCATGACGGACTTGGTCAGTGATCCGGCATTAAGGGGTTAATGGCATACCAATTACAAAAAGTAGACAACCCAGGGAATTCAATATGGAGAATGAAGTCATTTTTAGTAGACACATAGTCACAAACACTGGCCAAAGTTCATATTTTTATTTTTATTAATTTTTCACAAACTGCCCTTTCACTGATGATATCAGCAGCATTTTACATTTTACTGCTCTAAAACACTCATATTTGTGTTCAGCGATGTCTCACAAGTACAACAGTACCCACCATGTCCAGGTTTTATGGTATTTTAGGATGCATCAGGGTGAAAAATAAATCTTGCCCATTTACATTTTTCCCAGATTGGTTATGTTGCATTTTAAACTGTATAGCAGCCCAGGAATGAGAAATAAACCCAAAGCATTCATATTTGTTTTTTGCATTATTCACACAAAAAATGCCCTTTTACTGATTATATCATCAATGTGATACATTTTACAGTTTTGAAACACTCATATTTGTGTTTAGCGATGTTTCCCAAGTACAATAGTACTCCCTCATGTACAGGCTTTATGGTGTTTTGGAAAGTACAGGGGGAAATATAAAAATTCTCTGGACTTTCTGCATGGGTTCTCAGACAGACATTATGATTAATAAAATCACATAATTTTATGTCAAGACACGGAGGCTCATATTGCATATCCCTTTCTTTACTGTCCACCAATAGCAGCAAAGGATACAAACAGTGAGAAAAAACAGTAACCATAGAGATAGGACACTCCCATATCAAGTCCCAGTATAATAGGCAGCACCTCCCCACCCAATTCCTCTTTCTTTGGAGATGCTACCCACAAACAGCAAACAGGAAACCAGGAACAGTCCAGAACTAGAAGGGCAACGGCCCAAAGTCCATCCGGATACTTGATCAGAAGATGCCCAACAACAGGGACAAAACCAGGAACGAATGATGAAACGTTAACCATAGGGAGTCCATCTCAGCGTTACCCACCGAACTCCAGCTAACTTGGAGAAGTCCTGTGTAGAGAGATGCACTTCATGCGATGCACCCAGAAGTGAGTCAACCTGTGAAAACATAATAACAGGAGCCCAAAGGTTAAATCGGTACTAACACCAATTGTACATGCCAAGATACGATACATTGGAAATCAAGTCACCCCTTAGTGTCCCCCCATACCTTCTTAAGTCAAGAATCCCCAGGAATGTGTAGTGTCATGATTCAGATGTACATATAAGTCATACGTGATGGAGCGCAATTCTATACTTACCGCCCTAAAACGAGATATAACAGGGGGGGAAAAAGGTTATACAAATAAGTAAAAGGGAGGGGCAATACTCGCCTCCGTGTCTTTCATAAAATCATGACTTTTCATCATGAAATAGCAAAATCATGTAATTATATATAAATAATATATATGATAGCAGCATTACACATTTTACTGCTCTAAAACACTCATGTTTGTGTTTATATATATATATATATATGTATATATATGTGTGTATTTAAAAAAATTATTTTATTCAGATATATATATATATATATATATATAATTTCATTCTAAGTATATATATATATATATATTTGAAAAAGATACTAAAAAATTAATCCAGATAACACTCTCAGGTTTTAGTAAAATAAAACTTATCTTTTAATTAGCTTGTCATGAAAAGATTTTTATGACAAGCTAATTAAAAGCCAAGTTTTATTTTACCATTAACGAATTGTATAAATAAATCAAATGATACCCGGGTGCTTCCAGCGCCTAAATAGAAAGTAAAGAAATGGAGCACTCCACAGGGATTCTTAAATGTGTATCAAAATACAGTTAGAGAATGAAATTACACATATATAATTGTTTTTATTATATATATAAGGCCAAAATAGCCTTCGAAAAGTAGGACATTGTGATATTACATCATTGGCTGAGCTCATGTGACTGCGAGATTATTTTTTTTGCCTATTGCGGCAAAAATCTTGCACCAGCTCTAGGTGCCAGATACCACAGGACATATTTAGAGGTCTTGTGAAGTAGATGCCTTGACAAATTAGAGCTGTTTTGGCAGCACAGGTGGGAGCTACACAATATTGGGCTGGTGGTTTTAATGATGTGGCTGATCAGTGTACTATATTAGGTGACCTTCATGTTATTTCAATGGGCTGATCGCGTATTTAAATTCCGGATAACATGATGTGATTTAAATTGCCCCAATCTCAATTTAGCACCAGTACATAAATGTACTGGCCCCACTAACAGTAACACTAACTAACATTAGATTAACACCCCCATAATGGCTGCAGCCACTATTTTTGATCACTGTACTTCAACTGGAACATTCACATTTCTATAGATAACCTTATTGAAAACAACATTAAATATCATCTAAAGCCTGTCATAAACCTTTTTTTATGTGATACTTTATTTTAATTTAAATTCATATAAAAATACTCATCAAAAGTCATAGCTAGGACACACTATGCAAATGAAGAAGAGAAATAGAAACATGGTGTCTTCATATCTTCTTTTCTCTCTGTGCTGACTCCTTGGCAGCGGCATAGCCATGTGACACTAAAACCAGACTTTAGGAAAATGTTATGGCTCCTCCCACATGTAGTAATTTAATTTCCTCCCAAAACCCCTCCCTTAAACACACTGTATTCCCAACCCTAAACATTAACATATTATATAAATCACTTTATGGCACCAAAACTTTCAATTAATTCACCTCACTGTGATGGAATTTCGGTGAAATGTAAATTTAGTAGGCCGAGATTTCCACGTGGCATATGTGTAAGTGTATCAGTTAGTTAGTTACACGTAGCTAAGATACTGTCATCAATGAACTGAGCATGTGCAGGAATGCAGGAACTGAAATCACACTCCTTTCTCCTTTGTTTTGGATGAGCCTTTGTCAGGATTGATGTTTGATCCAGCACGTAGAACTGTACAGCACGGATGACAAATAAGTAACGTATTACCGGTCCTTAGAATGGCCGGATTTAATGTACAAAGAATAGTCAAAAATACTAGCCGAGGTCAGGGAACACAGAAAGGGACACAGCGATGAGGAAAGCCAGGAGTCAGGATACCAGAATATAGAGATGTCAATAAACAAAGCCAAAGTCAAAAACCAGGTAGAAAACTATAAACAGGAACGCGCTCTCAGACAACCACAAGGGAAACCACGACAGGGCACTGAGCAGGCTGAGAACTGGGCCTAAATACCCCTCCTTTAGTTCTGATAGGCTGTAACCGGCCTTTGACCCCAAAGTCAGTTACCAGGTTTCATTTGCATAATTGCTGCTCAGCATTAACCATTCTGTGGATTAGGTTGCTGCTCGGCACAACTTTTCCTGTGTGGACAGTAAATGTCATTAACCACATTTCTATAAGCGGATGAATATGTGACAGCCTTGTGGTCTGCCCATATAAGGAAATCCAAATCCTGTCCACTGATTGGTTATGGGTATGTGCGGGTGGAGCTATTAATGGGAGGAGTTATAGTTCTATAAAAAGCATGTACTCCATGTGTTCGGCCCTCAGACCTGTTTTGGAACGTTAGTTCATCTGAGACCCTATCGGTATGTTAATAAAGACCTCTTACTTCCTGAAAACCTGCATCCATCTCTCTGTGTCTGTCTTCTGCAAGTTTACTTGGTTACATCACAAAAACATTTTTGTTAAATGTAGGGACAAGTAGTAATAATATAAAAAATTTGAGGAAACAACAATTGCTGTTCAATTTAGTCCAAATGTGTCTTCCGTTAGTGACTACTGATGGCAATGAAAGGTTAAATCCAGTTACATAGAATGTGTATGGTTGAATCCTCAAAGTTTATTAGCTTTTCACAAAATTTAAAACGTAATATTATTATGGCACCATTCTTTTCATTAAGGAGCAATCTGGACAAAGATCTCTTTGTCAGGTAGTATCCCCCTTATCCCAAGGTTCACTAAAAAAGTAATAAGCACTTAGTAATATTATACTACGGGGGATATATATAATTTGTTTCACTGCACAGTCATGCAATGATGCATGATAAGTGACGCTCACTTAAATTAATATTTTGGATTGCATTGGATGTGGGAGGCTGGAAATAACATGAAGAGACTTGCGTACTTTGATCCTGTAGACTGCATGTTTAGAGCAAATTGTTGAGAGAGAGTGGTGGGTTTTTCTTTCAATACTTCTATAAGAGTGAATGTAAGGCAATGGGTGGCCGATCATTTTACAGGTGGGAAGTGTAAAGACTTGTCAGAATCCCACCAGGAAATGCACCCACTCAGCATCTGTGTGTTTGGAAGAATAACACTGAGAAACGGTGATGTTTTTAACAGCAACAACTAGAAGTTATTCTTCAAGGTTAGGTGCATTTATTGACAGACAGGGTGAATTACTATGAATAGCAATGACCGGACCATCCTCACTGTACAATGTGTGAACTGCAGTTTCCAAATATGAAGATAATTGAAATGTGGACTTTATGCGACACATAGAACCATACATAATACTTTATCATGCTGGCGATTTTTCTTTTATTAATGACGCTGTATGCATGGATTTTAAAGGACAATTGTTTTGTTTTTTTTTGTAAATCTGTTTATTTAGGAAGAAAGAGGTTTACAGAAAGAATTCGGCTCGCAGGCCTACTTAGAAGACAAGAGTATTGTAGTGATGTTTCTATATTTTGGGTCACATTGTTTGTGCCCACATTACCAAGTCTCCTGTCGGGATTTAATTACAGCGATAAGTTTCGTAATTACCAGTAGGCGTACATAAGATAACAGAAAGGTAAAGTGTGTAGAGTGACAACCGTGGTATTTTTGGCATACGTACATACATATAACATGTGACATTCTTAGTGCTTGTAAGCAGTCTTTTAACACAAAACGTAGCTCTAAGTCGGATGCAGTTATAAGATACAGTATACCATGTAGCAGGAGTGTCTAGTAATAGGCTGGGCATATTTGTCTAGCTCCTCGTGTGTGAGAAGCGTAGGAGCCCTGATCTTAAGGTTAGGTTAAGTTATCCTATGGGTGTTAAAGGACAATTGTTACCTCATAACTCATTTTTAATATAATAATCTTTTCATCAAGTTTTTGAAGAAAACACTTTTTTTTAAATGAACTATTTTTGCTTTACAAATTTTGAAAATATCTCATCCTTAGCTTTTGTAAATGACAGGATTGGTCAGCCATTTACATACACCTTGGGCAGACCGTGTTTAAATTTGACAGTCTCTATGGTCTTCCCTGTTTATAGTAAAATACAAGAGTTGAAATTATACTGTCTGTCTATAAAGCATACTCACTGGCTATATATACTACTGTAAGAGTTATATGTCAATAGCACATAAACTGCAATCTTTTCTTTTTTTATCAATCTATACAGTGTTGGTGTTGCATTCATTGACACACACTGACAGACACGTATACACTGAGAGACACGGATACACATGCTGAAACACGCATACACACACTGACGCACGCATACACACACTGACAGACACACACTTTCAGTGACAGATACACACACACTGACAAACACACATACACACTCACTGGCAAATACATATACACTCTCAGTGACAGACACACACACAGTAACCCACTCACTAACAGACACACACACACTAACACACTAACTGACACAAACACTAACACTCACTAGCAGACACACACTAACTAACAGACACACACTAATAATCACATTAACACTCACTAACAGACACACTAACACATTCAATGTGAAGGGGGAGAGTCAGTGAAGGGGGGAGAGTAAGTGAAGGAAGGGGGGGAGTAAGTGAAGGAGAGGGGGAGAGAGTAAGTGAAGGAGGAGGGAGAGTCAGTGAAGGGGGAAAGTAAGTGAAGGGGGGAGAGTAAGTGAAGGAAGGGGGGGGAGTGGTGGGTTTTTCTTTCAATACTTCTATAAGAGTGAATGTAAGGCAATGGTTGGCCGATCATTTTACAGGTGGGAAGTGTAAAGACTTGTCAGAATCCCACCAGGAAATGCACCCACTCAGCATCTGTGTGTTTGGAAGAATAACACTGAGAAACGGTGATGTTTTTAACAGCAACAACTAGAAGTTATTCTTCAAGGTTAGGTGCATTTATTGACAGACAGGGTGAATTACTATGAATAGCAATGACCGGACCATCCTCACTGTACAATGTGTGAACTGCAGTTTCCAAATATGAAGATAATTGAAATGTGGACTTTATGCGACACATAGAACCATACATAATACTTTATCATGCTGGCGATTTTTCTTTTATTAATGACGCTGTATGCATGGATTTTAAAGGACAATTGTTACCTCATAACTCATTTTTAATATAATAATCTTTTCATCAAGTTTTTGAAGAAAACACTTTTTTTAAAATGAACTATTTTTGCTTTACAAATTTTGAAAATATCTCATCCTTAGCTTTTGTAAATGACAGGATTGGTCAGCCATTTACATACACCTTGGGCAGACCGTGTTTAAATTTGACAGTCTCTATGGTCTTCCCTGTTTATAGTAAAATACAAGAGTTGAAATTATACTGTCTGTCTATAAAGCATACTCACTGGCTATATATACTACTGTAAGAGTTATATGTCAATAGCACATAAACTGCAATCTTTTCTTTTTTTATCAATCTATACAGTGTTGGTGTTGCATTCATTGACACACACTGACAGACACGTATACACTGAGAGACACGGATACACATGCTGAAACACGCATACACACACTGACGCACGCATACACACACTGACAGACACACACTTTCAGTGACAGATACACACACACTGACAAACACACATACACACTCACTGGCAAATACATACACACTCTCAGTGACAGACACACACACAGTAACCCACTCACTAACAGACACACACACACTAACACACTAACTGACACAAACACTAACACTCACTAGCAGACACACACTAACTAACAGACACACACTAATAATCACATTAACACTCACTAACAGACACACTAACACATTCACTGTGAAGGGGGAGGGGGGGAGAGTCAGTGAAGTGGGGAGGGGGAGAGTCAGTGAAGGGGGGAGAGTAAGTGAAGGAAGGGGAGTAAGGAAGGAGGGGGGAGAGTCAGTTAAGGGGGGGGTAAGTGAAGGGGAGACATGAAGGAAGGGAGTAAGTGAAGGAGAGGGAGAGAGTCAGGTGAAGGAGGGGGGGAGAGGAAGTGAAGGCTGGGGGGGGAGAGTAAGGAAGGAAGGGAGGGAGAGGAAGGAGGGGGGGGAGATGGGGGTAGGGGGGGAGAGAAGGAAGAAAGGGGGAGAGTAAGTAGAAGGGAGAGTAAGTGAAGGGAGGGGAGACAGTGAAGGGGAGGTGGAAGAGGCAAGGAAGGGGAGAGTAAGGAAGGAAGGGGGGAAAGCAAGTGAAGGAAGGGGAGAGTAAGTGGCTGCTGGGAGGGCAAGGAGGGGAGAGTCAGTGAAGGGGAGAGCCAGTATGGGGGAGTCAGTGAAGGGGAGAGGCGTGAATGAAGGGTAAGTGAAGGAGAGGGGAGAGTCAGTGAAGGCCAGGAGTAAGTGAAGGAGGGGGGCAGAGCAAGGGAATAGCTGGGAGCAAGGGAAGGAGGGGGAGAGTCCAAAGTGGGAGAGCAAGGAAGGAAGGGGAGAGTAAGCAATGAAGGTGGCAAGGAAGGACAGGGGAAGAGAGAAGTGAATGGGAGGGGGAGAGCCCAGTGAAGGGGGAGTATGAAGGGGAGAGCAAGAAGGAAGGGGAGTAAGGAAGGAGGAGAGAGAAGTGAAGGGGGAGAGAGTAAGTGAAGATGGGGAGCAAGGAAGGGGGAGAGTCAGTGAAGGTGGAGGGGAGAGAAGGAGGGAGGAGAGTAAGTGAAGGGGAGAGGAAGTGAAGGAAGGGGGAGAGAAGGAAGGGGGAGTAAGTGAAGGGGAGAGAGTAAGTGAAGGAGGGGGGAGCAATAGGAGGAGGAAGGAGAAGAAGAAGAAGGGGGGTAAGAAAACAGGGGCAAAGAACAGGGGAGTAAGAAGAACACAAGGAGGAGGGGGAGAGTAAGGGTGAAGAGAAGGGGAGATGAGGAGAAGGGGGGACTGAGAAGAACACAGGGAGTGTGGGTGGCGAGGAGAACACAGGGAGGGGGGAGGTGAGGAGGACACAGGGAGGAGAGGGGGTAAGAAGAACACAGGGAGGGGGGAGGTGAGGAGAACACAGGGAGGGGGGAGGTGAGAAGAACACTTGGAGGGTGGATGAGAAGAGCACAGGGAGGGTGGGTGAGTGTGAGAAGAGACCGCTAGGGGAGGGTGGGGGAGAGGAGAGACCACTAAGGGGCAGGGGAGAGCTCTAAGGGACAGAAGGGACAGCTCTATAGGACAGGGGGCAAGACAGGGAGCTCTTTCACACTACGCGCACACACACACACAATGCATCCCTATACACACACAGAAACGCAACATGCTTCTCTTACACACAGAGAAACACACAATGCATCCATTACACACACACAATGCAACCCTTACACACAAAGACAATGCATCCTTTGCACACATATACAGAAACACACAATGCAAACCCTTACACACACTGCTTTTCTTACATACACACAGAAACACAATGCATCTCTTACACACACTCAATGCACACACTTACAGACACACACCTTGCATCCCTTATGCATACAAATACAGATTCATGCAATGCATCCCTTACACACAACCAGAAACACACAATACATCCCTTATACACAAATACACACTGCTTCCACTACACACAAACACACTGCATCACCTGCACAAGCTGGTATCCATATACACTACATACCATAAACACACATATTAGATCCTCTACAATAACATATACATCCCCTACACACTCCACTCCCTGTGAGCGAACTCATGGGTGGGTGGAACATATAAGTGGACTTATGAGTGGGCCTTGTGGGCATACTCACTGTCAGGCCTTGGGGCCCAGACCTTAAGCTGTGTAAGGGGCCCCCAAAAAATGGAGCTGCTTCCAATTCTCCCAGAACATTGAATTTTGTGACCACAGTTGCAAACAGCCTCCAGAGATCCTGTTCTACACCAGACCAGTGGAGCCAAACTGCAGTCCATCATCATCCTCATCTGGTTGTAAGTAGGCAATCTAGTGTATTATTAGTGACACTAATCTATAATTTACCTCACAATAAAGGGACACTATAGTCCCCAGAACGACTGCAGCTTAATGAAGTGGTTCTGGTGTCTACAGCCGGTCCCTGCAGGCTTTTCAAATGTACACACACTGTGTGCAGCACTGGGGTTAGTTCGTATGGCAGCTCATATAGGTGGGGCATTGTGATGTCACATGGGGGGCGGCAAATACAGCTGTTCCCCATGCAGCCACAGGTGCCACTGTGCTGGGAGATTGTGATTACTCTTCACTTCCTCCCAGCCTACAGAGCAGCGCAGGGGAGAGAGAGAGGAGGAGGCATGATTTAATCTTACAACAAATCCAGTAAGCAAATCTTTATAAATTTGGGGGGATCAGCTCTGTTTCCACAGTTTCTTGGTGTTACTCTGATGTCTGTATTAATTGAGGGATTTCTAAGTAGTAACATCAGTGTGTGTCAGCAGGGCCAGCCGTTGGGGTCTGCACGCTGTGCGGTCACGCAGGGTGCCATGACAACAGAGGCACCCGGCGGACAACACAGCTCACAAGTTGGGGACACCAGCCTATTCAATTTAAACGATTCGCTGGTGGTCCACTGGTGCGCACCAGCAGTAGGTGCAGTCAGATTATAGCCTCTCCCTCGTGGTTCCGGCGCTCAGTTAGTGAGTCAGAGCACAGGCTCAGAGATTCTCAGCCTGCGCTCTGACAACATTGAAAGTCAGAGCCGTGAAGGAGCGGGTATGGCAAAGAGCTACTGATTAGCATAACATCAATATCCGTTATAAAACCAGGAAAAGGTGGGCACCATTGCACTGATTTGGTGGTGCAATGGGCCACTTGACTGGTTTTGCACCCCAGGCCTAAGGCTGCCAGCCCTCCCCTGGACATGGCCATAGATCCTGTAGAATTGTGTAAGCACATAGCTGCTTGTGAAAGGAAACTGGAGGATAATGATCACCGCATGGATCAATTTGCCCTTGCCTTCAGTACGCTTCTTACCCGAACAGCGCATCTGCAACCTGCGGCCTCACCTCCACCTTGTGTACCTCCAGCTATAGTACACAAGGCACCTACTATCTCCCTATCTCCCCCCCTGCATTTTGATGGTAATATTTATTAACCAAATGGAGTATCATTTTGAGGCCTCACCGGAATCTTTTCCCACAGACAGAGCTAAAATTGGTTACTTAAAGGTAAAGATTTAGCTTGGGCCAATCCATTATTGTATACTACCGAATGTATTCAGTTATATGTACTGAATACATTCAGTAGTTTTACAGTTATTACATTTTATGTATTTTTATTGTATCCTGTAAAATGGCATTTTGCCTCTATCCATGGAGATAATTGGATTTCTTCCCAATTATCTCCAGGATAGAGATGAGGGGTTTACTTGTACAAAGGGGAGTGTTTATGCCTGAGCCACTGTGATTGGCTACTATACTATACTTGTCCCAGTCTTCCATCTGGTCCCCTAGGGTAGTGTCCACCAGGTGGGAGACCTGCATAAATACCGGGCATGTAGCCCTCAATAAAGCAGATTCTTGTTTTACCCTCAAGACGGAGCTTGGTTCTGTGTTTGGGGGAATTGCTACTTTGGTTTATTCTTTTGCCGGTTCCAGGAGAGAAGGATTTCGTCTGATTCTCTCTTCGGGAAATTGGAGTATTTGTGAGTTGCTGGTCCCATATCAAGGATAAAAGGATTTTGTGTATTTTCCCAGTTCGGTGAATTGAAGGGTACGTGAGTTGCTATTCCCATATCAAGGTATATCCCTCATTCGTTATTAACCCTCGATACCCGGGTTATACCGTAACAGGAATGAACAGTTTGTCCTGAGGTTTACCGCAGGGCGTCTGAGACTGAGCCTCCATGATCGAGCCGTGTGACAGAGGGATCTGTCACACGGCTCCCTCCTTGTGGGACACTTCGGCAAAGCCGGCTTGACCCTTTGGCGGGTCAACTTGGGGATGACCGGACTAGGAGGTGAGGTGGTAGGGATGTCAGTTTGCCGGGACAATCCATCTGCATTCCCGTTCTGCTTACCGGGACAGTAGCTGATGGTGAAATTATAAGGTTGGAGGGCTAAACTCCACCGCAGCAATCTACCATTGTCTCCTGAGATCCGGTTAAGCCAGAATAAGGGATTGTGGTCCGTTATAAGAGAGAATTCCTGTCCGTTTAAATAAGGGCTCAACTTCTTCAGTGTCCAGACCAGGGCTAAACACTCCTTCTCCACTGCCGCATAACTTACTTCTCGAGGTAATAACTTTCTGCTTAAGTATGCGACAGGGTGCTCTCCTCCATCCTCCCCGACTTGGCTCAGCACAGCCCCCAGTCCATACATGGAAGCATCTGTGTGAATGAGAAAACGTTTGTTAGGGGCTGGGGCAGCCAAGACAGGGGCATTCACAAGAGCCTGCTTCAGTGCCTGAAACGCGGCTTCACAAGCTGGAGACCACAGGACCTGCTTAGGCAGGTTCTTCTTAGTCAGGTCATTTAGGGGCTTGGCGATAGTACTGTAGTCAAGGAAAAAACGTCGGTAGTACCCTGGCGTCCCCAAGAAGGCTAGCACTTGGGTCTTAGTGATACAGCCATACCTTGTCTGGTTTCAAGGTCAGGTCAGCGGCCTGAATCTTGTCCAGAACCACCCCTACATGGACTAGGTGTTCCTCCCAGGACTCACTGTAGACCACAATGTCGTCCAGGTATGCACAAGCAAATTCCTGGAAGCCATCGAGGAGTCTATCCACCACATGCTGGAAGGCAGCCGGAGCATTCTTCATCCAGAATGGCATGATCATAAAATGGTACAGGACAAATGGGGTGACAAATGCCGACTTGGGGATAGCATCCTCGGCCAGGGGAATCTGCCAATAGCCCTTACAAAGGTCTATGGTGGTCAGATAGCGTCCCCTGGCAATACGGTCTAGTAACTCGTCTACCCGGGGCATCGGGTAGGCGTCAGTGGTAGTCCTCTCGTTGAGCCACCTGTAGTCCACACAAAACCGGGTGGTCCCAACTTTCTTAAGTACCAGGACTGCAGGCGAAGCCCAAGGGCTATCGGAGTGTTCGATGACTCCCAGCCGAGTCATCTCCTGTATCTCCTTCCGCATTCCTTCTCAGACTGCTTCAGGGATACGTTAGGGGGGCTGTCGCAAGGGATTCTGTCCAGGGGTCTCTACCTTATGTACAGCTAGGGTACTGTAGCCGGGCTCTTGGGAGAACGTCGCCTGCTTCTCCCACAGAAGCTGTCTTGCCTGTACTTTCTCTGTAGGGCTTGGACCCCTAGCTGCACAAGACTAGTGAGGTCAGTCTCGGGGTCCCTCTCTAATAAATCGGGCAGGGGTAAACTCTGCGGGTCGTCTGCAGCAGGGGCACATACTGCAGCGATGTCCTCTGGTCTCTCCTGATACTCCTTCAGCATTTTCACATGAAAGGATCGCTGGATCCTTTCATCTGCACAGCTGGCTATAATATAGGTAGTATCACACACCTGAGCTAACACCTTATACGGGCCCTTATACTGGCCCTGTCTTCACAGGCTTGAGCACCAAAACTTTCTGCCTTACCTGGAAGACCCGCTGCCGGGCACCCCGATCGTACCACCTCTTCTGTCTCCCCCTTACCATCAGGGACAGTTTCTCCATGCGGTCCCGGCGTTCCAGTACATATGGTACTATGTGGGTCCCCTCCTGCTCTGTCTCTCCCTCCCAGTGTCCTCTAATGATCCAGGGGTCCGCGGACCCTTCTACCATAGAGTAACTCAAAGGGAGAGAACCCAGTAGATTCCTGGGGCACCTCTCTGTACGCAAATAGCAGATGAGGCAGGAATCGCTCCCAGTCTCTGCAAGTGTCAGTAAAGGTCCTCAGCATCTGCTTGAGGGTACCATTAAATCGCTTGCAGAAACCGTTAGTCTGTGGGTGATAAGGCGAACTGAGCAGCGGTTTAATGCCGCACACCTTCCACAGCTGCTGGGTGAGCACAGCGGTAAACTGGGTTCCCTGGTCGGAGAGAATCGCCTTAGGGATCCCTACCCTAGTAAAAACCTTAATCAGGGCATCAGCTACTGTCTCTGCCTCTATATTAGACAGTGCTACCGCCTCTGGATAACGAGTGGCATAGTCCACCACAGTGAGAATATACTTCTTACCTGATGGACTAGCCCTGGCCAGTGGACCCACAATGTCAACGGCTATGCGGGAAAAGGGTTCCCCAATGATAGGCATAGACATAAGCCTAGCTTTTGGGTGATCCTCCGCTTACCTACCCATTGACAGGTGCCACAAGTACTACGATATACCCGCACATCTCGGTTAAAATTGGGCCAGAAGAAATTTTGGGTGATCCTATGAGCTGTGCGGCGGGACCCTAGATGTCGAGCTAATGGTACATCATGCCCAATCCGCAGAATCTCTTGCCGGTATTTTGCAGGCACCACCAGCTGCCGATTCTGCGGAGGGGCAGCACTTTTCTGGGAAGATTTAGGGATCCTATACAGCCTATCCCCCACCCACTCATAACATTCCCCATCTATCCCCTCTTCCCCAGCATCTGCCCTAGCCCTATACTTCTGAAGGGTCAGATCCTCCAGGGTTTCCCTCCCGTACGCCTCTGGGGTATGCCAGCTTAAGGGGGCCTGATCTAGGGTACAAGTCGGGGGAGAGAGTCTTACCTGGGTCTTGGCAGCAGGTGGGTCGGTCTCGGTGGCACGGGTCTGGGCACGGGTAGTCACAGGGTTAACATCAGCGGGACCCATCGGAGCGTAGGCAGAAACAAGGGGGGGCCAAGTCATTTCCAAGGAGAACATCAGCTGGTAAATCCTTCATGATCCCCACATGCACATGTCTAGCACCCACTCCCCAATCCAAATATACCCGGGCAACAGGCAGGTGGAACACAGCGCCCCCTGCTACCCTCACAGCCACAGTGTCTCCGGTGTGCTGGTTCTCGGACACCAAGTTCTTTTGGAGCAAGGTCATGATAGCACCAGTATCTCGTAGACCACTGACCTCCTTCCTATTCACTTTAACCAGTTGCCAGTGCTGTTGTCGGTTATCCCGGTGGGCAGCTTGCACAGGGTCTGCTTCATTTACCTGCCTCAACATTCTTCCTTCTCTACACAGTGGGCAGCGGGCTGAGGGTTACGTGGGTTTCCGCCGGCAAGTCTCTTCCAGGACTGTGCTTGGTTCGCTGTGTTTAGTGGACACTCTGGTCTTTTGTGCTCTAGTTGCTTACATCCGAAACACCAGATGGGCTGCGAGTAGTCCCGTGAGTTGAACCGGGTTGGCTGAGGGTAGTTTGTGGCTGGAGGTGGTGCTGTAGGGCGGTGCGCCGGGGTTTGGTAACCGGTAGCTGCTGGGGTTACGGTTGGTCGGTACTCCACTCTGGCAGGGGTCTTAGTGGTAGCAGTAGCCAGTTTGCGGGCATCCGTATACTCATCTGCCAGGCGAGCAGCTTCATGTAGTGTGGAGGGTTTACAGTCCCGAACCCACTCTCTGACTCCTGCGGATAACTTGTCGAAGCAATGTTCCAACAGGAATAGCTGCAACACCTCTTCCCCGGATACGGCTTGGCACCCTGCCATCCAGTGAGCTGCTGTGCGGTGTACCCTACATGCCCACTCGATGTAGGAATCTCCAGCTAGTTTAGCAGTGTCTCTGAACTGCCTCCGGTATGCCTCCGGTGTAACCGCATACCTGGAGAGCAGAGCCTCTTTTACGGCATTATAGTCCCCGACTTCCTCATCCTGAATGGCCCGAAAAGCCTCGCTGGCCTGGCCGGATAATTTTCCGTATAATATCGTGACCCAGTCCTCTGCGGGTATCTTTTGTAGCGCACATTGCCTCATAAAATCAGCAAGGTACCCATCAATCTCTCCTTCTGCTTCAATTAAGTTTTTAAAAGCTGCAAAATGTACTTTTTTCTTTTCCACCGGGCTTACTGTGACTTGGGCTGCTGCAGCGCCGCTTTGGCGAAGTAGGTTGGCCTCCATAGCTGCTATGACCCGGTCGATAATTTCAGTAGTCGGGTTGGGGCCATAATGTGTCAGGCTTATTTTAACCGCCCGGTCAAAGCTTGCTTCTTCGGGCCCATTGGTTCCTTCGTCAGTATTGCAATAATCTCCCTCTTCCTGAGGTTACTGGCTTGTCGGCCCCATGGTTCTAGCAGGTCTTTAAGGGTAGCTCTTTTCATCCTTTCATACGGTACTTCCATTAAGTCCGGATGTGTAGTTGCTCTTTTGGGCGATGAGAACCATCCCGTCGCTTGCCACCAGTTGTTACGGTATAACCCGGGTATCAAGGGTTAATACCGAATGAGGGATGCACCTTGATACGGGAATAGCAACTCACGAACCCTTCAATTCACTGAACTGGGAAAATACACAAAATCCTTTTCTCCTTGATACGGGACCAGCAACTCACGAACACTCCAATTTCTCGAATAGAGAATCAGACGAAATCCTTCTCTCCTGGAAAGAATAATACAAAGTAGCAATTCCCCCAAACACGAGACCAAGCTCCGTCTTGGGGGTAAAACAGGAATCTGCTTTATTAAGGGCTACATGCCCGGTATTTATGCAGGTCTCCCACCTGGTGGACACTCCCCTAGGGGACCAGATGGAAGACTGGGACAAGTATAGTATCATAGTGGCTCAGGCATAAGCACTCCCCTTTGTATAAGTAAACCCCTCCTCTCTATCCTGGAGATAATTGGGAAGAAATCCAATTATCTCCATTGATAGAGGCAAAACGCCATTTTACAGGATTCAACAAAAATACATAAAATTCAATAACTGTAAAACTACCGAATATATTCAGAACATATAACGTATCCCCAGATAGCCTAGATCTGAGCGCACATTATAACTGAATGGCGCTCAGATCCAATACACACAGTTCAATTGCCATGGAGCCAAAGTCTTTCACACTGTTCTTTCGGTATACGAAGGGCTCCATGGGATGGCTATCTGGGCTAAGTCCATTTGTGAAAGAAAAAGTCCCGAACGGACCGGCGTTCGAATGCCAGATGACAAAGAAGGGAGGTCGGCGGGAGAAAAAGTGTCCGTTTTGGGTTCCATAAGATTGTCGTCGAACACCGCTGTTCATTCGTGCGTCTAAGATGGCCGCCGCCTCGTGGTCGGCATACGAACAACAACCACCCAGCATACGGTTTCAATTAAGAGGTGTCTGCGGTTAACCACAATGTTCTAATTGAGGCCAATAGGTTAACCAGCAGCACACTTCTCTTCTGGGTGGCCGGCCATTCGATAGTTTGTTCGGTAGATTAAAAAAATGAACGGGGAAATACGGACAGGAAATTATACGAATCCACACGAATCAAACGGGATAGCCATATAGTTCAAAGACAGAGGGATCTGTCACAGTTCCATTGGGGGAAAGGGTTAATATCATGAAGGTGTTTCACGACAATGTGTGGTCACTCAGGTATTAATAAATCCACTTCTGCTATCATGAGATCATTCTGGTGGGATTCCCTCAGGAAGGATGTTAAGGAATATGTGCAGGCCTGTTCTATTTGTGCGGTTTCCAAAGTGCCCCATAAACTCCCTTGTGGCTTGTTACAACCTCTTCCTATTCCTGAGGTCCCATGGTCCCACTTGTCCATGGACTTCATTGTTGTGGACCAGTTTTCTAAAATGGCTCATATTATTCCTCTCAAGAAATTGCCGTCATCTCAAGACCTGGTACTAATCTTTATACGAGAAATTGTCCGTCTGCATGGCATTCCTCACAATATAGTATCTGACAGAGGTTCTCAGTTTGTGCCTCGGTTTTGGAGGGCCTTCAATAAACAATTAGGGATCGAATTGTCTTTTTCATCCTCTTACCACCCCCAGACCAATGGTACAGCTGAGAGGGCTAACCAGTCCTTGGAATTATATTTGTGTTGTTTCGTTAATAGCACTCAAGACAATTGGTCCAAATTACTACCATGCGCCGAGTTTGCTAGGAACAATGCTGACCATGACTCCTCTGGGCATAGTCAATTTTTTGTTAATAATGGCCGGTATCCTACTGTCCTACCGGCTGTTTTTTCTGATACGGCTATTCCTGATTTAGATGACCGCCTGGCTTTCATCCGTGATACCTGGGTTAAAGTTCAATCTGCTCTGGGTACTGCTGCTGACCGTTTCAAGCATTATGCTGATACACGTCGAAGTGCCAACCCTGTTTACCAAGTGGGTGAGAGGGTTTGGTTATCTTCTTGTAACATCAGGCTCAAAGTCCCTAGCATGAAATTTGCTCCCAGGTTCCTTGGACCTTTTCGTGTCCTTCGTAGGATCAATCCTGTTGCGTACTCTCTGGCCCTTCCGGCCTCCTTGAAAATTCATAATACCTTTCATGTGTCCTTGCTCAAACCTCTTGTTTGCAATAAATATACTGTCTCAAGTGTCCCTCCTCCTCCCTTAGTTGTTTCTGGACAGGAAGAGTATGAGGTCTCCTCCATAATTGATTCCAGGTTTTCTCGGGGCACTTTACAGTACTTGGTGGATTGGAAAGGTTATGGACCAGCCGATCGTTCTTGGGTTGCGGCATCTGATATACATGCTGGCCGCAAGATTTGCTATTTTCACGCCAAATTTCCTCTCAAGCCTGGTAATGTCACGTATTCATCTGCTTATAAAAATGTGGTTAATGGCATTTACTGTCCAAACAGGAAAAGTTGTGCCGAGCAGCAACCAAATCCACAGAAGGGCTAATGCTGAGCAGCAATTATGCAAATGAGATCCTGTTAACTGCCTTTGGGGTCAAAGGCCAGTTACAGCCTATCAGATCTAGAGCCTATCAGTTCTCATCCTGCTGAGTGCCCTGTCGTGGTTTCCCTTGTGGTTGTCCTAGAGCGCATTATTGATTCTGGTTATTCTGGTTATTTGACTTTGGCATTGTTTTTGACTTCCCTGTTTTCTGGCATCCCTGACTCCTGGCTTTTCCTTATTGTTGTGTCTATTCCTGACTATTCTTTGGTACGTTAGTCCGGCCATTCTAAGGTCCGGTATACGTTACCTATCAGTCCTCTGTGTTACACAATTCTATGTGCTGGATCACTCTGTAATCCTGACACTCTGGAGCTGATCACAACTGGATCACAGCGGTATTAACCCATTTTCAGGAGTGTATACTGCCACACTCACTAACAGACACAAACACTAACACTTAATAACAGGCACACACTAACACACTCACTAAAAAACACATTAACACTCTCACAAACAGACACACACACACACTCAATAACAGACACACACTAACACACTCACAATTTTTTACTCTACCTGTGAGAGTGCTGGAGTGGATTCTTCCCAGTGGGGCTGCTGCTGGCTTTGCTGGCAGGCATGCAGGCGTTAGGGAGGGCAGGCAGGCTCATAGTGGATTCGGCAGGGAGCTTTGATCTCCCTTCTCAGCTTCCTTGCGCACCTTTTAATGATGTCGGAGATGGAGTGACATCATATTCCGGCTCCGGCATGACTGCGTTCCGCGCGAGGGAGCTGAACAGGGGAGAGTGCTCCCTCTCCCCCGCCTACCAACATCAGCGCATGCCAGCCTCGGGGGGCCCTGAGGTGGCTAGTCGACTAGCTCCCCCAGGACAAGAGACTGGCAAGGCATTTGCCAGGGCGATTGTGGGCCGCCACCCTGAAAATGCTACCCAAGGCAAATGCCTTGTGTCACGGCACAGATTTTATTGCAATCTATTGTATCCTATAAATTCACTGTCATTTTCAATGCTTGTATGATCCTGATGAAAGTCCACAAGGGGGACTGAAACGTTGATCTTGTCTTAAACACTTCAATTAAAGTTATGTTTTATGAAAGTCCATGAGTTTAGCCAACTACTTCATTTACCTGGATACTGGAGCCCTGGTAATGCACCCGGTCATGCAATTCTGAAGCCAGAGTGCAAGGTACAGCTATTTTTTTTGTATATATATATATATATATATATATATATATATATTAATATACAGTTGTAATTAAAATTATTCAAAATTGAAAATCAGGTTTTGTTGTCAAAATGTACAGACTTTCAGCTGTTTGCAAAGAACAAATCAAACAAAAGCAATTAAAATAGTTTAACACAAATGCAACATATAATGACCTCTGCAGTCTCAAAATTATCCAACCCCCTAATAGAATCCCTCACAACAGCACAAATATGCAAAACAGGTGTTGTGTCACTGAAACTTGAGTGCCTGCTGCACATCTGATGCAACTAATCAAGGGCTTCATTAATTGCACCAGATTTGCTTGAGGTGGAACACTTGAAATACCTGAACTGGCTAAGAATTTGTTGAGTGTCATGTTTGATTGCATGTAAGAAATATGGCTAAGTCAAAAGAATGGTCCACAAAGTTAAGACAAGAGATCATTGCCCTTCACAAACAAGGAACAGGATCCAAATACATAGCGAAGGCACTGAATGTTCCTAGAGACAACATTGGAAGCATAGTTTACAAGTTCAAAATTAAAGGAACAGTGATTACACTACCTGGACATGGCAGACAAAGAAAGCTATCAATGGCTGCAACACGATTTCTTAAACGGCAGGTTGTGAAAAACAGGCACTGAGGTTTCAGTGAGCACGGTAAGGCGTGTACTAAACACAGAAGTATTCCATGCCTGAACTCCAAGACGTACACCTCTACTGACCGAAAAGCACACGAAAAGTCAGCTCCAATATGCTCAAAATCATATAAATAAGTCAGATGATTTGGGATTCTGTTCTATGGAGCGATGAAGCATAACTGGAACTTTTTGGCCCCATGGATCAGCAGTATTTCTGGAGGAAGAAAAATGAAATCTATGCTGAAAAGAACACTCTGCCTACAGTTAAGCTGTAACAGTCACCTGGGGACTTATGTAACAGTTTAACAGCAGTTGGAGCCCAGTTGCAGGAGATGGCACAGAGAGGAGGCAAAAACCAGAAGTGCAGTAGAGATTAAGGTGAAATCCAAAGGCAGGGTCAGACGAGAAGCAGAAGTCAGGGCTGGCAGCTGAGTAACGTGGTCGGTAAAGCAGGCAGAGGTCAGAGTCCAGGAAATCAGTCAGTAGCGAAGCAAAGATCCAGCAGGAAACACCAAACAGGCAAAATGACCAGATACTAATTACAGCCTGCAAATTAGATGCAGCTGACCCTAATTGGAAAAGGGCTACAGGTGAATCAGCACTGCTAAATCCAGGCAAGGGGTCAGGAAGCAGAATAATGCAAACAGAAACTGAAGCCCCCTGGTGGACAGCACGGCAGAGAACCTGACTGGGATGCTGGAGCTGTCTCTTAAAGGGTGCTAGCCACCCAGTCAGGTCTCTTAAAGAGGCGGCCACGCCTTGCTATCTGCAGGAGCCTGTAAAATGCATAGATCTTCTCTGCGGCTAACTAAAAAATCTGGTTGGCGCTGGCGAAGGAGCACTTTTCCCTGAGCTCTCTACTCAGCTCCCTTGCGCGCTGCAGAGTGATGCTGGGAGCCAGAATATGATGTCATATTCCGGCTCCCGGTATCACTCTGCGGGGTGCGAGGGAGCTGCACAGAGAGCTTACTAATCAGAGCTCCCTCGCCAGCACTGCCCAAAGGTAAGGGGGGTTGAATTAAAAGAAAAAGTGTGTTAATGTGAGTGAGTGTGTGTCTATTAGTTTGTGTGTGTGTGTCTGTTAGTGAGTGAGTGTGTGTCTGTTAGTGAGTGTGTGTGTGTCCCTCATTAGGAAAGTAAATTAGTTATCTGAAAGATCATTTGTTAATATGGATCTTTCAGGTGTTTAGTAGATGACTCCTTCATTTGGTAACCTTAAATATGGCAATCCTATTTAAGTATACCAAATTAGGTAACCATCTGCTATTATAATCTTCATTTTTTTAAGCTATATAGATGTCTTCCATCAATTTGCAGTCATGTGGCCCTCATATGAAAAAAGATTGTTGACCCCAGACTAAGGCCACAATAGCTGATTAAAAATTCAGCTACTGGCAGAAGTGCACCAACATACAGTAAATGTTTGAGTCCAATTACCAGACTTTTCAAAAGATGTCAAGGTAATAGGGCTGAAACATTGAGTGTATTCTGTTGCATTTTTGCTTAAATGAGTTCTCTCTTGCCACTACTCTGTATTGGGTGACTGTCAATGACAACAATCTCTTCTTACAGGATTGCTGCATAGGCACCAATTGCAGCAACTGCTCCATTCAGATGCACTATTGCCCAAAAGAATGCTTTGCATATGGAAGCATTATCCTAATGCTTCTATATGGAAGCTCTCACATCCGATTCAGTGATCATTCAAGTGAATCATTCAGTGATCATTTGAGTGAATCAGGAAGCCTCCTGACTGCCAGTTTGAGGGCAAAGTATTGTTCCCAAATTTATTTTTTTATTTGTATTTTATTAGAGTTACCAATTCCAAAAAAGGAGACTGTATCATTATAAAAGGTTACGTTTACAGGTAGACATCATCAGACAACATTTTATAACATCATGGATTTAAGTATAAGATAGCTAGAGTTTGCCTATGTTGTGGTTTGTACCTAGTGTTTGCATAGTCAGTGCCTAGTGACCTCTATGTCTTTAGCTGATGGCTGGTAGTGTGCCTCTGAGGGTGTTGTCTCTAAGGTGTCTTGTGGTGTGTCTGCCTTGTAGTTAGGTGCAGGCTTTGTGGACAAACAACATATCAGTTTCCTCTGTCGCAGGTTACAACTCGTGGGCATGCCCTGCAAGGTGTCTTAACCTAAAGGGAACGTGTCATCTCCTAGTGTGTCTCTGGTTAAGTTAATTAACATATTTTCTGTAGTAAAAAGCTGGTTATATGCTACGAGGTAATTTAACTAAAACAAGTAAACCAACGTAAAACAATTGTTTTGTGCAGTGGAACTGCGCTCTGTGGCCTATAGCATTGCATGCGTTTGAGGTCGGGGCTCCTGAGGTAAAAGTTCCCCCAGTTTGGGTCTCAACTAGATATAGTCTCTGCAGGAATGCGTTAGAGTCCCCTGTGATGTCAAGGTGAGTGCTGTGTCTCCTTGTGTCACCGCCAGTGAGCCATTTGCTCCCCATTGATACTTGATCACGGCGTTCCGCAGTTATGCAGCTATCGGGGCCCGTTCTGATAGGACTGTGAATATGAGGTCACCATATATCACCACCGTGTGGCCTTCAAAATAAATGTTGCCGAGCTGTCTGGATCTGTTCATGATGGCAGTGCGAGCTGCAATATCAGTCGTCACTGCTATAGTGTCTCAAGGTGGGGCAGCCGCTGCCTTGCAGACTCTGAAAGCAGATGTAATCACCTTGCGATCCGCTCAGGCCCAGGGACGCCATTAATCTCTGGGTGGATGGGAGCAGTGCCTCCCCTCCTATCTGATAAGGGATGTCTCTTAGATGTATATTATGTCTCCTGTGTCTGGTTTCCAGTGTGGTGACCGATTTGGTTAGCATCTGGACCTGTTGATGGAGGCTGTCCACTTGGTTTTGGGTGTGCTTTACTGTGCTCTCTCTGACCTTTTCTTTAGACTCCTCTAGGAGGTCAGCCTTCCACACTCTCCTCACCTCTTGTAGGAGACTTTTTATGTCTCCTTTCGTTGCCAGAAAAAAGTAATCATCTGAGTCTAACTCCCGGTATACTCCGGCCTCTTGGGGTGAGGTAGAACCCTCACTCTCCTCACACGAGTTTTCAGAGGACTCCACCTCCACTCGCGCTGCTGGCGCCATCTTGGTCGCGCTGTTTGGAGCAGGCCGCTCAAAGGACAGCCTAATATCTGGCAGTTTCAGGGCCGCAGGGAGATGAAATCTCCAGTTCTAGCGTCCCATTGATGTCTGCTGGTGGGGGTATTGATCGGTGTGTCTGCGGAGCGTTGTGGTCTATTTTGGGGCTAAAAAGCCTGTAATCAGTCGGAGCTCCTCTGAGACACGTCCATGATGCTGCTCAGTCAGCCACACCCCTCCCCCAAATTAATTTATAGATTAATTTATAATTTATGATGATTTCTCTTGAAATCGTAAATTTTATGAAAGTGGGCCACACAAGTTGAAGTGCTTTAGATGTCCTTCAAAGAAGAATTTTTAATGCTAAGTCTTTCTTTCCACTTTTATATCTGCGTGCTATACTACTGCAATGCATGATAGGGCTTGCATAAACAAAATTCCAGGGCTTTTTAAAAATTCCTAGTCAGGCCCCGCCATTGGGTAAGGTAAAGGAACACTATGGGGTCAGGAACACAAACATGTATTCCTGACCCTAAAGTGTTAAAAACACTATCTAGCGCTTCTGACATAGGAGACAAAACAGACATAGGATACAAAACCAAACAACATCATCAATTGGGAACTGGATGTAAGAAAGGGCCTGGACAAACACGTTCACGATTTAACCTGTTAAAGGGGCACTCCAGGCACCAAAACAACTTCAGCTAAATGTAGGTGTTATGGTGCCAGGAGGACACTGGGTGTCCACTCTCACCTTCAGGGGTTAAAACTGGCTTGGAAAGAAACGTACCTTTTCCAAGCCAGTTTTGTGATTGGGGAGTCTGATTGGTTGAGAGCATCAGCTGACTGCTCTCAGCAAATCAGAGGCACCCCTGCCTGATGGCACTCAGCGCTTCCTGAAACTGAAATTTCAGAAGCGGGATGCCGCCTAGGGGTAGTGGAGATCAGCACTGGAGGCCACTTTGGGGTTCGGTTTAACTCCTGAAGGTGAGAGTGCACCCAGGAGCCAACGGGCACCATAACATCTTAATTTGTATGAAGTTGTTATGGTGCCTTAAGCAGCCTAAACTTTCCCTTCAAGGATAGAGCAAGTTCTGACCAAATAAAAAAAACTATAATGTGAGCTCTATGTCTGTTCAACAATAACTTACCACTTTCATATTTAGTGTACTCACACTTATTATGTATCATTTTGTTCCGGAGAAAGAGGGCTTTCATTCACATCAAATATATGGACAGTTGTTTTGTTGTTAATGCATCTCATCAGCATGAGATTGGTTAATGGCTAGCTATTGAGACTTAGCGTTACTTGTGGAGCACAAACCAGCACAGTCAGGGCCGGCCTTAGGCCTTGTGCAAAAAATCTTCACAACCCCTCCTGTGTGTATAGGAGCATGGCCGGACTGGTAATGAAAAGCAGCCCTGGAAAAATTTTTATACCAGCCCCATAAATGCATCGCGCCAACATAGCTATGGAAGCGGGAAAAAAAACCTTAAAACTAAAAACTATCACTCAAACATGAAAGAAAGCACTCAATGATTCAATGCATCTCTATGAGGAGAAGCTGATTGGCCAGGGTGGCGCTTGCCTCTGCCCCCAGGCCACCTCCTTGGCTGAGAGCATCAGAACTGACAATCTCAGTCAATCCAACAATTTCCTATAGGAAATGATGATGTCAACCAAGGAGGCAGATCAGGGGCAGAGCCAGCACCAACAGACTGGAATACAGGTAAGATTTTACTACATTTAGGAGGTGGCAGGGTGCTAGATTGTGTTTTTAACACTATAGGGTTAGTAATACATGGTTAGAGGTAGAGTTGCTTACAAGTAGTTGATCATTGAGCAGGGTTTTGTTAGAAACCTACCAGAATTTCACATTTTAGGCCAATTTAGCCAAATTGGGAAAGTTTGAAACTTAAACATATTTTTAAGCTCCACTATTTTGGCCTAACAAGTTCATGTCAATTCACAGTTCAGTGAATAACCCTTCATTTTTAATTTTTTTATGATTTTTATTATGTTTTAGTACACATTGGGAAATCATGTACCATGCTGGGTCACTGGTGATGAAACATTTTAGTATGTTGAGTTACAGTTATTGCAGTTGTTCATCTTTGTTATAGAGCAGCGGTTCCCAAACTGTGTGCACACAGGGGTGTATGAGTGTTTGTACGTGTGTGAGTGTGTGAGAACTTTTCATAGACTTGACTATATGTTGAGTTGAGCAGCGGCCATTTTTAAGAAAAAGCACTGCAAGCAGAAAACTAATATTCCTAAAACTATTGTGCTGACTGATAAAATGCATAGTAAATTTCACAATTGAAATAGGATACAAAAATATAATGGTGACAGACTTTAAGATTATAACCAACCCTTTTTCTTGTATAGTACATTTCAAAAGACAAACAAAGATTCCAAATTTTGAAGAAAAATTAAAATTCACTATGAATTGTTCACAGTTTAATGAATAACTTTGTGTGGGAATGCTAATCCAGTGCATCCATTTAGACTTGTATGTCAGTCTTCTGCTATACTTCTTCTGTGTATAGTTAATTCTGCGTAGATGTAGTGTGATCAAGAAACATGCATGACAATAGTCTCTGTGACTTATGACCTCCTGCTATAGTCAGAGACATTCAATGTAATTGCACAATAAATATTAATGTTTTATGGTATGCAATAAACAGGAGCGGTTACCGCACACAGAGTCCCTTTTCTGTATAGTTAAATACTTGTGTTGGTGGAAAGGTTACTGGCATATAAAACCATTTGCCCAACATCCCACAGTATATCACATGTCAGTGGCAGATCTCCAGACCTTGTCCTACTACTGACTTCGGAATGTTTCTATTATAGCTGAAAATAAAGATCCCACGTGGATATTATGTGCCATTACCTTGTTTTGTAAACACTTTAATCTGGTTTATTTCATCTGATATACACCAGCAGCTTTTTAAAAAAGAAAAAAAAACATATTGATGGATAAACATCTCCTTCATCCCATTTGGAGACAAATACGTGTAGATGCAAATTAATGTTCATACTTGTAATAGGGGTTATTTACTAAACAGTAAATTATGGACAATTTAAAACCAAGTTGCTTAATGTAGGTCAAAATACCAATGCTGCAATATTTGGTGTATAGCTATTTGGTGGATTTTTGGTATAGCTATTTGGAGAATTTTTCCCAATTGAACTACTACTTATACCACAAATTATTAGACTTGGCTGTTGTTTTATAAAACATTGAATATAGCATGACTCCTCCAGCTGCTTCAAACCACAGTCAATCACCTCCTCATTCCCTTCACATGTTATCAATCACTGCATTCACACTATAAATTCCTCTGCTACCTCTTATCTCATTTCCCTATTTTACCTTTAGATTGTAAGCTCATGGGCAGGGCCTTCTACCTTCTGTTTATATTGTATTGGTTTTTCACAATTGTACAGCGCTGTGGAATATGTTGGCGCTTTATAAATGGCAGTAATAATAATAATAATATGTAATCATTTTTTCACAGTTATGACAATAAAGATCTCAGTCATCTTTTCTTATTGTACATAGTGATTGTCCAGTGCAGCCATGTATACAGATCACTTCTTAAGGTAAAGTTTCAAAAGTGAAATGGTTAGTTGGAATATCCTATTTTTTTCCCAATGACTGCTTATTAGAATATTCTCCAAAATGATTCATGAGAATGGATGTCACGGGCAGAACTGCTTGTCAAGTTGTGACAGTGAGAAGGATGTGACAATGAAGAGTTTAATAGCACCATGCTGCTGAATTGATATTTCAGTCTTAAGTTATCACTAGCTTGCTTACATTTTATACAAATACAAACTATGCAAAATACAAGAACTGTGACTATACTACTTAATTAATCATTTGGTGATATGGTCTCTAACAGTACCTTTTGAGGAATTGTGGATTCACAAGTGCCAAGATTTTAGTTAGATAATAGTTTATCACGACAAAAAAATATATATTTTATATTGCTCAGACAAGAAGCAGGAGCTCCCTATAGTGCCCCCCAACCTTGCCAAATCAGTCACTCCCAAGCTTGCAGGCCTTGATGTGAACGTACTGGCTGCACCACTGGTAGTTAAGCCAGTGTAGAAGCACACAAAAAGTTCTCACTGCACAAGAGATACATCAACCTGGGACCCTAGGTTCTTTTTGAAATGCCCACGGACCACCGAAGGGAAAGCTACTTGAGCTGTTATCTGTTCTCTATATTTTCTTGCACCTTGTTTTTTTGCTCTCCCTAAGTTTAAAGAGTAATCCAGACACAGACTGCTTGCTCACTGTGCCTAGAGTGGTATTGACTATACCTTATTGACAAAGCCTAACAAGGCTGAAGCGATCTTTTGGGTTGCTGTATTTTGGATGTTGGCCACCCTTTAGGGTGGGATCAATCTGATATGCAAATGGTCTAGGTTTTCTTTATAATGGAGCAAAATGAGCTAAAACCAGCTTGAGATCTGAGCGAGGGTTCAATCCAACGGTAAGTTATTTTAACTTTTATCCGTTCTCAATATTCTCTTGCACCATGTTCTTTTTTCTAAAAAAACAAACAAAACAAAATGTTACCTGCCTATTATCCCAAATCCATATGCACATTTAAATAACAGGAGGATTTTTGTATCTCTCCAATTATCATTAAAGGACCACTATAGGCACCCAGACCACTTCAGCTCAATGAAGTGGTCTGGGTGCCAGGTCCATCTAGGGTTAACCCTACCTGTTGTAAACATAGCAGTTTCAGAGATACTCCAGCCTCTAGTGGCTGTCTCATTGACAGCCGCTAGAGGCGCTTCCGTGCTTCTCACTGTGATTTTCACAGTGAGAAGAAGCCAGCGTCCACAGGAAAGCATTTAGAAATGCTTTCCTATGGACTGACTGAATATGGACTGACTGAATTCTGCGGAAGAGGGAGGAGAGTCCTCAGCGCCGAGGGAGCCCGGCGCTGGAGAAAGGTAAGCCTTTAACCCCTTCCTTCCCTTAGAGCCCGGCGGGAGGGGGCCATGAGTGTGGGGGTCCTATTAACAATATAGTGCCAGGAAGTTTGTTTTCCTGGCACTATAGTGGTCCTTTAAAGTGTAAACTCACGTGCCATGTAAAGGAAAAACCTCTAAGGTGAGTCCTACACTCATGTGCATTCAGTCGATGACGGGGAAAGGAGGAGGAGAGTCCCCAGCACCGAGGGAGCCCGGCGCTGTTATAAAGTTAAGGGATTAACCCCATCCTCACCCTAGAGCCCGACGGGAGGGGGGCCCTGGGGGTGAGGGGGACCCAAGGACTATATAGAGCCAGGAAAATGAGTATGTTTTCCTGGCACTATAGTGGTCCTTTAATATAAAGCTTGCTTTTCTCACACAATTTAATTAATTTTATTATTTAAATAATATTGTATTTACTTTTAGTCATTCAGACCCTTATAGTCAATATGCCCTTAATAAAACTCAAAGGTTCATGGCAACTCTTTATCTACCTGTCGGGCCGTTTTTATAACAACCCGCAGGGCATTTCGCGTGGTTTCCCGCGATCATTTATACTTTGTTTCACCCCGCGATCGCTATCACACTTGCAGCCGCAATCTCTATTACCACTTTGGTTTCATCCTATTACGTCTGAACTTTCCCGCCTTTTCCACGGTTCCCTCCTACTCGCGTCTGCTCTGACGCACTTTTCCCCACCTTCTATTTTTTTTTTTTTTTGTCAATCTTTCTTTTATTATGGGATTTGATCCACGGTTTACAGAATACAAAAAGGACTTAGAGTAGATAAACATAAAAACCGATATATCAACATACAACGGAGTAAACTCCTAAGCTAGGCTGCCATATTTTTATAATAATAGACAAGATATGTCAGGCTAGTTATGCCTGAGACATTTGTTATAGAGTTAACATGCTAAGGACATGGTATATCGGGCTAGGTATTCATGAAATAATTAATACAGATTAATCATGCTTACGCCAGGGTATATCTGGCTAGATATTTGAAAGGAGCTTAACATAGGATAAACGGGTTACTTTCCTTCAGATAGACAGTCCATGCCATAGATGATAAGGCACATCTGCTCTCGTTTCGCCTTTCCAATTTCCAGGTCTGTGTGGACTGGGTACTGTCACCCGCTGGCAGAATGCTGGTCCGCGAGGTCTCTGTATGTCCATTGTAATCCCTTCAGGGGTCATCCGGGTTCCGAACAGACCCTTGGGTATATGGATGGCGGTGGGGGGTTACCTCCAATTGGGCCCCCAGCTTGGAAGAAAAACTGTATAGAGTTCAGCAGTACCATCCAGCTGTGCTGCAGGAGGTGCAGGCAGATGTGTGCTCTGCTCCAGAGAAGCCTATGGCTTGGGTGAGAGACTGGCTACAAGGGTATTGTTGTGGGGCATTGGGGCGGCAGGGCGTGATATCACCCGAGGTTGGTTGGCAAGTCGGCACCAGAATTTCTGACATATAGCATCAAACCTGTCATTCAAGGGGTCCAGCAACTCCTGCGCCCCCTGGCTTGTTCGCGGTTGCGGTGTCTCCTGTCCGGAGGCCATTTTGGATTCGCCTTGTGGGCCTCGTTTCTACGAGCGGGTCGTTGCTCAGGCGTATGCTTGCCTCAGTGGGGACTGTGATATTCCCCACCGATCCAGAGGGGGGGAGAGCAGGGTATGTGGCAGATCTCACTTGTAGCTGCGCCATGTAGTTCGGGCGATCGGCCGCTTTACCCGTCTGCCAGCGATGGTAGGCCGCAGCGGGCTCTCCGTGGGGAAAATCGTCAGGAGCTTCCCCCAGGGCTTCAGTAAGTATTATGTAGCTGGGTAGTGCGATTTTTGCGAGCTGGCTGTCGGTTTTTCAGGCTGATTTGGAGAGTGAGGTCAGGAGCTCACTCGATGTGCAGCCAGCCGCCATGATGCCCTGGCCCTGCCTCCTCCCCTACCTTCTATTAACTGGCGGTGGCCATTTTACATGGAGCCTATGTTTTTCGCGCCTTTTTCGCCACAGCAGTGCAACGGTCGGAACTGTAGGCAGCTTTACATACTTCTCTCAGCAAGGTACATTTTTACTTTACCATTTGCTTCATTTTAAATATCATTGTGCTAGAGTTAGTTTACTAGATACTTACTATTCCTATTTGTTTCTCCTACAGATACAATCAAGTCACTTTTCAAGACCTGCTTATTTTAACATTGTTATAATAAACTGGAGGGCTTTTGTGGGTGACACTTTCTTTTCATTTGAAAATTATTGTGAATGACCCTCACTTGGTTAATAAACTTGCTGGTTTACAATGTATCCCATAGTAGGTGACCCCTACTTTATTATTTATTATTATTATTATTACTTACAAGTGAACACACCTATTTTGACTTATTAAGTGGTAACCCCACTTTTCAATTTGTTTTGTGTAGATTAATTCCACCTTACTCTTTAATTGTTTGTGGGTGATCCCCACTTATTGTTATATTGGAGTGGATTACCCCACTTAGTGGATGAACCCCACTGATTTACCTTAGTAATTGACCCCACTAAATTATATGGTGTTGCTGCATTCCTATTTACCAATAATAATTTGGGTGAACCCCATTTATTGTGCAGTACATCTGCTTTTGACTTTTTTTCTTACTTTTTATTTGTAATTTTTAACAAACAACAAGAAGTTAGACATACCTTACAATTAAATATTAAATAACATACAAATAATTATAATAACAACTTTCATCCTACAAACATATCAATGGCCTCTGCAGCCTATTGCTACAGTTGACCTTTACCCTATACAGTCAGCTAGAGCCCCCATCCCAATCAAATCAATAGAGGGAAAAAATAGGAGAAACCGGCAGAATCAACTGTCCAGCTTCCCATCTATAATTATCTTATTCAATATTGGATCCCATTTCTCCCATAAATCAATAGATTCTTCTATACATTTGATGTAGCCCTTTTCCATTCTTAACTGAAATAATATTTAAGCACTTAACTGGGAGATAGTAAAATCATTATCTCCTTTCCAGTTTTTTGCTATTATTTTTTTAGTAGCAATCAAACAGTGGGTTATGAAGAATTGATCTATTTGTTTCAATTTTGGCCAATGTAATTGTAATACCATTGTTACAAGGGTTTTTGGAAATTTTATCTCACTTAATCTAAATATAATATTTTGCGTCCATATTACCAAAACTTTATTACAGCCCACCACATATGAACATAATTTCCGGTAGCTACTCCACAATTCCAACATTTTCCATTTGAATCTGAAACAAACTTAGATAGTCTTACAGGAGTCAAGTACCATATGTTAATCATTTTAAAGTGTGTTTCCACAAGTGAGAGTGAATGAACATAACATAGTTTTTAAAACTTGAGGACATCCATTCGCTCTCACTTATCTTAATCTTTAGATCTTTCTCCCATCTTTTAATGGCTGGGGGTATTGTGGAGGTTTTACTCACTTCAATAAGTTTTATACATCGTGAAAATATTTTTTTTGATTTATTCTCCTGTAATAATCCTTTCATCAATTTATAAATAAAACCATCTGTACCGCATATACTCGAGTATAAGCCGACCCGAATATAAGCCGAGGCCCCTAATTTTACCACAAAAAAATGGGAAAACTTATTGACTCGAGTATAAGCCTAGGGTGGGAAAAGCAGCAGCTACCGGTAAATTTCCAAATAAAATTAGATCCCAATTAAATTACATTAATCGAATATTTATTTACAGTGTGTGTATATAATAAGTGCAGAGTGTGTGTGTGTTTATGTAGTGTGTATATAATGAATGCAGTGTTTGTGTGTAGTGTGTGTATATAATGAATGCAGTGTGTGTGTGTGTGTGTATATATAATGAATGCAGAATGCGTGTGTATCACTGCAGTATGTGTGTATATAATGCAGAGTGTGTGTTTGTATGAATGCAGTGTGTGTGTTTGTGTGAATGCAGTGTGTGTGTATATAATGCAGTGTGTGTATATAATGCAGAGTGTTTGTATGAATGCAGTGTGTGTATATAATGCAGTGTGTGTGTTTGTGTGAATGCAGTGTGTGTGTATATGCTGCAGAGTGTGTGTGTGTTTGTGTAGTGTGTGTAAACTGGGTGGGAGGAGGGCATTTTTATTATTTAAAAAAAAAAATGTATTTTAATATTTTTTTTAATATTATTATTTTGATATTTAATTGGTTTTTTTTTGTCCCCTCTCTGCCTGTTGCCTGGCCAGGGAGGGGGGCTATATGATTCCCTGGTGGTCCAGTGGCATGGGCTGTGCAGTGGGGGAGCTGGCAGCAAGCGCTTACTTACCTTTGCAGCAGCTCCGTTCAGCTGCCAGTGTCAATCTCGCGGTCTGCGTGTCGCGCGGAGAGTTGCCACGGTAACCCGTGGCAGTGCTCTGACGGCCGCGGGTCTCGCGAGATTTACACTGGGAGCTGAACGGAGCTGCAGGAAAGGTAAGTAACAGCTTGCTGCTGGCCCCCAACAGGACCTGGTGTGTATTATGGCAATGTAAGTTGACATAATACAGGCACTGACTTGAGTGTAAGCCGAGGGGGGCTTTTTCAGCACAAAAAATGTGCCGAAAAACTCGGCTTATACTCGAGTATATACGGTAATTATTTCAACTCTTTCTAAAAAATGTTTTAACTCTTATGTATGTAAATGTTTCAGCAACTGTCACATGAAATTCTTGTATTAAACTCTTAAATGGTTTTAATTTATTATTTGAAACTAACTCTTTAATAGTAACTATATTTCTGGATTTCCATGTGTTTAAAAACATATTAGTCATATTTCTCTCGATCACCAACATTTTGAAAATCAAAAATGTAGTTTTTTAGTCGTAATCTCTTATTAATTTTGTTCCATATATGGGATATTTATTCCCATATGAAAAAATTTGAGAAATTACAGTTTTTACTATTCCATATTATATCTAGTGGATTATTAATTTGAAAAACTTCTTGTTACATAATATACCAGGCCTCTTTCTCTGTTTGAGTTAATTGGCATATCATTACGTGTGCTAGAATGCCAGTTTCATAATATTTACTAATGTTTGGATATCCTAGTCCACCATTTTTACTATTCCTTGATATTACGGCGTTCTGAATTCTAGGCTTTTTTCCTCTCCATACAAAGTTTGAAAAAGCAGTTCTAACCATTATCATCCACGACGGAGGGATGGCCATGGGCAGCATCCTAAATAGATATATCCACTTAGGGAGAACATATGATCTCAGAATATTGATCCTACCACTTCAGGATACTTCCAAATTTCTCCATTCTTTTAAGTTTTTGTTGGTGTTTTTCAGAAGATCCATGAAGTTGGTCTGCATTATTCTATTTAGTTTCTCACAAATTTTAATTCAGAAATAAACAAAGGATTTCTGATTTAAAGAGTCATATCTGTCCTGATAGTTATCTATTTAATTTTTTGGCATATTTATATATAATGCTACTTATTTTGAATTGTTTAATTTATAATTTGAAACTGCACCATAAATCTCCAATTCCTCCATTACTGTTGGTAGGGACGTTAATAGGGTAGTTAAAAATAGTATAATGTCATCGGCATAAAGTGACAATTTAAGTTTGTTTGTTGCAAATAAATGATGTTTGTGTTCTGTCTGATTCTTTTAGCCAATACCTTTATTGTTAGTATGTTCAAAATTGGGGAGAGCGGACATCCCTGTCTTGTTCCATTTTTAAGTTTGAACCATTTTGAACAGATATTATGGCCAATCGTTGTAGCCATTGGAGAGGAGTATAACGTTAATAATGCAGTTAGAATCCAACCCTTAATGCCAAAATTTTCCAATGTACTCTTCATAAATGCCCAGCTGACCCTGTCAAAAGCCTTCTCAGCATCTAATGACAGGATCAGCATTGGATTCAGGTTTTGTTGTGACATGTCAATTACAATCAATCTTCTAATATTGTTGTTCACCATTCTATCTGGCACAAAACCTATCTGATCAGGATGAATCAGAATGTTCAGTACTTCTTTTAATCTGTATGATATAACAGAAAATAATTTGATATCAACGTTTATAAAGGCGACTGGACGATAATTTTTTTACGTCAGTTGGATCCTTCCCCAGCTTAAGTATTGGTAAGATGTTTGCTTTAAGCATCTCACTTAAAAAAACTTCTGTTGGAAATTCCATCCCTTCCCCCCTCCTTCACCAAGTTATTAACCCCCAAGTGTAAGGGTCACTATACTACCTACTACTAGATGCAGCACAGGCTACATCATAGCTCCGCATAATCAGTGGATACTCAAACTCAAGTAAAAGACATAACAGTGGTGGTATACTGAAATGCTACCAAGCATGGAGAATAGCACTCCACCGTATCCGCAGCAAGAACATCCTGCTTAGGTGGTTACCTGTGACTTGCACCACAATAATACTATCGAAGGCAGAACAACAGAGGAGGCTGTGAACAATACTCGCATGAATACACCTGAATTATGCTGTATCGATATGAATGTTAAATCATGCTGTTCACTGTAATGTGAGAGGTCGACTATTGATGATGTACTATTGACACGTGTACCCCAACTAACCTACTCCCTTTTCCCTTCTGTATCCCGTATTACTTTATAAAAAACAATAAAATCCGAATAAAAAAAAACAAAAAAAAACTTCTGTTGGAGACCACATAATATCGCATTGGAGACCGCAGTACATATGTTTTATTTCCTAAATTAGTTCTTTTAAAAAGACAGAACAATATGTCTGATCACTCTGCCATTTGACAAGAAGTACAAGCATGGCTCGTCTCCACTATTGCGGAGTCGATTCCCAGGGCGTTAGCAGCTTTTCATGAATACGTTTCTACCGAAACTAATCCCACTGCGCACCAGCCCTCTGACTCGGAAGATTCTCATCTTTCAGATCAAGAGAAAATCACACGCAAATGCCCTTGAACAGAGGATAGTGTCTCTGTTGGCAAGGGCAAAGCTTCCTCAAAATCTATTAACTTGTCCTTACCACACCCTACTCATGAGATTTTAGACCCTCTAGAAGGTTCTACTCTATTACTAAGAATCCTGTTTTAGATTCGGATTCTGGTATTCCTAAGCCCAAAGAGCCCACTTCAGACATCCTACTGGATGCTCCTTGCATACCTTTCTTGGACCCCACGGTCATTAGGCATCCACGTTCATCCGAGAGAGCTCCACCTGACCACATTACTAATTTTTGTAAAATATGGCTGCGCCAGCACCTTGAAAAATAAATTAGGGCTAAGCTCAGAGCCGGATGTCCTCAGCCAACCATTCCAAATAAAGTGGCAGTAACGCCTGAGTTTGACCCAATGTTAGTGACTTTCCTCACAAAAGTAGGGTAAGGACCCTCTTAAGGCTATTGAACAGGGTCTCAAGGCAGCGCAAGACAAGCTCTTGGACATTGCTGGTCCAATCATTCAGATATTTATTTTAGCTGATAAAGCTATCCGTAGTTGTGAATTTGACCCACATACAGTGCTGGAATGGGCCCAGAGGGCTTTATGCCTATTAAGGAATGCAAATGTGGCTATCTTTACAGAGAGATGTAAGGCGGCACTGTACACGATTTATGCTAAACTAGCATACCTGAGTTCCAGGGAATTGGGACCTGAAGCGAACGGCTTATTATTCAGAGACAGTTTCATGAGGGATCTCTCTAAACATGTCTCAGTATTCACTACTTTAAATAAAACCCAATCCTCGTTAAGCTTTCGCTCTCAACCACAGTGTTTTTCTGGGAGAGCTGGTCGCTATAGAGGCCGAGCAACCAGCAGAGCTGCCTTCACAGGCTACCGGCCTCGCCCCACAGAAAATGATTGAAATTCGGTAACCACCCGACCCTACCACCGACAGTTGTTTACCAACAGAGGATCCATCTGGGGACGTGGATCTGCTTCCCTATGCGAATGCACTGCTTCAGGTAATAAACTTTCCTTTTTTCAATGTACCTATAGCAGGTCAAATAACCCATTTTTTCCAACAGTGGGAATTGCTTACACAGGATGAATGGGTCCTACACACAGTCAAAGGTTTCAAAATTGATTTTCTCTCAACCCCCTTTCAGAATACCCACCTACACCAATATAGATGTCTATAACAGACATTTTAGCATTGCAAACAGAGTTGAACAAACTTTTGGAGAAAGGGGCGATTGAACGATCACCTTTCACCCTATACCTTCCTCAGCAACATTTTACCTTGTCCGCAAAAGACATGAGATCTTTGCCCAATTATCAATCAAAAAGTGCTGAATCAACATGTCAGATATAGCCATTTCATAATGGAGGGCATTCATCTTCTCAGGGACCTCCTTTGCGTGGGAAATTGGTTCTCCAGATTTGATCTCAAGGACCCGTATCTCACAGTCCCTGTTGCCCGCAACCATCGGGCTTTCCTTCAGTTCCTATAGCAAGGAGAAATTTGGCAGTTCACATGCCTTCCTTTCAGCCTTTGCTCAGCACCATGGTGTTTCACAAAATTGATTAAACCAGTCATAGCATTACTTCGCTCTCATGGGATTCGTTCCATTATATATCTGGATGACATACTGATCATGGCTCAAGATCCAAAACTTCTCCGTCAGCACACGAACATGACAACTGCCTTGTTACAAAACCTGGGCTTTGTTATAAATTTTCAGGAATCTGATCTGGAACCGTCTCAGGTGGTTCAGTTTCTCGGATTTCAAATAGATTCAATACAGGCGATTTTACAATTTCCTTTCGCAAAAATCAAATCTATAAAGAAAGAAATTCTAAAATTATTGTCAGCTCAACGGATTCGCCTACGTGATCTAGCTCATATCATAGGTCTCCTCTCTGCCTCTATCCAGGCTATATACCCGGGACCTTTACATTACCGAGCTTTGCAGCGGTTAAAAACATTTTACCTACACCGATCCACTTCCTATGACCAGTTGATTTGCCTAAGGGACGACGTCCGTATAGCAGCCTGGAATGGCAAAGCCATATTTGGGTCGCAGCCAGACTTCATTCTGGAATAGGATGCCAGACTCCTGGGATGGGGCGCAACTTCTGCACATCAACTGCCTGGAGTTAATTGCAGTATCCTTTGCGATCCGTAGTTTCGCAAAAGACTTCTTCAATTGCTCCCTAGCATTACGCATGGACAATATGTGAATCGATTAGGAGGATCCCAAACCAAACTACTGTACGATCTTACGAAGGATCTCGACTAATTTTGTTTAGAGATAAATCTGTCCATTCGGGAGGAATATCTTCCAGGCCCTGACAATCTAGTCGGAGACTGGTTTTCCCGTCATTGGAGGGATGTCAGCAATTGGTAATTGGACCCTCTACTGTTTCACTACATTCATCTCCTTCGGGGACCTCTCACGACCTTTTCGCGTCTCGGTTGAACTGTCAGACGGAGGCATTTTTCAGTTGGCTTCCAGACCCCCAATCTCTGGCGGTCGATGCATTTCTACAACCTTGGCCAGTGACAGGAGCTTATGCATTCCCACCCCTTTCCATGATCCAACGGGTCAAAGTTCTAGTAGTCTCGGTAGTCATTGTAACCCCCTTGTGGAGGTTTCCAGACCTGGTCTCCTACTCTTCTGGAACTATCAGTGAATTACCCACTTCTATTGCCTTGATCCCCCGACATCCTCCGGAACCTAAAACCATCTCCAGCTTGTAGCTTGGACCGTTTCCTGGGGTCTTGGAATGTCACAGGACTTTTGGAAACCGCTCAAGCACGCCTATGGGATTCATGGGCCCCAGGAGCTAGACACGCTTAACTCTCTGCATGGCAGACATGGATCAGCTGGTGTCTGGAATGGGATATCGATCCCTTTTCAGCACCTCTTACAGCCATTGTAAACTTTCTATCTACCCTACTTGACCAGGGCAAATCCTATAGATTGATTAATGTGTTTCGATCTGTAATTTCTGAAGCTCACAACTCCATTGATAATGCTTCGATAGGGAAACATCCTTCCACTTGTAGACTTCTATGGGGCATTCGCATGGCCAGACCTCCTAACCCCATATATGCTCATTTCTGGGATGTCACCCAGGTTTTTCTTTATTGGAATCTTAGCCATCTATTGAGGCTTTGTCATTATGCCAACTCTCTACTAAGTTGGCATTACTCCTATGTTTTCTTCCGCAGAGTTTCTGATATTCAAGTGTTTGACTCACTAACCACCTAAGAGGTTTGCCTTGACATGGCAGGTGGGCATTCCCTCACATGGCCATTAGAGTAACTAAATAACCTCCATTTGTTTTAATATATACATAGGGATTTGGGAAGAGCTCAGGTAACTTTTTTTAGGTTTTACTGTATGTATTGGGGCTGATGTGTACTGTGGTCATTGCTGCCGCCCAAGATTAGTGGGAGTTTGAGCACAGGATGTATTTTTTTGTTGCTGTAATGTTTTATTTTATGCTCAAGAATTACAGTTCATTCATTCATGCTTAACGATGTTAATTGCTAATGTTAATTATTATTAACCTTAAACTTGTTTAAAACTCTTACCAAAGAGTCTATACGGAATTCTTTTTGTTTTCTCCTAGTGTGAAGACTTGCTTCTGTCTCTAAAACAAGGAATTTCCAGTTCACTAATTATCTGTTTACATGGTTGATCCACTGAAGATCCTACAACGGGACCTACTGTTCTTCGTATTCCATCGTTTACATGGTTGAGGATGTGCCAGTTTCGGCTACAGCAAGAAAGAGCAGTTGGGTGGAGCTTGATGACACTATATGACATTGTTGTATACTCTGATTGGTTGGTTTTACTTCATTGTTAACTGTTTCTTTGCTGCTAGGAGGTTCAGTAAAGAAAGATTAAGCAAATATTTGCCTGTCGTTAATAAAATTTAGATTATTTGTTCACTAAAGCTACAATAATCCCTAATTCACCTTGCTGTTTTCAGCTAAAGGGCAAAATCTCTAATGAGACATTAGAGATTCAGGAAAATGTTTGCGCATAGGGCTACATTTTGTGCGTTTGTATTAGGAAACATTTGCTTTAATTTTCAGCCAGCACCATTTTAGCCAAACAATGAAACATTGAGTTTCTACTGCATCTTGTATATTGGAAGGGTTCCAATAACAGACTTATTTTAATACTCACACTATTTTTCTTATACAGTGCAAAGCTATTTCTCCCATTTCATTTATCTTGTTCATCAGTGGACACTTTGTAAGACAATCACATTGCATGTTTTAGAGTATTGTACACAATACAAGTGACTTATATTTAATATATTTTTTGTCAGTTGTAAAATATGTCATGATTTTTCCAAGCCTATAAAGAGACTCACTAAAAGATAATTGATGACAGTGTAAAACAAAACAAATAGTGCATTTAATGTAATAAACCCTTTGCAGATGTTAACTAATTTATGAATCCAAAGGATAATTGGCTTTTTGTTCTGCAAGCATAATTGATAGCATGGATGTGTGAGCATGGGAATTCATTGATTGTTTGTAACATGCTTAAAGAAACACTATAGTGTTAGGAATACACAGCTGAATTCCCCACACTATAGTATAGTATAGTGCCACATCACCTCCATTTCTATCAAAGGGTTTAAAAAAAACAACCTTTTTTTACATACATTATTCTACCGCCAAGGATGCTTGACACTGGCTCCATCTCCTCCGACATCATTGTGAGAAGAACCTAATGCACACGTGTATGAATAAATGCTTTCTTATAGGGATTTAGAGGACGCTGTATCAGTGTTAATATTGGCGGCAAATTTCAATTTAGTTTTAGTCATAGTCTTTTGACTAAAAATCCATTTTTGTTTTAGTCGTATTTAAGTAATCTGAACTGTTTTAGTTTTAGTCAACAAAATCTCCAGTAGATTTTAGTCAACTAATTCCTCAATAATTTTTAGTCAGCAAAATCTCCACTAGATTTTAGTCGACATGAGACTAAATAGGAAGTATGTTACCCTGGTTCTGAGACAGATGAACAACAAATACTTTCTCAGTCTGATCATCAAGTAAGTACTAGAGGTAAATCAGAGTGGCAGTTAAAAACCTCTATTATAGGTCATGTATGTTTAGCCAGGAAAGGGCCATTGCATACCACACCTGTTGGCGAGTTAATATGTCTAGGACAGAAAGCCTATAATGCCGATACTAAAGATACTACTTGGTGGTCAGCTTCAAATGTCTCAGAGCCTACTAATCCGTTTGCCAATTACACCCATTTAAAAGAGGTATGGTTTGACTTATCTGCTACATCCAATTGGAAAGCCCCAGCAAATTTATATTGGATCTGTGGTAAGAAAGAGTTATTCAGAGATATAACAAGATTGGGAAGGGGCATGTGTATTAGGTATGCTCAAACCATCCTTCTTCTTGTTGCCAATTGAGACAGGAGAGACCTTGGGAGTTAAGGTTTATGATGTAAATCGTAAAAAGAAGCGAGCATCCTTGAATATAGGTGGCTGGGAAGATGATGAGTGGCCTCCCCAACGCATTATTAATTATTATGGACCTGCTACTTGGGCAGAAGATGGTACCTATGGATCTAGAACCCCAATATATATGCTCAACCGTATTATAAGACTACAGGCGGTGGTTGAGATTATCACTGAGACAGCTCAAGCACTTACTCTTCTAGCTAAGCAAAATACTCGGATGAGATCAGCCATCTATCAAAATAGATTAACTCTGGACTACCTATTAGCAGTAGAGGGAGGTGTATGCGGAAAGTTTAATCTCAGCAACTGTTGTTTGCACATAGATGATGAAGGGCGGGCAGTGGCTGAACTTACAAGCCACATGGTTAAACTGACGCATGTACCTACTCAGGTCTGGAATGGGTATAATCCTAGTAGTTGGTTTGGAAGTTGGTATGAGCAGCTTGGAGGGATTAAGGCGTTAGTAGGAGTAGTATTCATTATATTCTTATGTCTCTTTCTGCCCTGCCTAATTCCATTAGTCGTCAGATCTATACGTAGTATCATAGAGAGTACTATAGAAAGAAAGACAGCTGCTCATGTAATGGCTGTCTATAGATATGAATCCCTAGCCCAAAGAGAATATATTCAGGATAAGGAATGCTGAAGGAGTTTGTGATGATGCTAAGATGCTTACAAGGTCTGTTCTGGTCCAATGGCTACTTGAGAGGTGTTGGTAAACATGATTGGTGATGCATCTGGAATAATTTTGTATCAGAGGCATCAAAGGGGGGAATGTGATGGCATTTCTGTGAAATTTAAATTTAGTAGGCTGAGATTTCCACGTGGCATATGTGTATGTTGTATCAGTTAGTTAGTTACACATAGCTAAGATACTGTCATCAATGTACTGAGCATGTGCAGGAATGCAGGAACTGAAATCACACTCCTTTCTCCTTTGTTTCGGATGAGCCATGTGGTCTGCCCATATAAGGAAATCCAAATCCTGTCCACTGATTGGTTAAGGGTATGTGCGGGTGGAGCTATTAATGGGAGGAGTTATAGTTCTATAAAGAGCATGTACACCATGTGTTCGGCCCCCAGACCTGTTTTGGAACGTTAGTTCAACTGAGACCCGATTGCTATGTTAATAAAGACCTCTTACTTCCTGAAAACCTGCATCCATCTCTCTGTAAAAACAAACAGAGATATAAGGATGCGCCTAAAATGTATAAGAAACAGTATGATAAAATATAGAACTAAAATAGTCAAATAAAATACAGGATAAATAAGTAATAAAACAATAGTCCAATAAAATGAGCTTATCACAGTCCGTAAGGGTAGGTCCCACTTGTAGAGGAATATTCTTTAAGGTGTAGATGGGATCGTATCTTCAAGTGTTGAAAATTCAGCATATGTAGAAAGAAGAATAAAACAAAACTCCAAGGCACAGTAAATCGGTGTATAAAATAAATATAAAAATATAAAATCAGTCTTACTCACACTTTTCAGAGCTAGGATCAGCTCTGATATTGCTCGCGTAAAGTGGAATGATCCCCACTTCAAGGATATGTGGAGTGGATTTTGATAGTTGAATATCTGACGTGGGTTCAGCGTTCGATTAGAAGTTATACGACCCAGAGGAAAAAAATAGAATAAAATATATAGTGCTCACTGTATGTAATCCAAAATAAAAGGATGCAAAGTATACTACTCATGTAAAGTAGAGCAGACTCAAAACTGCTCAGTGAAGGCGCTCGGGTGGTATAATCCCCACCTATGGATTCTTTGCACTTCTAACAGGGTAAGCCATATACGTAAAATCAGATAAAAAGGAAATGTATGTAAAATCAGGTAAAAGAGAAAGCAATTGCAATTTCAATGCAATTTCAATGCTTTCCTATAGGGAAATGAGTGACGCTGGAGGTCCTCACACAGTGTGAGGACATCCAGCAACGCTCTAGCACAGGTTTCCTGTGCTAGGAACCAGGAAGTGCCCTCTAGTGGCTGTCTAGTAGACAGCCACTATAGGTGGAGTTAACCCTGCAAGGTAATTATTGCAGTTTATAAAAAAAGAGTAAGAGTTAAAAGTAGTGGGAGTTGGCACCCAGACCACTCAAATGGGCAGAAGTGGTCTGGGTGCCTGGAGTGTCCCTTTAAGTCCTCCAAGTAAGGACTCTGTCAGGAAATATATTCAAAGGCTGGATAATACCGGCTATTATGTAACTTACATAAATCTAGGCAAACCTTCATCTCAATGTATTTGCTGTGGTGTAAAACCTATAAATGCCTACTGTTTGAAAAAAAAAAAAAAAAAAAAGTCCCTGTTGGCTCTGCCAGCATTCACAGCTGCTTACTCCTCTTCCAGCATGCCTAAATGAAGCTCAAATGGGAATCACATCTTTTGCAGAAATATTCTCTTCACAATTACAGCCGGTATGGATTTTAGAGGATTAACACAATTTAAAAATAGTTCAGTGGTAAGGTCAGTCTTTGAAGTGGGGAAGTACTGTGAATCCAAGATTTATAGCTTTATAATGTCATTCACCCTTACGTCTTACATACTTTTTGCTATGTCTTGCAAACGTAAAACGTAAAGAGTATATACTTCATAACAGATCTCACCCTTATCTGCCTATCCTATTCCTATCTACTTTGAAACCTTAAGGGAAGGGCTTTCAAAAGCAGCTGTGTTGTGATCTTCTGGTCTGTTATACTCAATTAAATGGTCACTATAGTGTCAAGAAAACAAAGCGGTTTTCCTGACACTATAGTGCCCTGATGGTGTCCCCACCCTCAGGGTCCCTCTCCAGTGGCACTGAAAGGGTTAAAACCCCTTCAGCAGCTTACCTTAATCCAGCGCCGGTGACTTCTCCTCCCCCGCCAACATCAGCGGAGCCGAATGCATGCGTGGCAAGTGCCGCGCGCGCATTCAAAGTGTCCATAGGAAGACAGCCACTAGAGGCTGGCTTAACCCTAAATGTAAACATAGCAGTTTCTTTGAAACTGCTATGTTTGCATCTGAAGGGTTAAAAGCTGAGGGACCTGGCACCTAGACCACTTCATTGAGCTGAAGTGGTCTGGGTGACTATAGTGTCCCTTTAAGCTTTCAAGTGCTTCATGAATGCGTTGGCATTATATAGAACATATAAGTGACTGTCAATATCTGAACATTATGCATTTTGAGATGTCCAAGTCTAAGACAATTAAAAGGCCAAATGGTTATTTAACAGGGGTGTTGTAATCTATCAGTGCTAGGTTTTATAAAATCAAGGACCATGTACTTGCTCATTTAATGCTGGTCAAGTTAAAAGGTACACGCCAAGCACCATAACCAATAGAGCCCGCTCTAGTGGTTAAGGTGCCAAGAGTAATCTAAACTCTCTCAGGTTGTTACCAGTTTGACAACTTACCTGGGGACCACAGGTAAACTGTCAAACCGCTCTGAATGTATCCTGGAGGTCATTAGGGCAGTCTGGAACCATAAACACTACAACAAGCTACGTTTTTTGTTTTTTTTTAGGATACTTTAAGTAACAACATAGAGTAAAATGTTCTGCATTTGGTTGTACAATTTTGAAAATATACCAGAGTCAGGCAGACTGATATGGGGATGTAAATATGTTCAGTAAAGAGTCTGCTGTGGTGACCAGAGGTGGGATGCACAACTCTAAACAATCTAAAACATTATCCATAAGCTGAATTTCATTACAGGTGTAACGGAAGTGCATGGGGCGGATTCTGGAATGTAGAATACAAGATGTAGAGACATAATCCTGGAAGAAGGAGGGGAATTTAAGGGTTAGGTTCCAGATGGTGGAGAAAGGTGAGCACTGTAGTCAAATGCAGGTGGTTAATGGAAGAAACCTACTTTATATGATCACACGAGTTTCCATAGGTTAGAATTCACAATGTTTTTAAAACAGATATAAATATTACAACAAACATTCTCAATATGTTAACAGTAAATTTGGTTTCTCAGGGAAAGGAAATAAAACTCAACTCAGATCATATAGGTTTTTTTTTCAGAAATACAAAATAAGCTTTTATTAATATATTGGTATGGCACGGATGCATAGCAGGAATATTCTCCAGATTTACAGAGATCAAAAATATACATAATCTATATGGCAATATGAATTTTCCTCTCTTCTACTAAAGATTGTTTTGCTGCATACTCACAATTTGTGGGCAAAATAAAAAAATAAACACCCACTCTCCAAAAAGTGGCTCCTAAACTCACCCCGCTACCCCCAACACATTTAGTTTGAGAAGATTACACTGTATATGATTTTATGTTGCCAAGGTAATAATCTGTTGGCTTCATGGGGAAGAAATGTATATATGGCAATGATTGACTGAGTGAACAATAAATGTGTAGTCAATATTTTAATGATCCTGCTTAAAATAAACATTTAAAATATATCACTAAAAGAGGTATCAGAGTCTTTTCTTTGCTGCATATCTTTAGTTTTTATGTTAAATAATGTTTTGGTATACAAAAAAGATCCAGGGCACGACTGCTTCAAAGAATAAAAATAATAGGCTGTTGCAGCCATGTGCCAGCTAAACTATAGTTGCATTGTTGGACAGGAGAGATTAGGGGGAAAATAAACAACATTTGTTTATATTGGGCTTCAAGGATCACTATAGCATCTAGATAAGAATACAAATATGGACTCCTGTACGCCTTACTCACTGCTGTGGTGACTGGGCCAGTACTGCTGTGTGGGGCAGGGTGGGGGGTGGATTAATATATCTATATATCTATCTTGAGAAAGGTCATATAGAGGACTGAAACGTTGACACGTTTTCTCGTGTATAATTGCACAATAAAACCAAATTTTATTTACAAAGTCCTGTGACGGGGGAGGGGGGAAAGAGAAAGAGAGTGTGTGTGTGTGTGTGTGTATATATATATATATATATATTATTTTTTTTTCTTGGCTGCCTAATGTTAATCATGTGCAAAATTTCCATCTATTGTCAGCGTATTGGCAAGAGATGCATTAAGCTTCTTCCCTGAGAAGCATTGAGCTTACAAGGGGAAGTGTTTGTTTCCCCACGCTATAGTGTTCATATTGCTTTATTTTTTAGTTGAAATTCTCTCCTTATTCTACTAGATTCTAACCATGGTATCACAAGAGGTTATGACATTACCACTAATGCAATGTTAGGAGCAACTACAAAACATACCAGATAATGTGGATATACTGCTTACAAAACTGTGACAAATATATCCTCAGGGAAAAGAAGAAGGAAGTTGGGGGAGCCAAAACTGTCATGGACCAAATTAAGGCAGGCCTACTATCCAGAATGAAGTTAAATATTTATGGATTGCATTTGACTTGTATATGTCATTGCTAGTTTCGGTCTTTTGCTCATTACACTTGCATTCATACTTTTTAGTGTGGATCACAAATTCATTTAGTTGTACTAATGTTTTTGTTTATTTATATTAAAAGCGGGGAAACAAAAACCCAAACCCAAACACTCACACTCCCTATAATTGTTATATTTTGCATTTAATAGTATGCACACTAAATCTGTTTACGTCCTTTGGTGTTAGTGGATAGCAATTATATAATAAGAGTGTGGGGCACAACAAATGTTTTTTGAAATATGTATTTGTGTGCACTATGCTAATGCAAAATCTATATATTTGTTTTCTTTACACTATATTTAATCTTGGCAACAGAGAGAATCCCGTTAACTAAATAAATAAATATTGATTTTTTTTCTGACCAAAGGTGATGTATAACTCCGCACATCTTTAACAAATGTCGAGTGGATCAGAATTTCCCATTTTTGTGCATTCATATATTAGTCCTATAGTTATTAAATGTGCTGTAGTAAAAAACAACAACAACCCTTCACACCAAAATCAACACAACTCCCCCACCCCTACAAATACACCCCCCCTCCCCCCCCCTATGGAATTGGTATGCCAATTGTGTGGTTTCTAGTTCTAAAGTAATTGGTGGCCAAACTGTAAATTTACTGTCGTAAATATATCAGTAAGTAAGGCACACAACAACAGGATTATTCATTCAAGTGACAATTCAAAGTGAAACCATACTGGAAGTATGGCTGACTTATAGAAAATTTCCAGGTCGGCGATTTTTACCTTAAATTTAAAATTCACTTTGACTTCTTTGCCCACGCTCCTCCCCTCCTAACGTCAGCCAGCAGGGGAGACCTAATACGCATGCGCGGCAATGGCCGCACTCGCATTAGGAATTCCCTATAGGAAAGCATTATTCAATGCTTTCTTATGGGGAAATTTTTTACGCTGGAGGTCCTCATACATGAGTACATCCAGCATTAGATACCGTTTCAAACCAGAGAGTCCCTCTAGTTGCTGCCTGGTAGACAGTCACTAAAGGTGGAGTTAACCCTGGATACTAATTATTGCAGTTTCTCAATAACTGGAATTATTACTATTGTAGGGTTACCGGACATGTGACATTGCACCCACACCACTTCAATGAGCTGAAGTGGTCTGGGTGCCTACACAGTGTCCCTTAAGCTGTAATGGTTCTGGTGATTATAGCATCTCTGGTGACTTATAGCATTTATTTTTCTGGATCCTAACTTTTCTAGCTGGCTCCAAGATTTCAGATTTGTCAAGCCCTGCAGTATGCAGTTTGTATTATCTTTGAATGTATCCTTTTTACAAGGTTCCACCTTCTTTTAAAACAGACCTAAATCTTATTTAATCTAACTCTTTTGTACTGTCATGTTACACACTTAAACCACAGGATAAAAAACAAAAAGACAAAAATCCCCAAATTGATCTCACGCTAGTGTTATTTCTCAAACTACTTAATGATGAGCAATAAGAGCACCTAGATGTTTCTTAATTACATCTACCATGATTCTTAGAGCATTACAGTCAAGATTATCCATCTGTCCTATTCTCTACCTTTCAAAAAATAGCATGTAGAAAATAATCAAACACAAAGAATATATAGAAGATCTGGTGCGGTCACAAAAAGCAGGTGGGTTCTTCATAGTCAAAAATCAATGCAGAATTTGCAAGGAAAAAGAGATCAATAAAATAATGAGAAAGCCTAGCGGACACTTGGTGGTTATGCTAATCTAAACAAATGAGACTGATGAGAAGGGGACTGATCACTTGCTTGAGGAAAAGAAAGTGCATATTTACACTACAACCACTATGGTAAGAGGGGATCAAGGTTCCTCTCTCAGAAAAAAAAAAATAAAAAAAAAATGACACTTAACATCCATAAATCATGTAATTTTTAAAGGAACACTATAGCGTTAGGAACACAAATATGTATTCCTAATGCTATAGAGCCCTAGGCACCGCCCTGTTCCACGGTGAATAAATGGTTATTTAACTATTTATTTGCTAACCTTAATCCAGCGCAGGGCTCCCTCTGCACCTCTCCTCCTCCATCGACGTCAGCTCCCGAGTGGAGAAGAATGCACATGCACGGCTAGAGGCGTGCACGCATTCAAACCCATCCATAGGAAAGCATTACTTAATGCATTTCCATGGGGATCTTTTTTGACGCTGGAGGTCTGTGAGGATGTCCAGCGTCAAAATAGTGCGATTTAGAGGAAGAAACTCTAGTGGCTGTCAGGGAAACTGCTATGTTTTCAGCTGCAGGGTTAAAACTAGGGGGACCTGGCCCCCAGACCACTTCATTGAGCTGAAGTGGTCTGGGTTCCTATAGTGGTCCTATAATTTTGCCCAGGGCACAGTACGTGCCAGGGATGTCCTTTTCTAGTAAATAAACATTGGTATTATTTAATAAAAAGGGACATTCCACTGTCCAAAAACCAAAACAGCTTGTAGTAGACATAACCCCAATGGAAAAAAAAAGCATGGATATAATTATGCATTATTTCATTGTGGGTATATTTAAAACAGCTTGCAAAACCTGCAGATCTTGACTGCTGCCTTTGTAGCCCCCTCCATCCCCTTTTAATGCAGCTCAATTAGAATTAATTGCAAAGCAGGAGCTGTATGCAATTGCCTGCCTCATGACTTTAGCTCCTCTAAGGTAAACGACCATGAACTTTCTGGTTTAGAATGTTCTTTTAATATAGTACAAAAAGTGAGTTGCCCCATTCCTACTCTGGCCTATGAGAAATTCTTGGCATATGCGTGGTCAGTGGAATAACGTTTAAAGAGAATTTACTTTAAGTAATCAAGAGCATACAGAACAGTCAACAGGTCGAACTAACCACATATTGCAGTTATAAGACAAGCCACTTGGCATTAAAATACTGATAATTGTGATGGAATGTTACATTCCTTCCAGTTTAGATGTTATTCTTAAAACAATATGGTCTATACTTGTTTATGTCTAACTTTGAATTACTGAAGGACCAATAATTAGGTAAATCCCTTTGGATCATGGCATTACCCTCATGTCTTTAGTCCTTAGAGTAAATTTAGCCACAGAAGAAGCCACATATACAAGTCAACCATGAATCTTTGGTGACAGTTTTTAAAGTTACAGATGCCGATCTAGATTTATTGCACTTCGTATAAAAAGCTATCTGAGGCCTGCCATTGCTCTCAGGATATTCCATAGAATTTCAGTAGGGTCGCAGATAGTGATGCTGCAATTGGCAAGCACAGAAAAAAATTACAGTGCTACTGTTGACAGTTCCAGACATTTGACAAATTTAATTTCCCCTCAGGTTTTTAGTTGTATGTGGGCATGTCATTAGTGTGTGTGTGGGGCAAAAGCACACCCAAGACACTTTCATTCCCAATAGACTGACCATTTAGGTCTTTATAACTGGTTATCAATCTGACAAAGAAATCAGAAATTATACTCCTTAATATCTATTGATCAATGTTAATTTATTTTGGGATCAGCTCTATACGAATATATTTGAAGGGTCTTAAAGGGACACTCCAAACTGCAAAAAGCACCCTTGCCATTTGTATTTAATTCAACCAATAATGCAAAAAAAATTTAAAAAAAAAAAAGGATATTAATCGTTTAATAGTTTAATTAATATAAAAATGTAAGAAGTAGTTATTTAGTAAGCTATGAATAAGCTGAACTGCAGATCACTTTATTTGTATCTTGATGAAGCTATTTGGGACTTTTGATACTTCATCTGCAGTTCTCTTGTTTTTTTAAACGTTGTATTTATAGGATATGTTCTGAGCTCCCACTCAATAAGAGGAAGGCAGATTTGCAACAAGTGGGGTTTCTCAGAAGGTGTATATCTACTGCTTTCTAATTTGCATAGGTTTCATGGATTATCGCTATTATGCATTAAAAAGGTGATGGGGAAAGTGGAATGCTTTTGTAAATACATCGAGAGAAAACGGAGCCTCACTCAAACATTACCTCATGCCCAGAAAATAAAACATATCTGAAATGGTTTGTTGGTAGGGTTACACTTAAAGGGACACTAGTTACCAAAACAACTAACTTGATAAAGCTGTTTGGCTGTATAAATCATGCCCCTGCCGTCTTACTGCTCAGTTCTCTTCTATTTGGGACTTATATCACTTTGTTTATACAGCCCTTGTAACACTGCCCAGCATGTGACATGCACAGTAGTTTTTAATAATTCCTGTATAGAGAAATCTAAGGTTTACACTTTCTTTATTGCACATTCAGTTTAATTTAGAATTTCTTAGTGTGGATAAGTCTGCATAAACAGAAACAAAAGTGATTTAACTCCTAAATGGCAGAGAATTGAGCAGTGAAACTGCAGGGGCGTGATCTACATACTAAAACTGCTTTTATAAGCTAAAGTTGTTTTGATGAATATTGTATTACTTTGATGTCAATTCCGAAAACATACCATCCTATTACAATTCATTAAATAGTCTGACTGTTTGGAAAGAAGAAATAAGATAGACTGCAAGAACAAAGCTTCTATACACGGTAATTCAGTAATGCAAGAATTATAATGATATTCAAGAATTAGAGGTACACAATAAATGCATCTTATAAGGAGCAGTATGCAACACGATCTCTTTCCAATACTTACTCTCTCAGCACAACATCTTGGGCACAATTTAAACCAAAGACTTTTCAGTACAGTTTGCACAGTGCCAAGCTGACTGAGCTTTTGGAAAATATGCTCTTGTCTGTTCATAAGTGCAGTGCCATAATGAATAGGTAGACTAATCAAGTTTTGGGGGAATTGTAGGGCATTTGTTTACCTAGCAGCAGGCAGTTTATACAAGTTCAGAAAATTCAAGACGGTCAGTCTGTTTTGTCAGCTTTCTGACAGGCTTGTCTCTCCATCATGCATCGACGTACAATACTGTCAAAACTTCCCAGATAAAACAAAGCAATTGTGCGGAACAGACCCATAGTGACAACCTAAAAATTAGAAGAAGAAAAAAGGAGGAGCTGCTGTTACCAATATACATAAACAAATTAAATAGAAGTACAGTAGCACAACAAATTCAGACTTTCCATAATCGATACATAGGAATTGAGAGAAAAAAAAAAAGTCTGCTCTAACGCATATCTACATTTTGCTTTATTAAAGTTCTCCCCTGAAGGTATAAGCAGATCTTTATTACATACCTTACATACCAGCAATTTTGTCACAAGACATGAAATGTGACCAGTTTCGTGTTAGACACGTTTTTCCTAAAGGGAAAATATAAATAACCCATGTGTTTGGGGTAATAAGTAGGCAAGGTTACATTTCATTATGCTAGGGGATGATTTTCCCTACCATTTTATCAATGCAAAGCTTTGCTACATAAATGCATCTATACGGTCCCTACTGCTTATTCTATGGTTGTTCTCTTTTTGTTCCAGTTGAACAGCCATATGTGATTCAATATAATATGCATGGCGCATCATGAGTTGATACACAGAAGGAGTTTATGGGAGTCTTATTTAGTCCTGCTGTGTCCAAAATATTGCAGTACTCATATATGCCTGTGACAAACTGAGTACTTGTGTGAAGCAGGTGTGTACTGTGTGTGATGCAATTGTAAAGTGTACATCTAAGAGATGTGTTACAGACGTATAGTACGAATGTAATATGTTTGCATCCGTGTAGGATGTAATAAATGTATGGTGTACATCGCTGGTTCATGTTTCATTGCCGTCTGAAAAACCTGGGAAAGAGAGAGTAAAATAATGTGTCACTCATTCAGCTCACTTGGATCCTTCACATGCAACGGGGTATTGGATGAATCACAGTAACCACGCACCAAGCCAAGCAATAACCACAGACTAGAAGAAGACCAGTTGATTTGTTTTGTTGGCACAACATGGTGTACACTAAACCAACATTTTGCAGGCAATAGATAGACACTTTAGTAAGTGGACATGCTCACAGCAAGAAACACACTACTCACTCCTGACTAACTATTGCTCACCTGCCAAATTACTCCATACAATCAGATTGTTGAAAATTAAGCAGTAATTTAATGGACTTAAAAAGTAACAATCTGGTAGAGGTGAAAGAGAATATCTGAAGACTGACCACTTGTGAAGCACCTATACTAAATCTTGCTTTTCATTAGGAGCATGCCTTACCTGTTGAAGTCCTTCCGTGATGGTTGTGACAGGTGACATCCCACAAGTCAAAGATGACAGCATATAGCCATCGGACCCAACTGAACTATTGAAATTACCTTGCTGGAAAAAAAAAAAAAAATTTAATATTAAAACATTAAATTGCATTATTATATTGCAGCGCTGTATCCAACATACACCAGTAAATGATGTCTTTTGTTGGCCAGCCATGGCAGCACAACAAGTAAATATTAACCTGAACCAAACCATTAAAAAGTGTTAAACAATATAAACAAGTAAAGCTATAAATTATTCCCACCCCCATAGCTCCACCAGTCAATTTTCCTTGTTTCTTTTTTTAGATAGTGGTATATTTTTCTTTGAGGTTCACCTATCATGTGTTTAAATAAAAGTGTTAGAGGCCTGGTGCTCCCTCTGAAGAGCTCAGTAAGCAGGCTGCATGAACATGACTTAACTGGGTTAATTTATTTGGTTTTAGATACCAAGAGAATATGAGAATTTTTAAACTTTCTTTTTTGTCACAATTCACACAATAAGAACCTGAGCAGCTGGTATTGCATTAATCAGTTACAAGTAAATGTAATGCAGTTTGTAAATTTCATTAGAATGTTTAAGGGAAACACAAATGCAGCCTATTCAATTTAATATTGACTTGTAACTTACAATAATCAATACGGCATACAAATCAATGCAGTCTTCAAACAGAGAGGAGCAGAAGATTTAACCCCTTAAAGACTGGACCTTTTTTGCGATGTTGTACATTTGCGACCAGGCATATTTTTACACTTTTGTGGTGTTTGTGTTTGGCTGTAATTTTCCGCTTTCTCATTTACTGTTCCCATACAAATTATATATTGTTTTTTTCAGGACAAAAGGGGCTTTCTTTACATACCATTATTTATATAAACTCATGTATTTTAATTTAAAAAAAATAAAAAATATGATGAAAAATTGAAAAAAATACATGTTTTTTTACTTTTACTTGAAAAATCTTTTACTCATCTACAAAAGCGAATGAAAAAAACTGCTAAATAGATTCAAAATTTTGTCCTGAGTTTAAAAATACCCAGTGTTTACGTGCTTTTTTGCTTTTTTTTGCATGTTATAGGGCTATAGGTACAAGTAGGATATTGTGGTTTCAAAACATACATTTTTTAAAATTTATCAATAGTGACATTGTAACACTATTATCTGTCATAAATCTCTGAATAACACCCCACATGTACATATTTTTTTTAAAGTAGACAACCCAGGGTATTCAATATGGGGTATGTCCAGTCTTTTTTAGTAGCCACTTAGTCGAAAACACTGGCCAAAGTAAGCATTCATATTTGTTTGTGTGTGAAAAAAGTAAAAAAACTAAATTGAACGCTAATTTTGGCCAGTGTTTGTGACCAAGTGGTTACTAAAAAAGACTGGACATACCCCATTTGCAATACCTTGGGTTGTCTTCTTTTGCAAATGGTATGCCATCATGGGGGTAATTCTCATTCCTGGGCTACCATACGCTCTCAAAGGCAACGTAACCAACCTGGCCATTTTCAATGTAAAAATATTTGACCCATATATTTGACCTTGTAACTTTCAAAAATGCTATAAAACCTGTACATGGGGGGTACTGTTTTACTCAGGAGACTTTCGCTGAACACAAATATTAGTGTTTAAAAACTGGAAAACGTATCACAACAATTATATCATCAGTAAAAGTGCTGTTTGTGTGTGAAAAATGCAAAAAAAGTCATTTTCACTGACAATATCATCGCTGTGATATGTTTTACTGTTTTGAATCACTAATATTTGTGTTCAGCGAAGTCTCCCGAGTAAAACAGTACCCCCCATGTACAGGTTTTAGGGTGTCGTAGAACGTTACAGGGTAAAATACAGTGCTAGCAAATTAAATTCTCTGAAATTTCGGCCTGGGTTGGCAGGCAGGTCCCTCAAATTGCAATCAATAAAATTACTGAATTATGTAAAAATATTACATAAATACGCACGTAGAATTTAATTATATATGCATATTTATATATTTGAAGTCTACGTGTATATTTATATAATTATTTATGTAATTTTGTATATGGACATATGTATATTTCGTATTATTTTTATTTATTTATATATACATAGATATATATACAAATTCATTCTAAGTGTATTTTGATATAAATATATATATATATTAATTTTAAAATACAGTTAGAATAAAATTTCATATAGATATATAATTTTTTTTTAATTTTCTATTATTTAAAAAAAATTATTTAATTTAAATTACTTATTATTTATATTTTATAATAATATATATATACATTATATATAGTTATATATATTATATATATACGTGTGTAATTTAATTATAAGTGTATTTTTATATTAATATAAGTACATATTAATATAAAAATACACTTAGTATGGCATTATATATATGATATATATTATATAGATATAATATATGTCTATATATCATATATAGACATATATAATTATTTATTTATTTTTTATTAACACTAACTTTATTTTTAATTTTTTTGATTTTACACTAGCAGGGAGACTGCCTGTCAGAACAGGCAGTCCCCCTGCAGGCAGACACATGGACACCTATTGTGACCATATGATCGCTGTGTTGAGCGATCACATGGCCCCAGGGGTCCTAATTCAGTGTGGGGAGACTGTCTGGGCTGCAGGCAGTCTCCCCACAACCGGAGCAACGCTGATCGCCGCCGGGGGAACGACGGCGATCAGGTAAGTAACTCGGACCGTTAGGACGGTTCAGGACCGTCATCGGTCGGCAAGGCAAAAATGCAGATGACGGTCCTGAACCTTCCTCGGTCGTGAAGGGGTTAAAGATAATTAATTTTACCTTACCTTGCATCTCTGCAGTCCAGGGAAAATTAACCTTTTATTATGTAGAGTTTTCTTCACTCTACTGCTTACTTCTAGATCATATATTTTGGCAAATTATCAGACTCCTCATATGAGCACATGAAACAAGCATTCTACTTAAAAAAACAAAAACAAGATATATATATTTTTTTTTTATTTGTGTGGGTCTCCAGCTGATACTGGGTTTTAACGTTTATTTCGGCAATTAACTGTTTAAATGTTACACGAGATGCGCCAAAACACTTAGCGCATGCACAATACACGGCGCAATATGTGGAGTGCATTGCATTCCGTACAGGCATTCTACTTAGGACAGGCCCACCAAATGTGCGCCACCTCATCGTGGTCACTTCTGGCACCTGGCAAAATCTATTGATGAATGTGATAAGTGGAAAGTACACTCCCAGCTTGCATGCCACATCTCCATTTTGTTTACTTAGCCTACAGGAAGAACTTAAGCACGTCCCCATCCTGAAATCCGATGCCGATAACTAACACACACAAAACATGGAGGGCGCAGCCCAGAGTGCTCTACCATCCTCAGAGGACAGTAAACTGGAATAACTCAAACCTAAAGGAGTGGGAATTGGAGTTGGCTCTAAAGTTTTAAAAGGCTTGAATTTTTGGTGCTCTGCCCGTTCTCTCAGAAGGTGGCTGGAACTTCCCATTGGTGAGTACTGCCTCTATCTGTAGGGAAAAGTCAAGACTCCTTTTATTCAGGGTAGAAATTTAACCATGTTTTAATTCTCACGAACCTAAAGGGTTACTCCAACCTACATGAACACTTCTGCACATACGATATCTGCAGTTTTGTGCCAGGGGCTAGTTACACTCTCGGCACATATGACACTACGTGCAGGTGACAGATGTAATCAGCTTCTACTCTTGAAGGCAGCACTGGGAGCGCTGCAAGGGGAAGATTGTATTGTAATGGGCAAATGCAAATATTACAAGTTTTAGAATGCTAAGTTGTATTTTTAAAACTATGTATTTTGTCTTTAAGCTATTGCAAACTGACATGTTAGAAATTAACTTTTTTTTCATACAATGTTTCGTTAATAAAAAACCTCTTACCTACTTTCAGTGCATAATATGCTGCGTAGTTCTAACTTACGCCATTTTGTCTTAGCTTAATGGAATGTCCCATGACGTGTGCACCCTTACGTTTTAGTTATGGCCTTGTATCTTTGCCAAGTTAAGGGAGGTCCTAAAATGAACATCTAAGGTATAAATATGTACCTTTTTAATGTTGGCACACAGGGGAGAGATTTGGAGACAAACGCTGCTCCATCTTATAATGACATAGAGGCGGACATGTTGACATGTTCAGGAGGGCATGTTATTCTATTTTAATGATATTGCAAGCATGTACTTTAATCTTATAAACTCTGCTATAAATTATTTATTAAAATATCTAAAAGACAAAACTTTATTACTTCCAAGACAATCCTTATTTTATATTGTGTTCTCAATTATTTATAGATTTTAAATAGAGGATCTCTCACTAACTATATAATATTTTATAACTTGTCTTCTCCCTAACAGGACAAAGAAAGATGAATAATGTCATGTTTCCAATTATCAACTATTCTAAATATATTGAGAGATTTTGAATAAAAGAGTATTTTTAACATTTAAAGGGAATGTAATTTTATATACCATTGTGAACAAAGGTGGTAAATACTTTGCTGCTTCAAATTATCCTTATATATCTAAATCATATACAATGGTATTTATCTCTAAAACAAAACACTAGAAAGATTAACTATGTTACTATTTCATCTATCATTATTATACAAAGTATAACAAATGTAAAGATTTTTCCACAGATTTTACATATACATATACATATATATTTGTGGTCACGGCATAAAGCCGTAGTATTAGTAACATAAGACAAACAGTGAATGGAAATGTCAGTTGTGGTGTGCCGGAACTGACGAGGCAGTAGGCCTGAAATAAAAGAGGGCCTACCTTATGAAGTGCTAAAAAGGAGGTGTGGTGGGAGGGGCAACTCGCCAGACCTAACAGGTAATAAGAGAAGGGCTGGTGCTCCTTAAGAAGGGGAACCAAGCCCCTCCCACAACTTCAGGCCATGCATTCCATTTGTGGTCACGGCATAAAGCCGCAGTATTAGTAACATAAGACAAACAATGAATGGAAATGTCAGTTGTGGTGTGCCGGAACTGACGAGGCAGTAGGCCTGAAATAAAAGAGGGCAAAAAGATATAACCAGTTTATTCATCCTACAAATATATCATAGCATATCACATATTCATGGTCTTGAATGCGAAGCGCAGTTCTTGTATTGGCTGAGGGATGTATCTTGTGTAAGCCGTGGACTTCCACCGGCCTAAAATTTTAATTACGTGAGCCGGGATATTCTTCTTAGAAGCTGTAGTGGCGGCTCCTATTCTAAATGAGTAACCAGAGTAACTTGCTGGGTTTAATCCTAAACGGACCAACAACATCCTAACATACACCATGAATTTACTCGTTGTTAGCTTGTTACCGTGTAACATAAGGAGTGGTTGTGTAGGGGCTATGGTACAAGAGGAAAGGTATTTGTCGAAAACTTCCACCGGACACCAATTATTGTTAGTGGGGTAATAGGTGATAGTGACAGTCTGTCCTTTAGCAGTAGTTTTGGTATGGTGTAGGGATAGCACGTAGTGATCTTGTACTTTTACCAGATTCGACCTAGTGATGACATCAGGGGAGTTATAGTTAGTGGTGGTGAACTCTTTGGGCCTAAGAAAACCGTAAAAAGCCAAATAGATGGCTGTTTTAATTACACGGTTTGTATGGGCTTCGAATGGTGAGGTGTTTAGCAGATTGGATAGTGACTGAAACAAAAGATCGTGAATGGGTAGTCTGGACGGTGAAGGTATAGGGGTGGAATCTTTAATACCTTTTAGTATGGCTTTAACTTGATAGGATGACAGAAATCATTGTCTATTAGGCCAGGTTGTGAGGACGTGATGTTGAATACCTGTGACATACAACTTAATGGTGTTATTTGATAGTGTCAGATGAAGGTGGCAAAAAGAAATAAATGCGATGATAGTCTCAATGGAGAATTGGTCAGTGACATTAAAGTCCAGCAAGAATTTATTGAAAACATGATGAGCTCTGCCATATGCTTTCCTGGTGTTATTGGAAAGACTGAGTTGCGAAAGTTGTTGACCGTGATAGAGCAATTCTTTTAGTCCCAAACCAATTCCTGCCACTGAGGTGCTGGAGTCTGTGTCGGGGTAGCTGTTGGTAGTGCTGCCCGGAACTCCTGAAACCGAGACCATGATAAGTGATCAGCAGCGATATTGAGAACCCCAGGCACATGAATGCAAGTTAAAAGAAAACTGTGTTTAGCAGCTAGCCAAGTGAGAGTCCTCATAAACCGCATGATGGTCAGGGAAGAGGAAAGACCCTTGTTAACAATATGGCACGTTGCCATGTTGTCCGAGAAGCAATGCACCGTATTCCCAGACCAGCCAGCTCCCCACTTAACTGCTGCTGCCACAACGGGGTAAAGCTCAAATAAGGCTGATGTGTCTTTGAACGTGGGGATTGCAGTAATTTCCCCTGGCCACTTACCCCACATCCATTCATTGCCACAAATAGCTGCGAAACCTGACGTGGCAGCGGCATCCGTCCATAATGACACTGACTTATCTGACCATACCGGGATAAAAATGCTTTTCCCATTCCAATTTAGCAAAAATTCTCTCCACATATGTACGTCAGCGGTGTCATGTATGTCTAACGTAATGCGGGTGGTATCAGAGTGAAACAGGGGAAATAGCCTAAGCAAACGGGATATGAACGCTCTCCCCTGTGGAATTATTTTCATGGAGAAATTTAGGGAACCCAACAGGGATTGTAATTCTTTCCTATTACATGAGCCACCTGCTAGGTAAAGGTTGATGGCTGCTAGGATGCGATTAATCTTCTCCCTGGGGAGGCTAGCCTGCATATGTATTATCAGCACCACTCCCAAGAAGTTGATGACCGTATGTGGACCTTCAGTCTTTGTTGGCGAAACAGGTACCCCTAGTTGTGTGAACAGTCGTGTTATGGACAGGAGGCTACTAGGAGGTACCAGGTTCCTTTCTATGGTCAGGAAGTCGTCCAGGTAATGGATCACGGTTGGGCATTTACAGATGTTAAACACCATCCAGCACAACGTCTCAGCAAATATATCAAAAATCCTGGGGCTGCTCTTAGAACCAAACGTGAGGCGCGTGAAAAAATAATACGAACCTTGCCACTTAACAACATGTAAATGCCACAGGGAAGGGTGAATAGGGAGTAACTTAAAGGCGTTTACAATATCAGTTTTACTCAGCCATGCCCCTACCCCGGCAGAGAGGATGGCAGTGACGGCATTATCTATGGTCGCATATTGGAGGGGAAATTCTTCTGATGGAATAACAGAATTGAGACTTGGGGTAGGTGATGCATGGGGAGCAGATAGGTCGAGAATTAACCTTTGCTTATTGGAGGATTTGTTAGTGACCAGTCGTATGGGATTAGTTCTCCAGACCGCGAAAGGTGGGGAGACGAAAGGGCCTATTAAGAAACCTTGGTCAACTTCCTTTTGGAGGAGTAGGTTTATAGTGTCTGGAGCTGCTAGGGCTGTCTGCAAGTTTTTACATTCCAAGATTCCCGTAGGCATGTGAATAATACCCATGTGAAACCCCAAAGTAAATCCTGCCACCAAAAACTCAACGAGATGTCGCGATGGGTGCTCACACAAAAGCTTTTCCAGTAGGGAGACATTAAGAGACGATAAGTAATGCTTAGGAAATAATTTATTGGGGCACATTACTTTTGAGTGAGCCCTGAAACATTGGGAGCAGACGTGAAGCAGTCTGCAGGCACTGTATCCGCAAGTGCCAGTGTTAAAATTATTACAGACTTGCGATTTTCCCAAAAACACTATATCACGGCCTAGTTTGTCTTTCAGCACCCTGCCTGTTCTCCCAGTGGGCATCATGTTAGTAGGGGGAAAAACGGCATTCACCTCGGGAGAGTTAGGGCACAGATTAGCCGTGTGGGAGTTGGACAAGCAAATGGCACAAGCTGGGGTTTTGAAGCCCGCAAAGTGCCGACAAAAAAGCTCTGTATCAAGCACACCCCAATCAGTTTGATGATTAAACTGAGTAAGAGCGGCCGACGCCTTCTCGGAAAAGGCACGGTGGTAGTCGTAAAAGGACGTACCACCGTAATTGTGCCCCAAATCCACCAGCTTGTGGAGATAAAGGTCCAACTCTTCTCTCCTATCCGGATATACTGAGCAAATCACATCTCTGTATATCCCGAAAGCTAACACAAATTCGGGGATAGATAGATTTTAATACCACCGACACATCCCCATATGCGTAGGTTCTATTTTCAAGGACATCTTGCGAGGCTATAAGAAGAGATACCAGATTGATATCCTTCCTTTCCAAGATTTCCTTCTTAGTGTTTGCAGGCACCATATGTGCCGGATTAATAATAAGCAGATTTTTAAGACTGCTTGGTATATTACACGGTAGGGGGTCCAGGCGCACCGTAGCAACCAGGGTACCTAATGCAGAAGCTGACCGTTGCTGGCTATCTGCTATCTGCGTATCGGTAATACAGCCCAAAGAGGTGAGGATTGAGGACAAAACAGTATGCAGATCAGAAGACTGGCTGCCACTGGACCCTTCCCCCGCCCCTGAGTTATCAGTCTGTGTATTCAACAGTCTGTACAATTCTGCTTTCCTAGCAGTGGCTGGGAAAGGAATATTCCTCTTTCATAGTTCGGCAGTGATCCGAGGAATGGCCCATGCCCTGAGTGATGCAGGGCTCGCGTTGTCGTCACCCCGGGATCTAGCCGGTGTGCTGGGGATGGACAAATCTTCCCCGACTTCGGGTATTTGTGACATGCTACAACATAAAAATAATATGTTATCTAGGGTCCTACTGCACTGGCTGGTGTAACTAATGCCAAGCGGCGAAAAATTACTTAGAACGTGACTGGTGAGGCCCTACTAGTTGCCAAGCGGCTTTGAGAGGCACTATCTATGATTTGGCTCGTGTGGGGTACATGGCCATTGGCATTATGGCAGGGTGATGGCCTCTCCATGACTCGTTAAAGCATAAGACAGAATGGGAGTGACAGGTGAGGCCCTCTCTATGCAACCAAGCAAGGCGGCTAGCTATGAATTGGCCCGAGGGGATGCCGTACCTCCGAATTGAGGATGGGTGTTGGCCTCGCGGGACTACTAACGAAAGGCGTAGAAGGCCAGAAAACATACCTAGAGGTTCCTATTGTGTGTGCCAGTATCTGTACTGTTATCCCAAAAAGGGTAGGTAGGGAGGGAGAAATAATCGAAAAAACATGACGTACCTGACGAGCTAAATTTGCCAGATAGTATAAGATGATACAGGCGATCTGTAGCAACCTACGAGAGTAATTTGAGTTTGTAAGGGGTTAAACTATGTACCCCTCAATCCCCTGTTATCCCGATACCTACCAGTGATTTATTCCGACAGTAAGGGACTGGAACCAAAATACTCAAAAGAGCGAGGATGCCTATACCTATTAATACAGAAAACACATATAAGGACCCGTGTCTTGTGTGACCAATATGGTATAATTAATCGTGATTACTAACCTTATGTTAATTGACAAGTTGGTAGAGTGGCAGCCTACTGTGGAATTACTGTAGAATACTGAAAACCTAAGAGGTCTTATAATCGTAAAAAATGGCTAATCATGCTTGTGCTAATATGTCTTTAACATATATAAATACCAATACTAAGGAAAACTGTAGGCCAAAGTATAATAATTCACCGACCTTGTGATGGCTAACTTGACTCGAGACTTTATTTTAATAAGCCCAATGTGTCATCATTATAGCTGCAAAAATCCTCTGTAGCATGTTATTGTAAGAGCTGTGTCATAATATATGTATATAAGTTCAGTAGTATACAAATTAAAATGTAATAAATACCATGTGTCATAATCTTAATGACCACCAGGGGTCGTGGGACCAAACAGGAGAGAGAAACTATGATGGTAAACAGCCACCAAAGGTCACCGAATTGCCTATCATTATTATAACATCTAGTATTGAGAAAGAGGGGAACGGGAGAGAAGAAATAAATAAAAAAACGTTTCGGAAAACGAACGGCCCTAAGAAGGCCAGAGTATAAACACGAATTGCCCCATACGCATAAACATTTACCCATAGATATGAACCGAACATTATTGTTTAACGAATGCCGTTATTCGCGTGAACGGCGTACTATGACGATGTAGACCGGCTGCACCGGAAACTGTAACGGTCGTATGACTTACGGTTTTACCGCAACGAAAAACCCTGCGAACGCCTGAGGCAGACGAAATCCGGAGGAAACAGGAGCCTGGAAACTGCCCACGGGGATACAAGTAAGCAGAGTGGCGTGAGGTGGACCGGAAGTGGCGATCTTTCTCCAAGCAACTCGCCAAACCTAACAGGTAATGAGGGAAGGGCTGGTGCTCCTTAAGAATGGGAACCAAGCCCCTCCCACAACTTCAGGCCATGCCTTCCATATATATATATATATATATATATATAGTGTATTTTCCACCTTAATGCATGCATGCATGCTTGCATGCATTTTGAGCTGACGAGGAGAGGGAGAGGGGATTGAAAACTATAAACTAATTTAAAAAACAAAAAATAAACTAGTCCATCAGAATAAAGGAATCAAAGGCAGCTTTTTATGGAAACAGAGTCACTATACACACTACAAAAGAATGAATTCTGTTTTTCCCCCATGAACATTAATTGTGGTTCACCCCATCATAAAGCTAATCCTATTTTTATTTAGAAATGTTGTGAATCACATTTGAATTCCCATGTGTCATGACAGAATTAAGTGACATTAGCAAAGCCAATTCAATAAAAATAAAATATTCATTGCATCTCTCAAGGACCCTAGTTTCAGGGTCCTATCCCGCAGTTACAGATTGGTTCCCAGTTACCTGTGAATAGCAAGGAATTATTGTCAGGAAGCTCAGTGCGTGCACATAAATAGAACAAGTTGTGTTGTATATAGTGCTTTTAAAGCATTCAGACCATGAGGATGAGGAGTGCTCTCTGCTTATGCAGCCTTTGGCTGGGTAGGTCTGAGCATCTTTAGGTTAATGGGTTTATACTTCATTATTCCATTGGGGTTCATCCACACTGGTCCCAGATCTATATCTGATAATGCTGGAAGGTATGCATCTGTTGTGTTTGTGTTAAAATGGTACGATGTACTTACCACAGCATCCTTTACAATCACTCTTGCAACTTGATCTGCTTGGCACAAGCTTGAGGTTTCGGATATCAGCTTGGTCTCCAAAGGCTATACATGCAAACACACAAATACAAAAGGTTTTGAAGAAATTGTACAATTGTGAGGTTCACTATATGCACTGACAGTGCATTAGCCACTTCAAATTAGCAATCATTTAAATTAATGTGATGCAAATACTGTAGGAAAAAGAAGGGAAATGCATGAGAAAGATTGACCATTCTTTGGTTAAAGGAATGTGTGAACAGAAAGGTTTAGGTTGAAAATATACGTTTGCATTTTGGACATAAGGTGTCTTATTTTCCGTGTAATAATTCAAACGAATGTCAGAAGCAGCCCTGGGGGATTGGTAACTCCATCTATTAGTCCAATGCATGCCAACCTTTTAGAAAATGCATGATGGGCAACAGTGAATTGCACCAAGATTTACCATATGCATTAAAATCAAATAAGCTAAATAAATGCAATACTGTGCACCGAAGGAGGTACAACTGGGCATCAATCCAGTCTTTCACCTGTTGGATAACGTTAGTCGATTCAAAGCTACGGACCCACATGCCCAGATTGGCAGAGACATGTAATATTTATCAACTAGCCATCATATAGTTAAAAAAACAAACAAACAAACAAAAAAAAAATAAAAAAAAATATATATATATATATTTTATAAACCACACTACCTTTGATTTGTTTTCCTCAGTAAAACCGGGTGTGTCAGTATCAGGAGGGTAAGCAACTGTCACATAAACATTATAAGGCTTTACCTGCATTAAAAAAAACAAAAAAAAACAAACAATAAAATTTTACTTTAGCTCAAGAAAGAAAACAGTCTAGCAACTCTGCTCTATTATACGATTAGTTATAGAATATATGTATATATATTATACTTGCAATTTGGCTTTTTGAGAAGGCTAGATACAGATAGCATTCCTTTAAAGGACCACTATAGGCACCCAGACCACTTCAGCTCAATGAAGTGGTCTGGGTGCCAGGTCCCCCTAGTTTTAACCCTGCAGCTGAAAACATAGCAGTTTCAGAAAACTCCTATGTTTACACTGCAGGGTTAATCCAGCTGTAATGCTTTCCTACGGGCAAGTTTGAATGCGCGTGTACCTCTGGCCGCACATGCACATTCGGCTCCATTCGGGAGCTGTCGTCAGCGGGGGAGTGAAGGTCACCAGCGCCGAGGGAGCTGGATTTAAGGTGAGTGGCTGAATCGGTTTTAACCCCTTCAACGCTGAGGGAGGGGGGCACTTCAATAGCCTATAGTGCCAGGAAAACTATAGTATCTCTTTAACCCCTTAAGGCCCAACTTCTGGAATAAAAGGGAATCATGACAAAATTCATCTATTTCAAGGCAGCACTGATAATAGTGTTTGACATGTCCAGTTTTTGGTTATAATTGCACCAGAATGTGTTAGAATTATCAGTGTTGCAGACATAAAATTTAAGATCAAGATATTCCTTGCTGACAATAGAATAGTGACAAGTTATTTAACAGGCTCTAGTAAATTGCATTAATATGCTTGCATATGCAAAGCTGGGCAACCTTTTAAACAAATCTTTCCTAGATCTATACTTTGCTGTATAAACCTTGCATCTTAATGTAGCAAGTGCTTTAAAAGTGAATTAAAAGTGACAGCTAAACACTAGAACGTGAAATGTGACATGGGTGGGCAATGAATTGGCCACTCTTTCACACTCTGTTAATATGTATTTATCACCATTGTCATGCCATGTTTTTAAATTAAGTAAATATACAATTTTGCTTGAATGTTAAAGTCAGCTGGCTCTCTCATGGCTTAAAACAAAACAAAAAGAACCCTATTGTTATTCTCTAAACTCCAAATCTTCCTGGAAAACCACAGGTAAAAATATCTTAAATACTTCATCTCATCAGCCATAGTTGCAACTTTGTTATTTTGTGCCTCAGCTTTACCACTAGGATTTAATTTGGGAAAATTTGGAGGTTAGTGAATAGCCCTGTAAAAGTCTTATTTGATATTGACTAAAAATATACTAGAAAAAACTTGCCTTGTTATATTTAACAAGTTACCCCTTCAGGCCCTCAGTTAGGAAAATCTGATTTGAGCTGATAACATTAGAAACTTCATTTGACCAGCTCATTGCAAAGCAAATCTAATCTCTAAAGAAAGTTTTAAAACAACAGAAAAATATAATGTACTATACCTCCATTTGCAATGATTCTGCCAGCCCACGAAGTGCAAACTTGGTTGGAGAATAAGCAGTATATCCAAATAATCCAAGCTGCCCTGCCTGAGAGGAGATAAACACTATCCTCCCCATTCTTCTTTCTTTCATTGTCGAAATAACTGCTCTGCTTGGATACACACTACCCAAGTAATTCACTTCCATAAGTCTCTACAGTTAAAACAAACAACATAAAGAGACACTTATAAGCAGGACAATGATGAGTTTTCAGGTAGTTTAAATGGTTATACCCATAAAAGTGGAGTTTTAGGCGAACATAAAAATGTCCAACTTCCACATTCTGACAAATATTTTCCATTGTCCCAAGACAGTTAAAACTGCAAGAGTAGTAAGGCTTAACAGATAATTGGGGCAACATTCCAAAATTGTAATCCAATAAAGAAAGTATCAATTTGTCTAGGGCTATAGAATAAAAGTAAAATGACATTTTCTTTAAACTACCATATAGAACTTTAAATAATGCCTATGTTTTGCAGTGTCCACTTGTAAATAGTAATTAGTCAAGCACAAAAAAAAATAAAATTATGATTTCTAAAGAGAATTTCATGGACGTGCCATGAACCATTAGATTCATTCCCAAATGGCTGTTGGCATCACATAACCGTAGCACTCCCTCCCCATCCCATCAATTGTTGGAGTAGTTTAAGATGATTTAAAAACATTATCAGGCCATCCAAAATGACTAAAGTGAAAAACAATTTCTGCATTACAGCAACATGTAGCTGATATTTGCCATTTTAAAAGAAGAAAAAAAAAATATCCTCTCCTCAACCTGTTGTCTTCTCAATTGTAGGCAATGTGGAGTTCCATATGTGCTGTGGTCACAGAATCAGACAGTTTCGTTGGTGGTAAGAGTGTAGTGATTGTGTCTTTGAAAACAGTTTTGGTAGTTGGTGTGAACGTTTCTGACAGAGGACCCACTGGCTAAATACCTCCAGATTAACATAGGGGTTTATGGAGCTGAAGATTCAGGTTTTTTTTTTTAATTTCTTTTTTCTGTATTACTCTTCACATGCTCTTACTTTGTGCAATGGGATTATGTATGGGGACTTAATAGGGATATAGGGGAACAACATTTGTGCGGACTGGCTGACTATAAATTGCAGTGGTCTTGTGCACTAGTTCCGAGGGGGCGCCTCCAGCAGATTTAACAGCATCTGGCCCATCCATACAGACCATAATATTTGTCACCGACACAAGTAAACACCTTTGGCAGCAGGGCGTCAACAGCCACAGTGGAGCCATTCATGCAGACGCAGTGCTGCACCATCTCCAGATGCTGGCTGCCAGTGTCCACTATACTGAATGCATCTGTTGCTTTTCATTTAGGCAGCCAGAGAGTGTGGTATCTATGTGCTCCCTGCCCTTTGCATGGGGAAGTTAAGTGTGGGAGCGAGGGACCAATGAGGCTGAAAGAATGTGGATAAGGGCAAAACTGTTTTCTTTTGTATTTTTAGATTATATGTACTATGTTTTTCTGTATTTCTAGATTATATGTATAAATCCTGCGATTGCTAGTAGGTATATTTTATGTTTAAGAGGGTAACTTTTCTGGTTTTTATTCTGTGTTTATTGATTGAAGGTTGTTGGGGGATACTCCTTGTGTTACACCTCTTGCTTTCTTCATACACTTGAAGCACCTACACACTTTTTGTTCTGTGAGGGTAGAACAGGGCCTGGCAGTTCTATATAGACAGATTCCAGTGCCCCTCATGCCTGCTCCAACCAACCCAAAAAACAGACACGAGAGCCCTAGGAAATGGCAACCAGAAGTATAAGGCCACCTTCCACAGTCCACTATCAGGGTACTAATAAGTGTAAAATGGCAAGCATGCAGTGAGTGACAGCGAGTATGCCTGTAGTGAGCTTGTGAATGTCTGCATGCATCAGTGAACATGTCTAGTGAACTTATGTGTGTATTTCAGCTAGCTTAGCATTGTATTGAGCTTGTGTTTTTGTGCCAGTGAACTTTGGTACTGGGCTTGTGTGCGCGTGTAAGTGAGTTTATCTGTAGTGAGCTTTTATGGGTCTGAAATTGTGTGTAGCGAACTTGTGTGCATCACAGAGTTTATGCATGTGTCAGAACTTACATGCATGTGTTGGTGAAAATGAGCTTGTGAGTTTGTATGTATTATTACATTATATGGGTGAGACATTGTGATGCTACACCAAGGTGGACAATACAAGGGCATGGTTCAGGTGATGTCAAACCACGGGGAGGGAGGGGGGTGAAGTGCATGGGATGCAAAATTTTGTGCCTTGACCTTTAGTCTGCAAGTTAGAAGAAGAGAAGTGGGCAACTGAGTGCTGGGGAACACCAGGGAATTGTTTCCAGAAAGCATAGAGCAAGCACCTCATTATACAAATTCATGACGAGCTCAGGGTGCTGAAAAAACACTGTCTGCATGGCATGCATTGAGACCAATCATAATTGTCAGCTCCAGGCCTAATGGGCTATTTTAATCTGGCCCAGATGACAGACAGACACACATACTTACTGCAAATCGATCAATCTCTATTTCTTCAAATTTTCCAGACAATGAAGTCCCTGCACAATTCACCAACATATCAACTGGACCTAGCTTTTCTTGAGCCTATAAGTAAAACATAAAAAAATAAATATACAATTTTTAACTAGGTCTTTCAGGTGATAAGGAATCCAATTTTTGTTTTTAACACTTATTTCTTGGCCCTCCTTGTTTTTGATCAAATTTACTGAACTCTATCCTTGATGCACAGTAACAGTTTAGGCCAGGAATGGTCAAATGCAGACCCTCAGGTGTTAAAGTACTACACTTGATAGTGGTGGTAGAACTGAGACTCTCGTGGGTGTTCTACAAATGGCCACTCTTGATTTATGTTCTCCTCAGGCTTGCATACGCAAGACTGTCTTTCACTATAACAAATTAAATGGTCAAAACAGATGCAGACAGCTTTCCGTTTGCCAAAATACTAGAATTTCATTTTCACACAGATCACATAATTTAACAAAAAAATAGTTATGTTCTTTCTACAGCAAAACAGATGAAAACACACAGCTTCAGTCCTCCTTACCTGTTTTATGACATTTTCTACTTGTCTATATTCTTTGGAAACATCCACCGATATGCATAGCACAACCTAGACAAAGGGAAGAAATTATCGTTTTATAAACTTACACACACACACACACACACATTTCTATAACACCGCATATCAAAATTGCTACTTTGTATTCATGGAGTTCATTACAATTAAAGTATATAATAGAAAGCCTAAAACAAAGATACATTAGTTAACTATAGTACATTGTGATAACTCCATATGACAAGAACATAGTTCCATATTGTGCAAAATAATAGCATATTATTGGAAGATATGCATGTCATATTTGACGAGCAGTGGTAGCAGCAATTGTAATTGTTCTAAAGTCTATTCTGCAAACTAGAAAATTAAGCTTCAAGATGCAAATTGACATTTGGTTCTATGCTAAAATAAGAGACATTTCACAGGAACAAGCACAGATTCACTTGGCAAATGCAACACTTTGAACTCATAACAAAAAGGACAGAGGACAAAAAAAAAACAAAAAAAAAACAAGCAAACTTTTTTTCTTTTGTCTAAAGCCACAACAATATCAAAGAAAATTACAGAAATAATGAATATCTAAAACTGGAATCTTACCTGTTTGTCATTGACTGAATGTTTTTCAATTTCTTTCTTGGCTTGTACCAACTTGGCCTAAAAATAATCAATATAGGTTGGTGCTTAATATTGGGTGCAAACACACACAAATTAAAAAAAAAAAATGTGCAATGTATATTTGATAGCCACATTGGTCTCTGACAAAGTCCACTTCCTACATTTTTCTTCTGGGAGAAGTTCAACCATATGCACACAAACATTGGTATAAATAGACCATCGTCACTGTTCTGACCAGAAATGGAGAAAGTAAAAAAAATATATATAAATAAACAAATAACTTTGGTTTTCCAAAGATTCTCAATTCTCTACGTTTTATGTGTTAAATCACTTTGTTTACACAGCCCTAGCTATGATTCATACAGCCTCCCTACACACTTCCTGAAAAATAAAAAAAAGCTGATTTTTTTATTTCTGTTATTAAACAGTTTGTTTAATTTAGAATATCTTATCTCCTGCTGTTAATTGACTGCTAGAGCCTACAACACTCTCCCATGTGTGGGAGATAACTTCTCAACTAAACACAGCGTACTGGAAAATCTGAGTGAAAATGAAAGCTTTCTTTTCATGGAGGCTGTGAGCGGCAGCTGGGGGGAGGTGTAGTAAGGACTGAAAAAACAATACAAATGAACTCCTAAATGTCAGAGAATTGAACAGTGAGACTGAGGGGAATAAACTACACACCAAAACCGCTTAATTAAAATAAAATAGTTTTTGGGGGTGTGGCTGACCGCTGAGCAAGATGGCCGCATAAGGAATTGCTCCGGCACCTGAGCCCCAAAAGAATCTACAAAAAACGAGCAGAACCCACAAAATTCACTACATAACATCATGTGTCAACCCAAGAGCAAGAAACATGCCTCTAAAGCTGACAAGCTCACCTTCTTCGCCCATAAACAGACCTTCGTGTCGGACACCATGTAGGCTGAGATGCAAGATGGCGCCAGAGACCCCGAGGCCAATCACCAAATGCCGGCTGGGGAAGAAACTCCAAGCACAGAAAATCTTACCAAAGACCACTACGAAAGGGCACTGGAGTCACTATCCACGAAACTCATGGGAACACACAGCCAACAAACTGCACAGGGAGGTAACAGAGCTCAGCTCCAGAACGACCCACGTGGAAAAGACGTGTGAGGAGCTCACCTCTGCCCAAAACGGCACAACAAAATGCATGCAAGCACTGGAGCACAAGCTGGAATCACTGGAAATGGGCATGGTGGACTTCGAAGATCGGGCGAGAAGGAACAACCTCAAACAGCCACTTTATTTAGGTAGAGTTTTATATCGTACCTCCAAATAAATAATTGCCTTGGTTAAAAAGCGGGCACACAGACACATGCCGCTGTATAAGCACTTCCGAATGGCACAATTCCCGCAACACTCACAATCTGTTACACTGCACGACCTCAGGGCAGGCGCCATCTACGGTATGTCTGGCTCTATGGTATTAGTCTGTTAAGGTTTTGCAATGATTTACTGGCAGGAATAACATCCTCTCCATCCACCAACTGTTGGTGGGAATGTATAAATCACTCGCACGAGGGCGGACCACGACAAACCTGGAAGCAGGCGAGAGCACTGTGCGCCCACATTAGCAAAGGCAGGAAGGTAAACGGCATATAACCATATCCTATAAGAAACCACTTGAGGCTTATAGCCTACATAATCGCAATACCACAACCTATGCCACCTCTCTCCACTATATAAAACACCATATAGACGGATTATACAGCCCCCCCACCCCCCGCCAGTCAACCCACACACCAGAGGCACAAGTGAGACTGATACACACCTATTGTGAGGGGCGGCCGCTTGTGACACACACAGGCACCAAGCATACTATGATACGACATGAGGCCATGCCACCTCATGACACGGTGCGAGCCATGTGCAATCGGGTAAACACCTAATACAGAGCGACCCTCGGACCCCAGATTAACAACCTACGGAGGTGAGGGGCAGCTACTCACTGCATCCGCAACATAAAAAATAGCAGGGTTAGTTATATAAGTTATAAGTTCATGTTTAATGTTTGAGATGTCAAAGTTACTGTGAGATGCTAGGCATCAGTTCTACGGTTCTGCTCCTGCCGCGCAAGCACAAGCCACTACACAGGAGTCTACACTTCCTACCCCCAAGGTACTACACAGTACCTCGACCCCTAGGGATCATTCTGTACATAAGATTATTAACACCCCCTTCCCTACACCCTACAGCCTTACACCCAGTCGACCCCACCCAGCCTTTCCTCCGCCTACACCACCAGACTGGTAACCAACCACCAACGGGTCACGTCAGGGATGCCCACTCTCCCCTTTGCTCTATATACTGGCACTAGAGCCCTTGACACAAATGATCCGGGATGACCCGAACATACATGGCATTAACCTTCAGGGAATAGAATACAAGCTGTCCTTATTCGCAGGCGACATTCTATTGACCTTGGAACAACCACATATATCCATGTCGAATTTCCACAGCATCCTCGCACTCTACAGTAAGTGCTCATATTACAAGCTTAATGTCCCCAAAACCCTTGCACTGGGTATTCATGTACCACAGAAGGACACCCTGCACCTCAAACACACCTTCAAATACAACTGTAGGCACGATCATCTTAAATATCTAGAGATAAACATCACTCCCTCGCCTTCTACCCTGTTATAAAGCTAATTACCACAAACTGATGAGTGACATCAAGAATATTATCTAAGGGTGGAGAGGGAAATTCGTCTCCTGGTCGGGTAGTATTGCAGCTGTCAAAATGACGATACTCCCGAAAATCCAATACATGTTCCGCACACTCCCATTAAAACTGCCCACAACATACAGTTGCAAGAAAAAGTATGTGAACCCTTTGGAATGACATGGATTTCTGCACAAATTGGTCATAAAATGTGATCTGATCATCATCTAAGTCACAACAATAGACAATCACAGTCTGCTTAAACTAATAACACACAAATAATGAAATGTTGCCATGTTTTCATTGAACACACCATGTAAACATTCACAGTGCAGGTGGAAAAGTATGTGAACCCATTGGATTTAATAACTGGTTGAACCTCCTTTGGCAGCAATAACTTCAACCAAACGTTTCCTGTAGATGCAGATCAGACGTGCACAACGGTCAGGAGTAATTCTTGACCATTCCTCTTTACAGAACTGTTTCAGTTCAGCAAAATTCTTGGGATGTCTGGTGTGAATCACTTTCTTGAGGTCATGCCACAGCATCTCAATCGGGTTGAGATCAGGACTCTGACTGGGCCACTTCAGAAGGCGTATTTGCTTCTGATTAAGCCATTCTGTTGTTGATTTACTTCTATGCTTTGGGTCATTGTCCTGTTGCAACACCCATCTTCTGTTGAGCTTCAGCTGGTAGACAGATGGACTTAAGTTCTCCTGCGAAATGTCTTGATAAACTTGGGAATTCATTTTTCCTTTGATGATAGCAATCTGTCCAGGCCCTGACGCAGCAAAGCAGCCCCAAACCACGATGCCCCCACCACCATACTTCACAGTTGGGATGAGGTTTTGATGTTGGTGTGCTGTGCCTTTTTTTCACCACACCTAGTGTTGTGTGTTTCTTCCAAACAACTCAACTTTGGTTTCATCTGTCCACAGATGCCAGTACTGCTATGAAACATCCAGGTTCTCTTGTGCAAACTGTAAACGTGCAGCAATGTTTTGTTTGGACAGCAGTGGCTTCCTCTGTGGTATCCTCCCATGAAATCCATTCTTGCTTAGTGTTTTACGTATTGTAGATTCGCTAACAGGGATGTTAGCATTTGCCAGTGACTTTTGTAAGTCTTTAGCTGACACTCTAGGATTCTTCTTCACCTCATTGAGCAGTCTGCGCTGTGCTCTTGCAGTCATCTTTACAGGACGGCCACTCCTAGGGAGAGTAGCAGCAGTGCTGAACTTTCTCCATTTATAGACAATTTGTCTTACCGTGGACTGATGAACAGCAAGGCTTTTGGAGATACTTTTATAACCCTTTCCAGCTTTATGCAAGTCAACAATTCTTAATCGTAGGTCTTCTGAGAGCTCTTTTGTGCGAGGCATCATTCACATCAGGCAATGCTTCTTGTGAAAAGCAAACCCAGAACTGGTGTGTGTTTTTTATAGGGCAGGGCAGCTGTAACCAACACCTCCAATCTCATCTCATTGATTGGACTCCAGTTGGCTGACATCTCACTCCAATTAGCTCTTGGAGATGTCATTAGTCTAGGGCAGGGGTTCTCAACCCAGTCCTCAGGACCCCCTACCAGTCCAGGATTTGGGGATTACCTGGGTGTGTCTCAGGTGTTTAGAAAAAGTGAAAAAAAACACCTTAGACTCTTTTTCTAAACACCTTAGACACACCCAGGTAATCCCTAAACCCTGGACTGGTAGGGGGTCCTAAGGACTAACGTTGAGAAGCCCTGGTCTAGGGGTTCACATACCTTTTCCACCTGCACTGTGAATGTTTACATGGTGTGTTCAATAAAAACATGGCAACATTTCATACTTTGTGTGTTATTAGTTTAAGCTGACTGTGATTGTCTATTGTTGTGACTTAGATGATGATCAGATCACATTGTATGACCAATTTGTGCAGAAATCCATATCATTCCAAAGGGTTCACACACTTTTTCTTGCAACTGTACCTCCCAGATATGCAAAAAATCAAAATCAGTGCAATAACACTGTAAACTAAAAATATGAAATGACAATGTGAAATGACAAGATGCAATAACACCGCAAAATAGCAATGAGATATAGCAATGTGAAATAACAATGTGACATGTCACTGTGAAATGACGATGTGACAAGACAATGTGGAATAACAATGCGCAAACCCTGACACTGTGTTCAGGCTCTAAAATCGATTTAAAGCAATAGTTGTCACGTGAATAAAGCCAAGTCTGCTACTGCAACTAAGAATGTCATTGTAACCTAACCTTGATACCCCCACCCCTTTCTTCTTCTGTAACACCAACAAAACAATAAAAATTGTCAAATTGAAGAAAAAAAAAATATAGTTTTGGTAAGTAAAGTATCCCTTTAATAGACCCAAGGTAGTCACCTGTTTTATTATTTTACAGGACTATATGTGGAGTTAATTCACTCCCCCCCCCCTCCCCAAATAAATGTAGTTTTTTTTTTATTGACGATTTTTCAGATATTAAAAACAAATGATAATATCAAGGTTACAAGGTAATAGAAAGTAGACTTGCAGGGTTAAGGATGATGGGGGTTGGCACCCAGACGACTCCAATGGGCAGACTTGGTCTGGGTGCCTGGAGTGTCCTTTTAAATGTTAACTTCTACAGTTTTACTTTAATGAAGTACATGAGCCCTTGGAAATTCCTCTAAAAGTTTATTTTTTCTTTTCCATGCAGACAAACTGCAGTGACCCCTGGTTTTTAGCTGTGTTCAACAACAAAAAACAAACACCCAATTCAAAAGAAAAGGCTTTACAAATGTTCCATTTCAGCAAGGGTAAAAACATATTGCATATTTAAGCTTGCAAGTGAATTCAAAAATAATAAATAGGAATGCCTGAAAACAAGATAATTGTAAAAAGGCTGTATTCACATTTCTAAGATACATAAATGTGAACTCTATCATACTGAAGGGAAATGTGAACTCTATCATACTGGGGGGCATTGACAAATCCACACATACAAAGCAGACATGGAATTCAGATGAAAGGTTGTCTGAGATGCAAATATATTACAAAATGCTGTGAAATAGAAGGGGGAAAAGACAAACTTGTAAATATATTTTTATATTTGAATGATTATCTTACATTATCGCTTCCCCCTCCCCATATCTGTATTTTTTTACAATAACACAGCCAATGTAAAGAACAAAAATAAAGTAGAAAAATTGTATTCTATTCTGGTGTCTCCCCAGAAGGCATGCTACCAGCCAAATCTGCAACAAAGCCAGTAATTCCAGTTTGAATACTTAGTATTATACGTATTATGTAGTTTTTAAGTATTACTACAAATATCAACTTGAAGTAGTGTGTAGAAGCAATCATAAAATGCAACAGCATTTTAACCACATGTGGTCTTAAAGGATCACTATTGGATCACTAAGGGATTCGTTTTACAAACTTGTATTCATAACACTACAGTGTTCCTGTCAAATCTACATATGTCCAAAATACATTTTAAAAAGCTTAGGTTTTATTTACGCTACATGGGCATTGCTCACCTCTCTGCCGCCAGTGACATCACAGAGGAGGCATAGCTTCTTGGGAGGGGACCTAAAAAGCATGCGCATCGCTTATTGCAACGGTTATAGATTTGGTTGATCTTCATCTTTGCAATAATCGGTAACAGTTTACAATGTAACCAATTTTGTCAATATTGACAAGGTGAGGGGGGCGGGACTTCCGTGTCTGTATGTATAATACTATAATTAATATATATAGGTATGTCATTTGATGCTGAGGAAGGTCCCTGCACGGACCAAAACGTTGATCTCTATTATTTTATGGAATAAAGAAGTTTTTTCATTATCAAGACCGTGAGTGCAGCCCTGGAGTTTATTTTTTCCTTTGGTGTTTATCTACATCCCCATAGGGACTGGCACCCGGCAAGTACAGCAAATGCTTTGATGCATATTGAGTTTGAGCGTGAGTGCATGGATCTGAATATTTTTTATATATATATATATATATATATATATATATATATATATATATATATATATATTTTATACACACACAAACAAAAAAAGTTATGGTGGGGTAAAATTGTGATCGGACCAATTTGCATATGCCCACCCAGAATTCTTTGCAGTAGTAACATCACTGCAAATTTGTGATTTCTGTGAGAAAAGCAAGTCTTATGGCTTGACCGATGTGCCGTTTTTTGTTTAACATTGTATTGACTATCCACAGACTTCAGGTGAAAGGGGTTTTCAAACTCAATTTTTCCCCACCGTAACTCCTTCGGTTTTTGCTTCGCAAGTACTGCCAAGCCTCAATAGCAAGCCAGTAACCAACCTCATGCTGATGATTTGGATTAACAATGAAACAGCTGTCCATGAGTAGTTCACTGGCTTTGCATTTTTTCCTAAGTTGTGTTTCAAGGCTGTTGTATACAGCAAAGACAGACTCAAAGGAATCCATGTTTAAAAGGAAATACTGATAGCAAAATATAGCTTGGTTTGCAAAACTGTACCAAGCTGTATGTAAAATGATAGCAGCCTCGGTACTGCTGCCATCAGTTTGTAAAGACTGAAACTGTGGGTCATTATTCACATAGACATTCTCATTAAGCAACACATTATATTAAGGAGGTATTAGGATGATCCAGCTACTAATGGATGCATTTAAAATTAATTATGTAGGGTCCCCAAGCAGCCAATGGAAAAAATTATTTACTTCAAAACCAACTCAGAACTTGCCTGCAAATTTCTGATCCATTTGGCCCCACCTAGAGGCCACTTCAAGAAAGTTCAGGACCATTTAATAGTCATTTGGGTGGTCTCAAATGCTCTCAATAAAGTAAAGTAATATGGATATTAACCTTGGAGAATGTTGCCTTTATTTTATTTGTAAAAAAAAAATTGTTTTCTGATCTTTGAAATTAAAAAATGGAGTTTAGTAAATAACTTCATATACATATTTAAATTTAGCAACAAATGATGGAAGCTGGAAGAACATATTATGCATTTATTAGTATTAAAAGTATTTCCTGGAATATTCATTATTACACAATGGCACAGTCATAATCTACCAGAGAAGGTTAAACTTACCCAGCCAAGAATTAAACCTACAGCAAGAACAAGAAAGGTTGAAGTCGAAACTTTAACCATGGAGCGGTCTCATCTGCTAATCATAAAGGGGGATACCAAACAACTAAACATATTTGCACTTCTGTTTGGCTACCTGTTCAGGACAGCTGAAATTCTATGCAATTTTATTAATTGCAGGTAAAAATGTAAAGGAGGCGGCACCGATATAAATCAAAATTGTTCTAAATAAAATATGTTGTTAGCTAGAACATGTCATCAAGAAGCATCAGAAAACTACCAGCACACGCACTCTCATGGCTCCAATACAGAGATTTCTCAATGGGAAGACAAAGTCTGTGCTGGAGACAAAAAATGGGAGGGCTTGCAAAAGTTGCAGACAAAAAGAATTTGCAACTTTTGGAATGCGTTTTTTTTATATAACCCCAATGGAGAAAATAAATATATAAATCAGCGATATATGCAGTCATGTTTTTATTGGAGATACAGCTACTAAACTATGAAAAAAAATCTACTTGAGTGTTCCTTTACCATTTAGTGGATAGACACCAAAGATTACTATAAAAGTAGCTAGAGTATAAATAGCAAAAAAAAAAAAACTTACCTCATCTCGAGCAACAAGTGTTATAAAAGCACCTTGTTTGAAGCATTCTATTGCTATACATTTTCCAATGCCACTTGATCCACCAGTAACCTACAGATTAAAAGATAAACAAAGTACACAAAAAAATTAAGCTTCTTCACAAACAATGCTTTTAAATTACTCCCACCAGCAGCTAGATATACACAAACTTTTTTATAAAACTTGTATCATTTTTTCAAAATATTAAATAATTATTTCGAAAATATATAAAAATATATATTAAAACATTTTTCAAAATATTAAATCATTGGTCATGGTGGACATACATGTCTTGTGAGAGCTCCTCATGAATATCAAGCCCTTGGTTGTTTAACCTACAAGTTCGCGACTTTTAGCTGATACCAGGGATCGACCGATATTGATTTTTTAGAGCCGATAACGATAATCTGTGAATTTATAACTTACCGATAACTTACCGATTTTAAAAAATAAAACAATTTCTACACAAATCCACAGTTACCTGAACAGGTTTATTAATTTATTTTGCAAATCTTTATTTATTTTTTATTTTTTTAAGATAAATGCACAAAATATACATGCCAGTCAGAATTTTTTATGTTTTCATGAATATAGGTGTGTGTAGTGGATGCAGTGAAAGTATTTGATTAGTGAATGCAGTGTGTGTGTGTTTGTGTAGTGGATGCAGTATATGTTTGTGTAGTGTGTGTATAGTGAATGCAGAGTGTGTGTTTGTGTAGTGTGTGTATAGTAAATGCAGTGTTTGTGTTGTGTGTATATAATGAATGCAGTGTGTATGTTTGTGTATTATGTGTATAGTGAATGCAGCGTGTGTAGCGTATAGCGTGTGTAAAGTGAATGTAGTGTGTTTGTGTAGTGCAAGCATGTCAAACTTGCGGCCCGGCGAGCCGCAAGTACATGCCTAGTGTAAAAGGAGAGTAGGCACCTGCTCGCCCCACATTGCAGGTGCTTACTCTGCTATCATTTACCTGGCCAGAGGAGAGGAAGCAGGACACCGGCGGCAGGGAGGGAGCTCAGCATTCCTGCTCCTCACTGCTCCCTCGTGCCGTCTGTAGTGATGCCGGGCGCCGGAATATGATGTCATATTGCGGCATCACTAAACTGCGCGCGAAGGAGCAGGAACACTGAAGATCCCACTGGACCCCAGGGAATGATGTGAGTGTCTGTCTGTCAGTGTGTGTGTATGTCTGTGTATGTATGTTTGTCTGTGTGTGTGTGTCAGCGAGTGAGTGTGTGAATGTCTGTGTGTTTGTCATTGAGTGAATCGGTCAGTGAGGGTGTGTGTCTCTGTCAATGATGGTGTGTTTCTGTCAGTGTTTTGATGGCCGTGGCTGGACAGTGGAGTACCTGGAGGTGCATGGAGGCACGCCACGTCCGGCCTCTGGGAAATACCAGAGGCCGGACTCCAGAGTCGCATACTGGCAGCAGCAATGTAAGTGGAGTCTGCTTGTTGGCTAGAGGGGGATGCTGGGATTTAGTAGATGGGGAGGGTGGGGGGAGGACTGGGATTTAGTAGAGGGGAGGTGCGGTATAAAAATAAACCTATGTTTCTATGAAAATGTAAGTAGTTTTTTTTTTGCAGCCCACATAAACTTAAGCTTTGTTTATGTGGCCTGTGCTAGACTTTGAGTTTGACATGCTTGGTGTAGTGTGTATATAATGAATGCAGTGAGTGTTTGTGTAGGTATGTAATGTGTGTAAAATGGGGGGGCATTTTTATTTAATTTTTTTTTTTAAATATTGAATTTTTTTAACATTTTGTTTTAGCCCCTCCTCCCGGCTTCTTACCTGGCCAGGGAGGGGGGATATGGCATTCCCTGCTGATCCAGTGGCATGGACTCTGCAGAGGGGGCCCAGCAACACTCTTAATTCCCTTCCCAGCAGCTCCCGTCTAACTCTTGCGGCCTGGGTTACCATGGCAACGCTCTGACGGCTGTGGGAGCCGCGAGATTTAGACAGGGGAGCTGAAGGGAAGGTAAGTAAGAGTGTGCTGTGGGCCATCCAGGAACGCCGGGCCCATGACAACCGTCTCTGTTGTCATGCCCTGATGGCAACCCTGGTCTGCATTATCGGCAATATCAGTAACTTTATAGGCCTATACCGATATTGCTGAAAATTCAGAATATCTACTGATAATACCAGCCAGACCGATAATCAGTCGTTCCCTAGCTGATACTAATCAACATTGCTGAACTCTCTATGTAGGACTTGGTCCATATAATATCAAACTTCCTTAGCCATGGGTCACGGTGTGCTGTGGGCAGGAGAAGCGGCAGTCTCCTGACCTGGGGCCTTTCTGGGCTCTGGAAGTTTTATTAGCTATGCCTCATTCACACCACACCCCCTCATGTGGGAGTTATCCCGGTCCTTATTGGATCGGCTCAGTTACCACTAGCCAATGTTTTCAGCTTTATTGACCTCAGTCACGTGGCAGTTGACTCCTACGATGGTGCCAGAGACACTTATGATGCGGAATATGCCGCACCATTAAATGTCAGCATATCTTCAGGTTTTTGATGACATCTGCTTGAGATTTTGAGCCAAGCTGAACTAGCGGGCACCACAGTCTCACTCTTCTCAGTCCTCTAAGCAAAATAACTGGGCTTTAACCACACCAGAAATAGGCACAACTTTTCAACTAGACTGTGTAGCCATTCGTCCTCACCAGGACAGAAAGTCTCTGGGATCTTGGAAAGGTTCTTTGTCGCTGATCCTGGCTTCAGCATGAATGTGTAAATGCTTTCCTATGGACTGGCTGAATGTGCGCGCAACTCCTGCCACGCATGCGCATTCAGCCGGAGAGGAGGAGAGCTCCCCGCCCGGCACTGGAGAAAGAGGTAAGTTTAACCCCTTCCTCCCCCCAGAGCCTGGCGGGAGGGGGACCCTGAGGGTGGGGGGCACTATAGTGGTCCTTTAATTCAGACAAAGAAGGGAAGGGCTTGCAAATACATGATTAAATCCACGCATAAATAGGGATCTTTTTACTAGGGCAGTGAAGTGTCTGTTTAAACATGTGATTTGGCATATTACAAAACACAAAGAATCTTCAAGGATATACATGAAAATCACTGATGCCCAAGTGGATGCATTTTTTTTCTGTGCCATTAGTTTTTAATTATTTTTAGTGTATTTACTGTGATCAGTCCAAGACAGACATTCAGCAATGTCTGTGGTTGTTTAATGAAGACAGGACTCACCACCACATGTGCCCCGGCCAGTTTGAGAGGTTTGGGGCTGATGAGAGGAGACACCATGTAGAGAAGTAGCACGAAGGCCACCAGGAAGGCAGCAACCAGCAGCAGCATAACTGACTGAGTGAAGGAGTCCAGCCTGGAGATAGGAGGGAGCAAGGAGGGAAAAGGGAGGCTTGATCAGTGCTGGGGTGGAAGGCAGACAGGCTGCAGACAGAAGGAGAGCAGATCACAGGATAGAGAGAGAGAGAGAGAGAGAGGAGGACAGAGAGTGTTAGCAGGGCACAGACAGAACAGGACATATACTCCCAGCCAGGCTCCAGTCACAGTACACACATGCTGTCTGCTGAGCAGTCGGTGAGCAGAGGGACAGACAGAGCAGGAAGGCTGGGTGAAGGGAGACACAGGGTGACAGCAGCAGGAAACCCTCTCCAAGTGTCAGCCGGGGGCCTGCTTGGACAGCTCCGCTCAGGTGACACTGGTGCTAGACAGGCAGCCCGTGTAAAGCAGCATGCACCTCTCCCCGAGCTCTGTCTCTCCAGCAACACCGCCTCCCCGAGCACCACACTTCCTGTTTACATCCCTCCTCGCAGCCAGCCAAGAGGGGCCCAGACATCATTCTGTGTGCAGTGAGAACTAATGCTGCCACCTGCCGGCAGCAGGTAATAATGCACCAACAAATGGTAAAGTGTGAGGATTTTATTAATGACACAAGGCTCCTATTATGCAAATCTCTTTCTTTATTTTCCATCAACAGCAAAATGAGAGATACAATATTTGAACTCAAATAAATGTATACATATAACAAAAACTGCCTAGAAACAGTCAGGGCAGCCAATCACAAAGTCCTACAATCTATAAAAGGCATATTCCCAAGGATCTCTTCCTCTTTCTTTGTTGCTCAAGTACTATTTATTTATGCTTGTTGTTTCTTATGAGATCTTATTTAGATTTATGTGTGGGGTGCCAACCTCCCTCCTGTGTGTGCTTTCCGTCCTGTGTTAGGCTGAGCCACGGATCTCCAGACCTTTGGGGACCCGGCTCAGCCATTAGACATTCCCTTTTCCCCCCCTCGCGACCTGTCAGCTCGACCTGTGTGGTTCTGTTACTGTGCGGCATCCGGAGTGGTTTATTGCCACCGCACAGCAGGATCTGGCGACACGAGTATACCGTAAGCATGGGATTTACTAACTTCAGATGCATGGGTTCTACAAACGGTCAGGGGATTTTGTTTAGACCTGATTTCCCCAACCTTTCAGGCTCATTCCCCTCAAAAAACGTCCTTGCCAAGGGCACAAGCGAAATTGATCTCAACAGCAATATCAGACTTATTTTAAAAAAAATGCTATTCAAGAGATGCCATACGAATCCAAAGGATTCACGAGCATTCTTTTCCTGGTACCCAAGAAAGGCAAGGGAGAACGCCCGGTTATCAACCTCCAGGCCCCGATCATCTTCCTCAGGTATCAACACTTCAAAATGGAGGGCACTCACTGTCTCCGGGACCTCCTCCTGCCATTGGACTGGATGGCCAAACTGGATTTAAAAGATGCCTATCTAACTGTACCCATAGCGGAAGACCACAGAGACCTGCTTCATTTCACACGGTACAGAAAGAGATGGAGATTTACATGTCTGCCATTTGGACTTTCTTCAGCCCCTTGGAGTTTCACCAAACGAATGAAACCAGTAGTGTCCTTTCTCCGGGAGAGAGGAGTTCGCTTGATTATATATCTTGACGAGATCCTCATCATGTCTATATTGGTCGATTGACTTCGATTCCACGTTAGATAGATGATTTAACTACTGCAGATTCTGTGTTTTCTCATCAATTGGGAGAAATCCATCCTGATTCCGGCACAGACTATAGAATTCCTGGGATTCGATGTGGACTCAAAAAAAAGATCCTGTCCCTCCCAGATACCTTTTGGCCCTCCACGAGGCGGGCGGCAGCTTCTATTGCAGGCTTGCAACAAGGGAGTGCTGTAGCCTGAGCTCTTACTGCTCAGCTCCCTGGCATGCCGCTTAGTGATGCCGGGAGCCAGAATATGATGTCAGACCAGCTCTCGGCATCACTAAGCGGCATGCGAGGGAGCTGAGCAGTAAGATCACAGCTCGCTCACTGCCTACTCTGCCAGTTCTCCTCCTGCCTGCCTGTCCAGCAGCCCCACTGGACCTCAGGTGAGGAATCCACTCAAGTTCTCCCACGGAGGCTGGGTGGAGTTAAATTAAAATAAAAAAAAATAATAGTAATTTGTGAGTGTTGGGGATAATGTGTATGAGTGTATGTGTGTCTGTCAGTTAATGTGTGTGTGTCTGTCAGTCACTGTGTTTGTGAGTGTCAGTGTGTATATATATATCATCACTGCTATTGACAGATCTAATAGGGGGTTATTCACTATGAGAGTGAGAATTGCCTGGAAATTCAAAGTGAATTTAAAATTTAAGGCCAATGTGGCCAAATGAAAACAGAACTTACTTGGAGATTTTTTTTTTTTTCTAATTGGTCTATTTTCACATAAATTTTGAAATTCAATTTGTATTACTCACTGAAGGATGTTGGTTTTGTTATGGAGGGCTGGTTTGTATGTCAAATAATCTACCATTTGCCCATCCTTGCTGGGTTGTATATGTGAGCAATGTCTGTGTGTTTGATTGTAAGCGTGTTTTTGTATGGAATACGTGAATGCAGGGATGTACTTGCTGTTGTGTGTCTACATTTAATTTTGCCATGGTGTTGTTGTGTGTAGTCTTGGCGTTTGAATGCAGGGGTGTGTATGTGCAATTAAATGCAAGGGTGTATTTGTATGTATTGTTGGCGTTTTTATGTTCATCTCTTTGCCTCTTTTCTCTCCCCCCACAGCTTTCTGTACGGTAGAAGGAAGTAACCTGTACTCATTTCCTCCAATAACAGCAGCTGCAGGCAAACTACTGACCTGATAGGAGATTGGTCTGTTGCTGATAAAGATTCACAGAACCCGTGTGGGCCCCTGGTCAGAGATGCCTATTGGGTGGCCATAAGTGAAATGGCCATCCTATGCCTCCACCAAGCTTGTGTACCCTGGTGCATCTGTACTGCTGGTAGTTCTGCCTCTTCCTGTATCCAGGCAGATGTTTTTAAGGTACGGAGTAGCTGCAAACAAACCCGTCATAAGAACTACAATAAAATCAATAATATACAAGCACCAGTATAGTTATGCAATATAGTATAATAAAGGCTGATCAATAAACTGCAATCTTTAAGTTTGGATTCCAATATTGTTGAATGGGTAAGGCAGTGGCTGAGTGACAGGCAACAGAGGGTTGTAGTCAATGGAATATATTCGAAACTTGGACTTGTCACCAGTGGGGTACCTCAAGGATCTGTACTTGGATCCATTCTCTTTAATATTTTTATTAGTGATATTGCAGAAGGTCTTGATGGTAAGGTATGTCTTTTTGCTGATGATACTAAGATATGTAACAGGGTTGATGTTCCAGGAGGGATAAGCCAAATGATAAATGATTTAGGTAAACTAGAAAAATGGTCAGAATTGTGGCAACTGACATTTAATGTGGATAAGTGCAAGATAATGCATCTTGGACGTAAAAACCCAAGGGCTGAGTACAGTATATTTGATAGAGTCCTAACCTCAACATATGAGGAAAGGGATTTAGGGGTGATTATTTCTGATGACTTAAAGGTAGGCAGACAATGTAATAGAGCAGCAGGAAATGCTAGCAGAATGCTTGGTTGTATAGGGAGAGGTATTAGCAGTAGAAAGAGGGAAGTGCCATTGTACAGAACACTGGTAAGACCTCACTTGGAGTACTGTACACAGTACTGGAGACCGTATCTTCAGAAGGATATTGATACCTTAGAGAGGGTTCAGAGAAGGGCTACTAAACTGGTTCATGGATTGCGGGATAAAAACTTACCAGGAAAGGTTAAAGGATCTTAACATGTATAGCTTGGAGGAAAGACGAGACAGGGGGGATATGATAGAAACATTTAAATATATAAAGGGAATCAACACAGTAAAGGAGGAGACTATATTTAAAAGAAGAAAAACTACCACAACAAGAGGACATAGTCTTAAATTAGAGGGACAAAGGTTTAAAAATAATATCAGGAAGTATTACTTTACTGAGAAGGTAGTGGATGCATGGAATAGCCTTCCAGCTGAAGTGGTAGAGGTTAACACAGTAAAGGCGTTTAAGCATGCGTGGGATAGGCATAAGGCTATCCTAACTATAAGATAAGGCTAGGGACTAATGAAAGTATTTAGAAAATTGGGCAGACTAGATGGGCCGAATGGTTAGCTGCCGTCACATTCTATGTTTCTATGTAAAGCTTTTAGTTAATTCCGGTGTAAGGAAGTAAGTGACAACTTCCCCAGGAGACCTTCCCAGTCAGTCCCCTCGCAACAACAATATTATACAAGCCCAGTGTTGGGGATCTAAAGAGAGAACCGCACAGATTAGCATAATACAGTCACACATTAATTATACATCACTGGTGTATTACATTCACAAGAGATAGCTGAATAACAGTGTTCCTAGGTGCATTCTCCAATCGTTAGGAGGCTGGAAGGCCCTGCCTAGGCTTTGCGAGTAATGGCAAATATAATTTTTTAAACTCAAAACAAATAGAATACATGGTCCAACGTGTTTCTTCTTTTTAGGACTTCTTCAAGGATCATTATTAAAATAAATAAGAATGAAAGCACTATTAAATGATTGCCAGAACCCTCCCCACCAAAGACCAAACTTAAATATCTCAGATCCTCTGTCAAGCACTGCTTGACGTGTGCATTACATCTCCTGCTTTGCGTGCTTTCCAACAGTAACCAGAAAACTCTAGTCATATTTTCCTTATGCGTTTATTTGCTTCCTTGCATTCAAATACAGTATAATAGACCCAATAATTTTAGTTTAAACCTCTATAGGTATAGGAAAAAGAAAGACAGACCATAAACGGAAGTAGCAATATATTTCGTATACACATAGGTTTTCTTGCAATCAGTAATACAACCATTTATTAGAGACACAAATTTCCCAACGTTAAAATTCCATGCACATATTGAATATAAAATATATCAAATATAGATTGATTTAATCCCATTTGCAAATTATTTTATAAATGCATCTAAAAATTAATAGTAAATTAAAGAATTAAAGAAATAATCAAAATTTGATTTATAAAATATAAATTACAAATTAAATAAACAGTTTTTAAGTTTTTTTACTGGCTATACAATCCTTAGTGTCTGTTAATTTAATTTAAGTTACATTATATTACTCCAGAAGGGATTTTTATTTATGATATGCATGGATATTCATGGGGGTTCCTGGTGTCTCTCTTCTCTTCATACATACTAAATAAACCACACCGAGTAAATATCTATAACCCATGCATATCCAGGGTAGCCTATGAATCCAATACGTTTCTATCTGGGACACATTTTGTACCCTATCTCCTCCTCTTCAGTAAGGTTTAACATGGTCAATATTCATGAAAATAAAGACTTTCCAGTTCTGTTTATTGTCAATACTACTTGTAAGCAGTTAAATTCTATTTATTATAGTCATTCTTTTCCGTTCTTTCCTAATGCTGTCTCTATTGTATCCTTTCTTAACAAGTTTCTTTTTTATAAGTTCCGCCTGTGCCTCAACATCTTGAACCTCTGTGCAATTTCTTCTTACTTTAGTTATTTGGCTTTTCTTAATACCTCTCAACCATGGTTTATAGTGGCAACTCCTTCTGTGTATATAGCTATTTCTGTCAGATTTCTTAAAATAGAATTTTGACTACATTTGATCATTTACAAAAATTCACTTCAGAATTTCTAATCGCTAATCCGCACTCAATCGATACCATGGTGGCGTTCACATACTTTTGCCACCTCAACCTTAAATAAACCCACAACACCATAAAACTACTAGGATACAACCTCCAACATTTTAATATCATTCTTTTAGAATAGGCACTGCTTCTGTAGTCTCTAGTGGAATATCCCAGTACACGTCATCGATGGGTGGGACAGGGGGAGATTATCTGCATACACCAAATGCATCACTTAACCGGAGAGGGAATTAAGGTAGGCATTTAAAGTATTGGTTACGTAATGTCCACATATATTCAGGTCCTGCCTTAGGAGTGTGCGAGCTGTGCGACTGCACAGGGCGCAAAGGCAGCAGGGGGCACCATTCGGCCTACAAAGCTCACACATGACCAGGTGTGAATTGGGTGTTAAAGCAGGTCCGGCTACCCAGGTGGACGTTTTCATTATTCTCCACCCGGAACTATAAAATAAAAAAATAAAAACATGGCAGCGAGGGCCAGCATACAGAGCGGTAGAGCGGGGTTTACCGAGCAGCAGAGGCAGAGCTAAAACAGCAGCGGCGCTGGGCTAAACATGCCCAGAAGCCGTTGCTGCACAGAAAGGGGGAAGCAGGAAGGAGTCCCTGCTTTCCCAACAACTACCAGACTCCAGGAGATGCACTGCCTCCACTCCTCCCTTCCAGCCCACAAAGGTGACTATGTGTGCCACTGTCTGGCTGTATGTGAATATGACTACCTGCCTGCGTGTGTGACTGTAGCTATGTGTGTGACTGTCTGCCTGTGTGTGGGACTGTAACTGAGTGCGTGACTGTCTGCCTGTGTGTATGACTGTAACTGTATGTATCACTGTTGCCTGTGTGTGTGACTGCAAATGTATTTGTGACTGTCTGCTTGTGTGTGTGACTGCAACTGTGTCTGTGACTGTCTTCCTATATGTATGACTGTAACTGTGTGTGACTGTGTGTGACTATAACTGTGTGTGTGAATGTAACTGTGTGTATCACTGTTGCCTGTGTGTGTGACTGCAAATGTATTTGTGACTGTCTGCTTGTGTGTGACTGCAACTGTGTCTGTGACTGTCTTCCTATATGTATGACTGTAACTGTGTGTGACTGTCTGCCTGTGTGTGACTATAACTGTGTGTGTGAATGTAACTGTGTGTATCACTGTTGCCTGTGTGTGTGACTGCAAATGTATTTGTGACTGTCTGCTTGTGTGTGACTGCAACTGTGTCTGTGACTGTCTTCCTATATGTATGACTGTAACTGTGTGTGACTGTCTGCCTGTGTGTGACTATAACTGTGTGTGTGAATGTAACTGTGTGTATCACTGTTGCCTGTGTGTGTGACTGCAAATGTATTTGTGACTGTCTGCTTGTGTGTGACTGCAACTGTGTCTGTCTTCATGTGTGTATGACTGTGCCTGTGTCTATGTGTGTGTCTGCCTGTGTGTGTGACTGCAACTATGTGTGTGATAGTCTGCCTGTAACTGTGTGCGTGACTGTCTGCATCTAATCGTGTGTGTGTGTGACTGTATGAATGTGACTGTTTGCCTGTACCTGTGTGTGTTTGTCATTGTTTGCCTGTAACTGTGTGTGTGACTGCCTGCCTGTGTGTTTGGCTATATACCTGTAACTGTGTGTGAGTATGTGCCCAACATTTACAGATCTCATACTGCACTAGCTGATCTCATGGCTACGGTAGATTGCTGGCACACGCATCAATCTGATTGTTGTGGCTGTATACATGTGGCTGTATTTAACAGTGTATATGTATAACTGTGTGCATGTGACTCTGCATAAATATACACCTGCATTCACATATGGGCCAACATGCATATCTTTATATAAATTAAATACCTATCACACACAGCCCATAAACCAAGTACACATATCACACACATATCTCACACACAGTTAATACAACCTTTACAAATAGCATACATATTACACACAGCCATCAGGCCTATCACCAGGGCCGGCCCGTCTATTGGCAGCAGTGGAGTCTGTGAAGTCTGGGAACATCTATGCATATATATATATATATATATATATATATATATGCAATCATGGGCCCCTGTTACCTTGTCCTGTGGAGAGGTGGCCCAAAAGTCTTATGTTTCCCTCTTGCAGCTTCACATGTGCTCTTCTCGCAAACTGCAAGAGAGTTGTCAAAGGTTGCCATGCCATACTGACCTCTATGTATCCGATTTTTCACTTTTTGTGAGATTTGGACACCTAGTTACTCTTTTGTATTTAATGCCATGGCAACACTCTGGCGTGTATTACATGCTGCGAGCAGCGTTGCCGTAGCAACCAGCGGCAATGCTCAATCCGCTCGCGAGAGGAGAAGACAGGAAGCTGCAGGAGGGAAAGAGCATACAGTACTTCTGGGACCCCTCTCCACAGGACACGGCAAAATGTCTGGGACCACCATAGAAACTAGTGTCCCCCTCCCTGACCTCAGGTAAGAGGCAGGGAAGGGGGAAATACTCTTTATATACAATACAATCATACATTAAAAAAAAATGACCACCCCTCACAGCCCCACTACACACACTGCATCCACTACACACACTACATGCACTACACACAGACACTGCATCCACTACATGCACTACATGCACCCACTACAGACACTGCACCCACTACACAACATACACTGCATCCACTACACACTGCATCCACTACACACACACTCTGTGTCCACTATACACATGCATATAATGCATTCACTATACACACTGCATACAATACACACACACTCATTGTCCACTAAACACATGCATATAATGCATTTACTATACACACTGCATACAATACACACACTGCATCTCCTGGATGTGCGCAAGGTTTGGGGGGGCATACATCGACTATTTTTGCGGCCGGCCCTGCCTATCTCACACACACAGACAGCACACACATTACATCATATTATAGTAAGATTTATTACAGTGGAGGTCTGGCATAGACAATGCATTTTACTCTGTGTTTTATAGATGGGGAGCTCTGAGATACACTTATAGGCACATTACTGGGAATCGTATTACTGTGGCACTCTGTGACATACTTATACACTACACATTACTATGAGTTTGTGGAGTTCTGTGATAAACTGGTATACACCCCATAGTACTGTGATGGTTTTTGTTTTTGTTGCTGTGGAGCTCAGTGATAAATGGTTAAACAGCACATTACTACACATTTTTATTCCAAAGAGGTCAAAGTAAATAGGGAAAATACAGAGTTCCAAAGCAAAACAACTTGTAGTATTATGTGACATACTTGGTCTGCCCCTCTGAAATGCTGAGGAGGCAGTATGGCATTTCTGGCATGCACTCCTTTTGGCTGCAGACCATAAGCAGCTGTCCTCCTAGCTTGGGCCAATCAGAGAGTTGCCACAGGAAGTGTGGTAGAAGCTACAGGAGGTTTAATTAAAGTTCAGTACTCACATGGTTATTTTATTTATTTATTATTGCCATTTATATAGCGCCAACAGATTTCGTAGCGCTTTACAATATTATGAGAGGGGATTTAACTATAAATAGGACAATTACAAATAAACTTACAGGAACAATAGGTTGAAGAGGACCCTGCTCAATCGAGCTTACATTCTATAGGAGGTGGGGTGTAAAACACATTAGGACATGAATTTGCAATCAAATAAGGTGGGCTGCCCTTTAGGAGAGGGCAAGAGACGGGTATGTGAGGTAGGGGTTAGTCTTGGATGCCATAAGCTTTCCTAAAGAGATGGGTTTTAAGGCACTTCTTAAAAGATGCAATGTGGTGGAATCTCGGTAAAAATAAATTTAGTAGGCCGAGATTACCACGTGGCATGTGTACGTGCATATGCTGACGTATCAATCAGTTGGTTGCACGAGGCAAGATACGATCAGTAGTGTACGGAGCATGTGCAAGAATACAGGATGTAGTATTCCCCTCCTCCATTGTGCTGGACAAGCCATGCGGTCAAGCAGGAAGTTAATTCTTATTTGTAATGATTGGTCAAGAGAATGTGTGGGTGGAGCTTAATATGGGAGGAGTTATGTGCCTATATAGGGAGCCTGCACTATTGTTCAGGGCTCAGAACTTGCTGTATTTTTGGTGACATTAGTCCCTCTGAGTCCCGATCGGTGATCCAATAAAGAATCTCTTCCTTCCTGAAGAAACCTGTGTCCATCTCTCTGTGCTTTGCTTCCGTCAGTTTCTCCGGTATCATTTGGTGCATTGGCCGGGAAGCTCATCGTTCAACGGTAGCTGAGAGGCAGAGGCGTGAGACGGTCTATCTTTGCCCACGTTCTCTACGGCTGCACCCCTGAACTTCTGCGTGGACCTCCCTTCGTCTCGGCGCCACTGGTCTGTTGTCCAGGAGATCATCGGCCTCTACGTAAGAAGTGCTGGGGTGTCCCCGTCGATGAGTGTGAACTCAGGTTCAGGAACGAGGAGGTAAGACAACTGCTGTTTTAGACGGCAGACCCACTAGGGGTATACCGATTGTGCGGTAGGCCCAAAAGGGGTTTAAATCTGTGTATGGAATCTGCCCTCTCTGTCGGAGGGAAGGAGCGAAGGCGCACCGCTCGATCGAACGCTCTTTAGTAAGACCGTTTGATCTGGTTAGTCAGGCGGGGTCCTGTGTAAATAGCCCTAGCCGGACACCGGTGTCTTGTCTAGACTAGCGTTCTAGGGTGTATATTACGTTCGCTAGGTCGGAGGGACCGGGAGACTAAGCGGCGCCTGTGTAAATTCGGTTCGCTAGCTCTCAACCTATCTTGGCTAAGTGGGAAGGCGTGTAAATTTGGAACCCACTAGACTTTTGATAGAGTAAATAGACTAGAAGGGCAATTTTGTAAATTTTGCCCTCTAGTTCGCTATATGTGGTGTTTGGGCAGTGTGGCTAACCAAAACGGGTGTATATAATTTTAGGTAGTCCATTCAAGGTACTGGCCAATAGTTTAGTTGGGATTGTAAATGTGTTAAAGATTGTTAGTAAAGTGTATATCTTGTTAGATAGCGCGAGCTCAGCCGTCTAGCGAGAGTGTTAATAGTGTGTTGCTGTATCATAGTGCACGGTACCATAACCCTGTATATTTACTGACACTGTATATAAGTACTAATCATTGTCGTCTATTGCATGTTTAACACCGTAACCACTAATAATTGTATTGTGACCTTAAATTGTGCTTTGACCTATGCTAACCGTACTGTAACCGATACTAGTAAAAGGCGATGTTACTGGGGTGTGTTATAGACGGGTAATTCATATATAGAGAATTATAGCGTGGGTGACTGTATAGTTTCGCCAAAGGGCATAATATTGATTATTTAGTGACTGGTGTAACAACTGTGTGTGTACGGGAATTCCCTGAGTGATTATTGTGTTATTGTGTACGTTTCACTCGGTAACTGTACCACGTGGTGCTGTTGCCAGAGGAAACGGGTGTGACTGTTGAATAAGAACGCGTGCATAGTATTCGTTGTCAACGACGTTCCATTGATAAGTATGGGCGCGTCAGAGTCAACGATTTCGGATCCCTTAGGTTGTATGGTAAAGAATTTTAAAAAGGGATTCAAAACATGTGATTTTGGGGTTAAAATGTCTCCTGTACGTTTGGTCACTTTGTGCACTAGGGAGTGGCCTATTTTGGTTGCGGCATGGCCGCCGCGTGGCAGTTTGGATCCAACCCTGGTACAGCGTGTACACGTGGCTGTGTCAGGTAGGCCTGAACTTTACGGACAGTTTCCATACATTGATTGTTGGGGGCAGGCCGTAAACGACTCGCCAAAATGGAATCGGATATGCCACGAGGAGCAATGTCGCCTCATGGTGGCCAGGACTTGTTTGTCCACTAGGACTGGTGTTAGGCCCATTTTGGACACGCCCCCTGAGTCCGAGATCCCTTTGCCGCCCCTTACTTTCCTTTAAGAGGAAGTGACGCGAATGCAGGAAGCTCTGCACCCCTTCCCCTATTGCCCCCATCCACTTCCGCTTCCTCCTCCAGTACAGAATCCACCCCCCCTTGTATTAAAACTCCCCTTCCGGAACCAGGACCAAACCCCATTAGATCTGAATATCCTGATTTGGCGCCACTTCAAACTTCCGGTCAAGCTTCTTCTAGCTCGGCTCGGAGTATACTATTCACTAACTTTTCCCAAAATCAAGTTCCCACATCCTCATGCCCTATTACCTCTCGACCGGAACCTTTAACTGACGCCCCTCCGCGTAGCCCCATACTAACCCGACAACTGACCGGTACCCAACAATTAAAACATTATCAGATGCCTCTTCGTCTGAATCCTGGGTCAGCCTATATCGATGCCGCAGGTCAAATGGCACATGCTGACCCAGTCTTCGTATATGTCCCGTTCACGACTACCGATCTCTTGAATTGGAAGACCCACAATTCCTCGTACACTGAGAAACCACAAGCTATGACCGATCTGTTCACCTCGATAGTTCAGACACATAACCCGACATGGGCTGATTGCCAGCAGTTATTAATGACATTGTTCAATAATGAGGAAAGGACAAGGATTAACCAAGCGGCCATTAAGGCGCTAGAGGAGAGAGCCCGTGCTTTAAATCAAGCCAATCCGGCAGCATGGGCCGCAACACATTACCCTAACACCGATCCTGACTGGAATGTAAATGGCGCAGATATGGCTCAACTTAAAGCATATAGAGATGCTATAATTGCTGGCATGAAAGCCGGAGGGAAGAAAGCTATTAACATGTCGAAGACAGTTGAGGTGATTCAGAAAAGTGATGAAGCGCCTAGTGTCTTTTATGACCGATTATTGGAGGCATACCGCTTGTATACCCCCTTTAATCCGGAAGACGCTGATAATTCCCGAATGGTAAACTCCGCTTTTGTCAGCCAAGCTTACGGAGATATTAAGCGCAAGCTACAGAAATTAGAAGGGTTTGCAGGTATGTCTATCACCCAACTAATGGAGGTAGCGAACAAAGTATATATGAATAGGGAAACAGAAAGTAAGAAAGAGGAAGAGCGCAAGATGCGTAGAAAGGCAGATATGCTAGCGGTAGCGATCGCAGGCGTAGATAGACGGGCCCAGATAGAGGCGATGGTAGATGGAATAGGGAGCCTTTGAGTAGGAATCAGTGCGCGTACTGTAAGGAAGAAGGGCATTGGAGGAACGAGTGTCCGCAAAGAGAGCAGTATGAGAGAGACTTACCCAGGGCAGGTTACGGAAACTTTAGAGGCAGAGCGAGAGGTAGAGGAGTAATGGTAATAGAGGGAGTAATGGGAACAGAGGAAGTGTAAGGGAAGATAGGTACTATCCAGCAGCGCAAAGGTCCCGCGATAGAGAAGGTAGGGACTTTGTGGGATTGGCTGACACGGTCATGGAGGACTATTGATACCGACCGGGCTCCATCCCCCTTGGTCGAGCGGAGCCTATGGTCGATGTATCAATAGGGGGAAAAAGGAGTGCGTTCATGATCGACACTGGTGCTGAACATTCGGTGGTGACTAATCTAGTTGCTCCTCCATCTGGAGGAACTATTACTGTAATAGGAGCAACTGGAAGAAGTGCTGAAAAACCGGTTCTTAAAAGTCGACTCTGTACATTGGGAGGCCACGTAGTAAAACATCAATTCCTTTATATGCCTGAGTGTCCAGTCCAATTGCTGGGATGTGATATGCTATCCAAATTACAAGCGCAGATTACGTTCCTACCAAATGGAACAACATCCTTAAAGTTTAATGGACCTTCAGGTATTATGACATTGTCCGCACCAAAGGAAGAAGAGTGGCGACTTTATACAGTGTTGACTAGCCAAAACCCGAGGAGTGATGAATCCTTATTTAACATACCAGGAGTTTGGGCAGAGAACAACCCACCAGGACTGGCCCGCAATATTCCACCTATTAAAATCGAACTAAAACTTGGGGTTTATCCAGTAAGCCTGAGACAATATCATATTCCGCAGAAGGCTAAGAAGAACATCCAATCTTATCTGGATAAGTTCATACGGTATCCTAAAATTCTGTACTTCCCCCTGGAACACCCCATTGCTGCCTGTTCAAAAGCCGGGTACAGATGAGTATCGACCTGTGCAGGACTTGAGAGCAGTCAATGATGCGGTTGTTAGTATACATCCAGTCGTGCCCAATCCGTATAACCTGCTTGCTTTAATTCCGGGCGGGGCTACTTACTTTACAGTCTTAGATCTCAAAGATGCCTTCTTTTGCCTCCGAATTGCCGCAGAAAGCCAATGTATCTTCGCTTTCCAATGGGAAAATGTTGTAACGGGCTCGAAACGCCAAATGACCTGGACAAGATTGCCCCAGGGGTTTAAAAATTCACCTACCCTATTTGGTTCAGCTCTAAGTCAAGATCTACTAGATTTCGAGTCTATCCCAGGCGAGTGTGTATTATTACAATATGTAGATGACTTGTTGATAGCAGCAGTTACAAAGGAAGTATGTCAGCAAGCAACGCACGATCTACTACACATTCTCTGGAAGGCAGGATACAAGGTGTCTAGAAGGAAGGCTCAGTTGTGTGTGCCAACTGTCAAATATCTGGGATTCCATATCTCTGAAGGTCAAAGAATTATGGGGCCAGAGAGAAAAGAAGCTGTGTGCCAAATACCGATACCCAGGAATAAAAGACAAGTGCGAGAATTCTTGGGGGCAGCAGGCTTCTGTAGGATATGGATTCCCAGCTACGCGATACTGGCAAAACCTCTGTATGCAGCTATCAAAGGTACAGAGCACGACCCCTTCTTATGGACTCAAGAACAGCAAACGGCATTCGAAGATGTGAAGAGGGCTTCGATGAGTGCCCCAGCATTAGGTCTACCTGACCACACACGGCCATTCTATCTGTATGTACATGAGCAAAGAAGAATGGCTGTGGGAGTATTGACACAGTACTTGGGATCATGGCAAAGACCTGTTGCCTACATGTCTAAGCAACTGGATGCAGTTGCCAGCGGACTTCCACCTTTTCTAAGAGCTGTAGCTGCAGCCGCCCTGCTAGTAGCTGAAGCCGATAAACTCACTCTGGGTCAAGAACTTTATGTACGAGTTCCACA